TGCCGTCTGACTGCGATTAAGGGGAATCAGCCTTGCAGGCCAAGCCATTTGAAAGTCTGGGACAAGCCAGGACTGAGGCGATGGCAGAGTGCCTGCTCTGTGCTTGATGAGCCATCACCGACCATTTATGCCCTGTCAACAGCTCCGGGTCGAGCGGCCATTGCGATTGTTCGAATATCCGGGCCAGCTTGTGTTCAGGTTTGTTCTCCAGTCCAAAAGCACTTCAATCACTTGTTCAGTTTGCTAATGTTGTCGCTCCCGCTATGCGCCTAGATCTATAACGCTCTCTGCCCCAAAAGTCCGCTCCCAGAACCTCGAGTTGCCGCCCTTCGCACCCTCTTCGACCCTTCCGTTCCTCTTTCTGTCAACAGTATCCTTGACAGAGCGGTTGTGCTACATTTCCCGGCCCCAAAAACCGTCACGGGAGAGGATGTCCTTGAATTGCACATCCATGGCGGACCCGCCGTGGTAAAAGCTGTTCTCAATGCAATTCCCCGATGCGCGGAATCTGCTTCTAGTGACAAATTTGCACCATCTTCCATCCGATACGCCGAACCCGGTGAATTCACCCGTCGTGCATTCCTGAACGACCGTCTATCTTTACCTCAAATCGAAGCTCTAGGAAATACTCTTTCTGCGGAAACCGAGCATCAGCGCCGTTTGGCCATTCGAGGAACCAACGATTCTCTTGCCGTTAGATACGAACGTTGGCGTCAGCAGCTACTTTATACCCGTGGAGAAATGGAGGCACTGATCGACTTTTCAGAAGACCAGCATTTCGACGAGTCAACCGAAGAGTTTGTGTCTTCTATTACAGGAGAAACTCGCAATCTGGTTCGACAAATTAACATGCACATTGAAAACGCTTCCAAGGGAGAATTATTGCGGAATGGGATCAAAGTTGCGCTTCTCGGGGCTCCCAACGCTGGTAAGAGCTCGCTATTGAACAGAATTGTTGGGAGAGAAGCGGCTATTGTGAGCAGTGAGGAAGGTACTACAAGGGATATTGTGGATGTCGGTGTCGATCTCGGTGGCTATTTCTGCAAGTTTGGGGATATGGCCGGATTACGATCTGGCCACATAGCCCAGGCTGGCCAGATGCCCATCGGTGCAGTGGAGCAAGAAGGTATTCGAAGAGCCAAGGCACGTGCACTGGAATCGGACGTTGTTATTGTGGTTCTTTCATTAGAGGAAGGTGATAGCGGAAGGGGCGTGAAGTTGGTCCTCGAGCCGGAGGTTATTGACGCCGTTCAAAGCTGCATAGCCCTCGAAAAGCACATGATTGTGGCAGTTAACAAGTTCGACAAATACACTCCAGCCACGAATACGGATGGAACAGCACAAGGGCTTGTCAATAGCTTGGCTGGGGAGATCACATCCCTGGTGCCCCACATTGTCCAAGATCAGATCTTCCTAATTTCTTGTAGGGAGGCCGAGAACGAGCAATCCGAAACGGCCGATCCCGGCAATATCCAAACCCTACTTAAGGAACTAATTCGCACATTTAAAAGGATGTCGACACCATCTGAATTGGAAAATGGAAATGACAAATTTGATAAATTATATTGGGAAGACTCATTGGGAGTCACGCATCGTCAAAGTTCTAATTTACAAAAATGTGTCCAGCACTTAAACGACTTTCTATCCCAAACATGCCAAACTCCTGATAATGCTGGAAACGCTGAACAAATTGAGCTGAACATCGACATCGTAACAGCGGCAGAACATCTTAGGTTCGCGGCCGATTGTCTGGCGAAAATTACCGGTCGTGGCGAGAGCGGGGACGTGGAGGATGTCTTAGGCGTCGTATTCGAAAAGTAATTTCCCCCTGGCAATTGAGCCTCTCACTTCCCTTAATGGCGGTAACCGTGATACTGACAATGTACCTGCCCACAGGTTCTGTGTCGGCAAATGAGTGTAGATTTTAGTTCCGTCGAACAAATCTAAGAACAGCAAATAGCCCGTAATCGAAACTCCGTCGTGGCGTCGTAAAGCAAGGCACTCTCACTTGCTGTCCTGCCCTGCGCTTCCGCTCCCTTCTTAATACCCTCTCGTCGCAGATTCGAAATGAGTCACGCCGTCCTCTCCCTTCCTTCTCCCCATTTGGCTATGAATCGTCGCTATCTCCATCGTTGACATCATTGTAACCTCCCCGTCCTTGCAAATATAATGACATACTCGTTGAGGGTACAGTTCGCTCGTTGGGACAGTTATAGCCACCACGTCCCATCGGTGCTTGCATTCGGATAGAGCGATGGCTGCGCGCAAGGTTGCGCGTGTTTTGCTTCAGATCTACGGGTCGGTTGCTTTGGGGCTGAGATTGAGCTATTCGATTCCGTCGTGGATTCGCCGAGCTAGTTTTAAATTATACTTGTTGCTTCAGTTGTAACCTCCGCGGCCCATGTGGTGGATTTCTGTAGTTATGATTCTGTCTTTCTTTTGGCGTTTGTCCTGATAGATGTGATAAAAATATCGATAAAGGGGTCTCGAGGTGAAATCAGACAAAAAAAGTATTATAAAGTAGGACGCAAAGTTTAAAAGGAAGATATGAACTATTATATATCTTGGTGAACGAAAGAATTCGAAAATGAAATTAAAAATGGGCTTATATGTGAAGAAAGAAAACGAAGTTAGCAGGCAGAAAGGAAGAAATCATCGCAATATATATAGCCCCATTTCATTTATTCAAGATTCCTGCCTAGCCACACATAAACGCCAAATGAGAGATACAGATCGATACAACGGATACCTGGGTCTTGAGGTATCCATTTCATTTACTCGTTATGACTAATATGTAATAATCCTAGTCAGTAGGCATCCGAGAGGATATAAAAATAAAATGTGTGATACAACGAAAACAGCCACAAAACGAGTCCAGAAACAGCCGAACAAAAAACTATAAAAAAACAAAGGTTGTAAACGAAACTGATTGGAAATTTCGAAATCACCTAAGTTAAAAGGGTTTCCCAACAACAAACGAACAAGCCGCATCCCCCCATCCATGCAACACCAAGTCATGGAACACCGTTTCCCTCAGCAGGTACGGTGCACTGCGCACAAGAGAGACAATACAAAAACGTGTATTATGCGGGCCGGAATCGATGGGTTAGGAAATATTCTGGCCTGCATGCAAGCCACGATTCAGACCCTCTTTTGGGGCTTATGTGCTCCACTGGAGCGCCCCAATTTTCCTGCCTGCTGAAAGCACTGTTCTTTTCCTGTTCATTGATGAGGCTAAGGACGCTAGTCTAGGATTATGAGGATCCTGGTAGGGTAGGGGAGCGTCGGAAAAACGACGAAGCTAAGCCTTAGAGGCCGAGTCACGTCGGCAATTCCAGGCGGTTGGGTTGGCACCTGGTCAGTGAATAATTCACGATGGGGCATGGATGATTTGGGGGAGTGGCCTTGATGATGTACCTGTCCGCTTGGCCCAGGCACCAAAGTCTAAAAGTATAAAATACAACTTTTCTACCCTGCGCTAGCTCTGGTCATGCTATTGATCTGAATGAATGTTTTTACCTTTCCTTTCAAGGATTGATAAAACTTTCCCTTTCAACGGCATGTTGGATTAAAGTTCCTAACGAAGAGATGTAACTTCAGTTCCCCTTACATAGAGGTATAGAAACAATCTGGTTTCAAACTAGAAAAGAGACAAAGAGCAGCATCCTCGGCTGGCTTTGATATCACGTGGATATAGTTTTCAGCCTCAAGTCACGGGCTGAGCCTAAAACTAAAAATAGAAATTGCTAAGTAGAATTAAGTTTTCCGCTAGACCTAATTTGGTTTTGCCCTAATTCATTTCAAGGTGTTGATCGATCTATTGAAACAGAAGCGGAATCCCGCCTTACTATGTTGGGAGTTTGAAACTCAACACAGGTAATCTTACGTTTTAAATTGCGTACGCTGTATATTTACTTGGAAAAATCCGGATGGAGCGAAAACCCGCGATCATATTGACAACATGGACCGAGGGGTCGTGCCCTTGCAGTAACGTTAACGACATGACACCCTTAACTAGTCGACGAACTCGTTTAGCGAACTCGTTACACGATGCAGGCCGACCTGAATAAACGAGACCAGCTAAAACCTGACGCTTGACGAGACCGAATATTAAATTATGAGGAAATAAATGCCGAGCTGTAGCCCCCAGTTTAAGCAATCCAGAGTGCTAGTTAGAGAAAAAGGACCGCCTCTGACCAAGTCAGAGACCAGAACCTTCATGGGATACGACGTGGTCTAGGATATCGCAGGTGATTCACGATTCACGGGAATTTAAAAACTACCAATCAAACAAACGCGCGCGCAGAATGAAACTTGACGATTATTCTGCAAAAGAAGGGGAAAAAGAAAAAAGAAAAAGCTGCCTTGCCAAGAGCCTAACCTCGAACAGGCCACCGACCAGCCTCGAACAAGTGGAGGCAAGGCCCATCGGCCTGGATGCATGTCATGACACATCTTCGGACCAAGACACGAAGTGACGGGTGTCAAACTAAAAGGTTCTAGTCCGCTGCCAAACGGGAGCGCCTCCAATTGCGGCCAACTGATTGGTTTCCGATTTCACGGGCTGAAGACGAAATGGAGCCCTGGGTGTGGCTTGGTTCTTGCACCCTTTTTGTTTTGATCAATCCTTTGAGCAGATAGGATTAGTGGGGTTTGAAATTGGACGTCGTATCAATTGCTTTTAATTTAAGGCGATTATGGGGACGGAACGTTTGCTGTTTTACGCGCATACGGAGCCTGTCAAATTCGTTTGCACAATGAACAGGGCGAGGAGGGAGAAAGAAGAATTGGGAAATCAAATCTTTGGGTTTCCAGGATTAATGACTTTCTAATTGAAAACGCATTCTACAGAGTAGCAGGAAGGGAAATACATCCACGCCGCGTACGGTCCTGCTGGGGAGTTGCTGATTTACAACCGGGTAATAATACCATGGAACAAAGACCATCATATGAAAACGAAATGGACGTTGTAAAGCAGCCGATAATTTTCATTGGATTCTTATTCATTTATTTTTATTTCTGTTTCCGCTGGTAACAATGAACTACGCCCTATCACACCCTAAAGACCTGAAACCTCCCCACTCCGGCAACATGCCAAAACGGTCAATGACAACAATGAACAGTTCTTCTGATCAGGTTCAGTGCAGATGCGTTATTTCCCCTTCATCTGTAAAGGCATACTTTGAAACAGCACCGAGAAATTCGAACTGCTCAATAGCGAACAGCTATTGATATGCTGGTAGCAGTGACAGTGAAAGAGATGGAATCAGATCGATAGGTCTTGGGTTTATCCATCAAGTAGCTATCCGCGATGCGATTGATAGCACTACTGTGGATGAATGAATTTTCTAAGTACATGTACATTACCATGAAGAAAGATTAAATTGGGACGGGCACATGCCGATGAACCCTTCAGGCTCAGTTAGGTTCCAATTGACGAGTGTTCATGTGCTCTACGCCTTCAATGATTGTTTACCATGCATATTAATACACCAAATCAATAAAAATAAAATAAAGAATAGATTGTACATGTATATTACTATACCATGCAACCTTGCCATTAAAGCACTCGTTCTCCCGCATTTTGCATCCCTCCGAGCGGTTTCGTGCGACATTTCCCAATAAATGCAGAGTAGAAATCACCAAAGAATACGCCGTTGGATGGTACAAACGCCTGACACAGCATGTACGGCACGCTGCCGGGATCGATGCTGCCACGTGGAGCATGCGTATGGGCATTACCTAGATCTGGAGAGTTGTGTTGGAGATTTATGGCACATCTGTGTGAGACTCTGTTTCAGGCACCGTTAATAAACGCAGCTAGATTGGGCGAGGGTAAACTATTCCGAATGGCAGTGGATGAAAGTTGGCTGACCTCGCCTGCGCGAAGTCAATTGAACAGAAAATAATAAAATAAAAAATAAAAATAAATTGAATTGAATGGTTGCAGCACGGACACCCTTTACTGTAGATTTTTTGGGGGCCACAGACCTTGGTTCTCTGAATCTCCTCAGTCAGGATTGAAGACAATTGGCGAGCAAATTGTTACAGATTGTCTTCTGTGGAACTGATATTTGCACGGCCAGGCAAGCCTCTGCAAAACATGTCCTTGTGGAGTCATCATACAACTAACCATCGCGAGGTATCAGAGAAACTCATTGGGAAAAGGGAATGGAAGCGTTTCCATCGCACTGGTTCTGCGGCTGCCAGGGACTCGGCTGTTTATCAACCACGCGCGTGTCATCGTCGTTCGGTTGGACTACCGAATACGATTCTGGGGCCTGATCCTATGGATACGAAGATTTAAGTTCGCTGGCGGTGGCTGGAAAAAATGCCTGCCCTGTTGAATTTCGGCATATTCTTCAAGCGAATGGAAGAGATTGGAGCAATTGTCTGCGATGATTGAAAGCTGAGATCTAGATACCAGTTAATTCTTCAGCAGCATGGAGGCGCCGTTAGCTGCTCGCTGTTGTTTGCTAGCAGATGAGCCTGGGCAATCTAGCAACGATTCAGGCATCTGTTATTTAGTTACCTTGACAGTTTCCGCAGCAGCAAGCAAGTGTTTTCAGGCAGCGGTGTTGCGAAGGACTAGCTATGCAACACTGAGTCACTTTACGAGTTAGAGAGCGGGCCAGGCCGTCCCTGGTACATGTACATACATACAAATGGGGAACCAAGTCTTCTTCAAGACTCCCAAGTACCGAAAGTCAATTAGACTGTGGCGGTGGCAGTCTCGGTGCGTCTTGGTTCGCGAAAGCTCCACTGCAAAATAGGATATGCTGAGCTTTTTGCTCCCGAAAGGTTTTACCCTCCGTGCACCGTGTTATCGGCCACGGTAGCTAGCCACCTAGTTAGAGAAAAAGGGGCCCTGAGCTGGCTCAACAGTTGTACCGCCCAACAACCATGGGAAACATATAGAAATATTAAGTATTTTGCTGTGCTAGATGATGGCCTTCATACCCGCAGCCCGAACCGTAAGGCCGTTGACAGGAGCTTCGTAATCAAAGATCAGACGAACTGGGGAGTAGGTACGGTCACTGGGAGTCATATCTATCTCGGGCTGAAGAGTTCAGATGTACATGTACTCCCTATGACTGAAAAGTGTGGCTGATGCGGTTGTTTATTTTCTAGCGTCAGGAGTTCAGGGTTGGAGCAGGATGGATAAGTTAGTAGGTAGTAATGCATCACCCAGTCGCCCAGGTCCCGTATATGAGTCGCAATGACTTTTGGCTCTTGTTGGTTCTCTGGCCCTTGTAAAACGTAGTTTCATCGCTGGTAGGGTCGCATCAATTGACTCAGCTCAGGATATGTGGTTGGTCCATGAAAAAATGCACACAATTATTGCTCCTGTCATTCCAACTCATCATTGCACATGTATCACCATTTCTTCGTTCGCAGTTCCCATCTTTAGCACCGTCCCTGGCCCCCCCCCTTTTTTTTTTTTTTTTTTTTTTTTTTTTGGGATCACCGTGCGACAGGCAGGCAGATTGTAACACGATTCATCCATCCTATGCATTGTAAATCGTGGTCTTGCCGGGATAATCTCCCTTGGGGCCATAGGGCTGAGCAGCTCAAGGCACATCCGATCGGATACGGTAAATAATAACAATGGCTTTTTTTCCCGGCCCGCAGAATCAGCCACGTTGGCAATCCGAGCTAGGGAGTTTGTGAGTGACAGTGGTATACATGGTGCAAGTACCTCACAGGTTACATAACATACATACCAGTGGCCGCTGGGTGGTTGGACAGGTGAGGCTGGGGCCTGGCTTGACCATGACTGCCCGTCCGTCCGTTCTCTTTTCTTCTCCTTAGAACGGATTAGTTTTGTCCGGATATTGACTATTGACGAGTGAGATCTTTCCGGTGAGGTCATAGATGTTTGTCAGCTGATTCAGCCATTGGGCTAGCTACGTTGAACTGGCGGTCATGTTGAGAAAATAAATAAATGGGAGCCATTCTATCCGATCAATGCCGGCCTTTTTACACCTGGAAAATGAGTCAGAGTGTTTCATCTTTTGTTCTTTTCGTTCTACCCGGCGGAGTGTTGGAAGAGGGCATCAAGCCTGGGTGAACGACTCTGCGGCAGATTTCGGAAGCAATACTGAGAGTACTAGGAACCCCGGTGAGTTGCAGCAGGGAGATGCGAATAGAATGGCAGTTAACCGAAGATTAACCGGTTCTGATCTATCATATGATAATTTCTATAACCCCATTTACTACAAGTTCGCAACATTTGTGATTCGGGACTGACTGGGTTGAGAGTGAGCAAGCACAGCACGCTGTTGATATCCAGAGCAGAAACAGTGACGTCCAGGGGGAAGCTGGCTCTAGAAATGATATCAGAGAGTAATCCTCCGCATGAGTACAATACATGTAGAAGATAGACAACTATCAAATGAATCCGGGAAAATCACAAGAGTGAAGGAAGGAAAATGAAGCTGGAAGTGCGGGGAGAACTGGAAATGCCGTTGCATTAACCTAGTCGAATCGAATGTGCATTTCCACCTCATCTACATGCTTGATGCCAGCCAGAAAGCAGGATACAAGAGCAATCCCCTTGGTTAAGCCATACATGGGGGGAATAAAAATACAATTATGTATTGTAGGGGGAAAATTGCAACGAATGCCATGTGTGAATAAAGGGGAAAATAAGATAAATAAGGGGAAAGGAGGGCAGAAAATCGTCGAGAGAGTAGTACTCTACATAAAGTAATCATAACCAGTATACGCGAGGGATTCAAGAGAGACGCGGAGCAATAAACTATAGGAGAGATAAAGAGAAAGAGGCGACGTTGGGAATGAATATAAAAAGAATGGAGAACTGGACAAAAATAGAAGAAATTATAAATGAGAATAAAACCAGCGTAGTTAGAAAGATAAAAGCATCAGCCAAGCCAACCGACCTCTTGCAATAGTGTAGAAGTGTGCGGGTGTTATTAAGGAAGAGCATAGTTAGCAAAGGAAACAGCTCAATTCCCATCCTGGCAAGGGAATTCTTTATCATGCCAAGAAAGAAAAAAAAAAAAAAAAATCGCGGTGAAGGGAAATTGGAATTCATTCTCAAAAGGAAAAATATGAAACAATCACAAAACACAATCAAAAGGATATAAGGATATCTATGCAAAAACAAAAGGTAGGATGCCGCTATAAAATTGGACCAGGGGAGAGATAATCATAAAAAACAAAATTGAACAGGAAAAAAATACCATCAATCCAAACTCCGGAGAACGCAGCCAGCATGTTCAAGCCAAAGAGAATGGAGAGACGGTGTGTCGTGACCAGGGAAGTTGCGAATTTGAATTTCTTTTTCATTTTATCTTTTATCTTTTATCTTTTATCTTTTATTTTTTTTTTTCCCTCTCTTTAATTACTTCTTGTTCATGACGATGGTTCTGCTTCTGCATCTTTAATTCCAGAGACGACGATGGACGGCGTTTCCGACGACCGTGGCGAATCATCGGGCATGGTTGAGCTGACCGGAGACCCTCCTTCAGTTCCCGCGGAATCAGGTGCTTTCGCCGGTGATGGAGGCCCACCAGCGTTATCGCCATCCTTGCTTCCATTAGTCACTGGTGTCCTCCTCCGTAGTCTCCGGTTGCGTCTAGCTTCTTCGGCAGTCTCTCTACGGCGCGCGCGATCGGCGGCGCCATCTTTATCGTTTCTAAGCCCCTGAAGCATGCTTGCAGCCCTATCAGCGATGTCCTCACCCTCAGATACTTGTGTTTCTTTCGCAGGAGACGTTGGATCATCTGTCGGGCTGCGTGGACTCAAGAGATCGCCGTTGGGGGTACTGCTAGCGTCCTCGACATCGCCTTCGGTGGCTTTTTCACCGGCTCCGTCAGACAAGTCTGGCATTTTCTGGCCGGACGCAACCCTGACCTGGTGGCGTTCTTTCAGTCGTGCACGACGCCGGCGATCACGCTGGTCGCGCGCCTGCGGTGCAGCGGCTCGCAGCTTCTCTAGTAGGGTATCCATGGCTCCGCTGGACGTCGGTGATTGTGCATCGGCATTCTCCGTACGGCCGTTGATAGCGGCCGCATTGTTACGCTTCCGTGCCAACGATGCATCCATTCGCCGCCGCGATTCTTCCCAAGACATATTCTTCTCCTTCGAATTCTATAGAACGGCAGGATGTGAGCGTTAGATTTCATCGACACAGGAAACATCCAACCCAGGGCATGAAAAAAGACCGAATACCATGGACAACAGAAAAAAGAAAGAGGGTTAAAGCAATAATAATACTCGAATGAACGTACCTTCCACTCCGTGACAAACGCGGCGAGCTTGCTGAAGAAGTCCCTTCTCGCATTGTCATCCGAGCTATTTTCGCCGTAGAAGACCATGATATCATCATATGTCTTCGACATTTCATCAAGATACAGCTGCATCTGTTCACCTTTACGTCTGGCATCCTTCATTGACCTTTGGACTACCTGATTGACCCGATCTTGTGGGTGGAATTTCTTCGGGTCACTCAGATTGCCGGAATCCAAGCTGGCCTGAACATTCTTGATTGTGCTGATATATGTTTGCGCTTCGGTCCGGAGCTGGTCCACGTTCACCTTTTGAACAGCGACGACACCACCAATCTCCTCCACGAAGCCTTCCCACTCCGGGTATTGGTTTCGCACAATCCGTTCTACCAGGTCAGCAAATGTCGATTCGTTCTTATCATCCTTAACCATAGCCAGGCGAGAAAGGGAGCTGAGCTTGAATCCAACAGCTTGTTTGTTTGCCCCATTCATGAAATTCCCAATGTCCAAAATCAGACCAAGAACGTTCATTAATGACACCGAATCACGGAGAGATTCACAAACACGAACGATTTCCTGTAGCTTTGCGGATAAATCGTCATAATCCGACTCGAAGGTGCGAGTTAGCTGAAGAGCGCGCATCCGTCCTCTCCAATAATGATTAAGCTCGACGGCAGTCTGAAGATAAATTTGATCCTCACGCGTGAGTTCACTCGGGTCTTGATCTCGGGGCGAGTTTGCCGCGTCAGGGCCCGTCCAATCTTTGCAGTAGGGCGCCATTGCCTTGGCAATGTTTTCTGGAACGCTGCAGAGTTCGTCCTTCTGCAAGAATTCCATTACAACATTATTGTTTACAATATCGGGATCGCAGTGGATGATTTTCCGCACAACCTCATCAGGTGAGAGCTCCGAAAATTTGGCCATTGAGATCTGAAACTTATGCATGAGAGAACCTGGTATGATTTGCTTCTTGTCTTTCTTTTTACCCGTGCCAGTTCCCAGAACCTTTGTCTCCTTGGCTCTAAATAGTCTCTCAACTTCGTCCAGAACGCCCTTCTTGGCGAGCTCGGTATATTTCTCTTCTTTCGCTTCAGGCGTGGGAGCATGCGCTGCCCAGACAGTTACTTGAGGAGAATCGACTTTCTCCCAATGCAGAGCCTTTAACTTCTTTTTCGGTCGAATGAACGGCAACCCAATAGTGGCTGCAGGAGCATCCGCAGGCAGGTACGTCTTCTTCCAGCTGCCTATGCTTGCTCCAGGAGGCGGTGGTGGACCGCGCATGCCAGGGGGCGGTGGTGGAGGAGGCGGTCCACCCATGCCGGGAGGAGGGGGCGGGGGTAGTGGAGGACCACCCATACCTGGTGGAGGGGGTGGGGGCGGTGGAGGACCACCAACGCCTGGAGGAGGCGGCGGAGGAGGGGGAGGGCCACCCGCGCCGGGAGGAGGGGGCGGTGGTGGGGGAGGAGCACCAACACCTGGCGGAGGGGGTGGTGGCGGTGGAGGAGGGGGTGGGCCACCTATGCCGGGAGGAGGGGGCGGGGGTGGTGGAGGAGCGCCAACACCTGGCGGAGGGGGTGGAGGTGGGGGTGGTAGGCCAACACCTGGAGGAGGCGGTGGAGGAGGGGGTGGAGGAGGCAGCGGGCCACCAACTGCAGGAGGTGGCGGAGGTGGTGGAGGCGGTTTAGGAGTTGTAGTAGGCTCTGGCTTCGGCTTTTTACTTTCATCTTTCTCGTCATCACTTTCGTCAATCTTCTGTACCCTGGACGCAATTTCGCCCAACAATCCAGTCGCTTGCATAGGGTTCATGCGAGGCCGTTTGATCTCAACTAATCGCGGCCGTTCTACAACACCTTGCTCGTCACCATCCTCCTCACCAACGTCGGAAAGATGCTGCTCATCTTCAACGTCCTTCTTATTGGCGCCCTGACTTCGGTTCCGGGAAACAACGCCAAACGTGCTATTAGTGAAAGTTCGTTTCGTTTCCTCATCGAATCCACCAGCTGATCCGATGTCACCGCCATCCATTTGCTCGCGCAATTCGCGCAGCCTATCCGATTCTCCACCCTCCTCCCAAACTCTACCCTCAAGCTTGAATTGCGTCTTGGTTCGCTCCAGTTGTTTCTCGAGACGACTCATAAGTTTTTCACGATCGAGAATGCCATTCATCTGAGCCGGATCTGTGTCGCCAAGAATCTCTTGTCCCGCTTTCTGTGCTTTGGAGGCCGCAACTTCCTGTGCGTCACGAAGCATAAGATACAATTCGCGTGTCTCCAACTCATTCCGCTGCAATTCCTGACTCCGTAGTCGCTGAAGATCCTCCAGTTCTGCCTTCAAGGCATCCTTCTGTCGTGACTGGAGATTAATGATATCCGTTTGCTCTTCAATCTGCTTCTGGAGCTTTTTAACTAGCCCGTCAGCACCAAGCTCAAGCTGTGCCCTCACCTCGTCTCTCTCGGCAATGGCGGCGTCTGCAATCTGCCGCGCTTCAAGAGACTCATCGAATGCGCGCCTTGCCTCTGCGTCTGTATGTAGTTTATCAAGCAAGCTCTGGACCGTAAAATTTAAACTTTGCTTCAGATCTAAATCTGGAAGCCGACGATCCATGGCCACATAACTAAGCATGGCATCCACGAGTTGGAACATTCTCACTCCATCCTCCCCAGAGTTCTCTCGGATTAGCAGTAAGTGCTGCATTGCAGAAAGGAAGTAATCCTGTGAACGGCCATCCTTCATCTTAGCCGCTATCGCATTCGTAATCTGGACCGGGTCGTTCATATCAGTAACTTCCCCTTCGATGCTATCTTTCATACTACTATTCTCCCGCTGGAGAAGATCTTCATAATCAATGGCTTCATTTTCCCGGTACTTTTCAATTTGTTTGTCGATAGCGTCATACTGGAATTCTTCCATTTTCCCCAGCAGTCGCTTTATCCCGCAAGAGGTGAACTGTGCCCTGATATGGCAGCGAAGCTGCAGATCATGCTCTGCTGCGTCGACGATCATATTGATCAAGAACATGGTAAAGAGCGCATACTCCATCAACAAGTTCTCCATGCCTATGCCTCCACTTCGAAATTCTTCGCTGGCACCAACAAGGCTTCCCATTTTCCCTCGTCCGTCGATAGTAACCTCGACAATGCGCATCCAGGCATCGAAACGACCAGTCTCTCCTTGCATGTTTTTAACAGTGTCCATTGCTTGGAGAACCTTCTGATGGCCCTTGCCATCAGCCCAATGACAAAGGAACGTCAATATTTCGCTGACCATTTTGCGTGTGGTCAGACGTGGAGATATTAACGAACTGGCGAGTGCGATAATGACTTGTTGATGCTCCAGAGCATTGTCAGCGCCATATTTATTATTCATTAATGCCTTGAGGCATTTCGCGATATCATATTCGCGATCGAGGTCCCTGTCGCCGGATGCCGATGAAGCTGGAGCTGGTCCAGAGGCTTTCCGTCGATTAATTTTGATAAGGACGCTTGTTAGGGCAATAGGTCCTTGGGCTTCCACAAATGATTTTACCCAGCTGGAGCATGCCACAGTTAGTAAAAAACAACAAGTAGAAGGGAGGGGGTATATATCAAGTTTACATTATTGGTTGCGTCCGCAAACTAACACTGAGACTTTGTAACTGTTTTGTATTGATCGAATCATCCATTACCTTTTTCACATACCACTCCGGGCTCCCTTCTTCGTCTGCTCTTGAGAGCAGGCCTGCGGTGCCATCGGCAGAGCCATATGTGAGCCGAGCATTTTGCTTTCTCTTTTGCTCCCCCTGCCATTGCGTCAGACGGTCCTGGTGCACTAGAGTCCACTTCTTGGAGGCTGGGTATGCGAGCATCTGTCTCTTCGCTTGCTCCGGTAGGTTCTGCCACCCTCTCTTGATCATCAGTTCGTAGAACATTTGGTCAACGATTCTATCATCTTTCGGTCGATTCATGCTTCCGTCGGCAGAAACTGTTAACGAGGATGAGGGACTGGTAGAGGAGTATTGCGCTTGTGTTGTGGAGGAGTATCTGGGTGCTGATGACGCGGAGGGTAGCGCATATCGTTCATTAGACTGGGATGTGTACGGACGGGAGGAAGTGTCAATGGAGGTTTGAGTGGAGCCTCGCGTGGCGGATGACATAGATGAGTAAATGCTATTCTGGTCTAGGGATGTGCGGGAATTTGTCGACGAGTCGGGCGTCGAGTAGGAAGGGTAGCCGTTTCCTGGCCCACCCCATTGCTGGTATTTGGGTCCCTTGTCCCCCGTCTGGCCTGCAGCCATTGTTGTATTGGCACTCGGCGGAGGCCTTGGGCCGCCCGGGTGGGATGACCCAGTAGATGGCACTTGGCCATTCCACGACGGATACTGGTGGTGGTCAAATCCCGGCTTATTTAGGTGATGGGGAGACGGCTCCTTTCGTGGTTGCTGGTCTACTTTCGGGAGGTAATCAACGGGGATCGGTGATTTGGGGTCTGGCGCGACGCTATCGTAAGGGATAGCGGTGATAATACCAGACGACATTCCGAAGCCTTCTTGGTCAAAAGGTACGTCCACCGAGAGTACGGATTCGCGCTTGGAATGCCGGGAGGAGCGTGATCCCGACGCAGAGCCGCTAGCCCCAAACACCTCCAGACCACCGTTGCCTTCCAACCGGGTATCTGGGGGACGATCCTTATGTAATTTTCTTCCGAAAAACGATTTGCCCGCTGACGACTGTCATAGACTTATCGGAGGCAGTATGGGGAGGCGGCATTTCGACAAGTGGTGTAAGATGTGGTTAAGCAGGAGTAAATCTGCGACATTAAGCAGGACTTGGCAGCAAAGCTACTGCCAGTGAATATGCCCCCCCTGCAGTTTCAATAAGTAAAAAAAAGAAAGAAAAAGAAAAAGAAAAAGAAACAGAAAAAGGACGTTTAGTTCTAGAAGCGCATGCGTTTATATGTGCAGTCGTTGTGTTCTAACGGAGTTCGGTGTCATCTACAGCGCCCAGAACCCCCAGCTCTTTGCCGCTTTGCTGCGAACTTGTTCCGTTCTTCCTCCGGAGTAGTCAAGCACACACAAGTTATCGTCACGCTGGCGGGACATGAATGGCGGGGAGGACGATTTGGTAGACGCTAGTTCAGGCTCGGACACGGTGGTGGTGGTGGTATCTTCATTCGTATTTGATCTCGATGTCTTAAAAATGCCGCGATGTGTTTGATGCGTCTGCTGATCGCAACAAGTTGGTTGGGATGTTCGCACCTAAAACAGGGTGAGAGCTAGGGGCATCAGCAAGGCGGGATGAAGAAATCAGGAATCCACGCAGATGGTGGCTTGTTGTCCCCCAAAATGCGTCGGCAACGAACAAACAGGTTCAGTTATCAAGATATCAAAAGGGGGGGTCTGGCTTGTGTCCACGCCCAGGCCAGAGGAACCTTGGTTAAGGGGGAAGGCACGTGATGGGTTCGTCGGCCGATAAGATAATCCGGCTCCTGTCAGCTTCCATGACGAAGCCACTCAACAACGACATACGGGGCATTAAAACATACCTACTCTTGCATTCCTCAGTGCAGCATCGACCATCAGAACTCAAAGGGAGACCAGATAGAACCAGCGGCATGCGCTCATTACCGGTTTCGCATAATCGTCGCTATTCTTTGTTGTTGCCAGCCTGAGGATAAGTAAGGCTTGAAAGTTGAAACCTAGCCAAAACAACACCCCTGGAACCTTCCTCCGTATTTGCGCGCTGCGTTTGTACTCTATTCTCCACCATTGCGCTCTCTATTTTACAAATAACTGCCTAGCTTATTTATATATGGTCTCGCAATAATGGCGGGTTCGCTGGACATAGCGAAGGTTCGTCCCGATTACCACAAGAAAAGTAATGTGTACTGGTACAAAATAACATCACATCACTAATCCCATACCCATAATGAACCAATATGTATAGACCCTCCTATTCCCCGCCCTAATCTCTCTCGCCGTCTACCTCCTCCTCTCCTTCTTAATAATCCCCTTCATCCGCCGCTATCGACAAAGATACGCCCAGTACCTGCCCCTCCACACAGTCTCCGCGCACGCTTCCACGCTGCGCGAACGTGCCTCCGACGCACTAATGCACTTCCTGCTCCCATCCTCCTGGCGACAGCGGCATATATTTGGCGCACAGGATGGAGAGGGCAGCGTCTTTGATGACGAAGAGGGCGAGGATATGGTTGGGTTCGAGATGGATGCGTCGTCGAGGCGCGAGGCGCTGGAACAACAGCGGAGAATTGGTAATAACCATCATAGCGGCCGCGGCAGTGTGGAAACGGACCGGCGACTGAGTCGGGATATTGAGGAAGGGTTTATGGACGATAGTGATGAGGAGGAGGAGGAGGAGGAGGGAGGGGATGAAAGGCGGGCTTGAGTCGTTGGTGGTGGTAGCTGACATTGCGGTTTAGCGGTTTAGAGAAAAAAAAAACCCCCTTTGTTTATGTATTCATTTATTTTCTTTATCTATTGACAACCCTTTTTGGCGCCTACTTCTGGACGGAATAATATCTTCTTTTTCGCCATACTCGTGCTCATTTTTTAAAATAATGCTTTGACATATCACGAGCGGTTTACCTTTTTTTTTTTTTTGTGGGGGGGGGGGGTTTATGTCGCTTACCCGGTTTATTGGTGCTTGTTTTTTTATTTTTTATTATTAGGACAGGCGCAATTTAGGGCCTGTGCATGGATGAATGTTGGAATGTCCTACGAGCCCTGCTGAACGGATCAAAATACATGCCAATATCTCCCATGATGGAAACCGATGCCCGCTGCTTTAAAGAGCAGAGTCCGATTATTACCCGAGGAAGAATGTCATAATATCGTATGCGAAAGAAGACTCCTGCGAAGAACTCAAAGACCAAGTCAAAATCAAAAGAAAAAGACAAAGAAACAGAAAAAGAAAAGATCTATATCCCTGTCATGAATTCTCCCTAGCCCACAGCGTTCTCCCAAGGTCCCTCCCTCCCTTACAACCTATTCTATCCAGCCAACAATAGGTTATAGGTGGTATCCCTTCCTCAGAGCAACCAGGTCGAGTTGGAAATATAAATAATTCTTGATCCCTTCTTTATCAATTGATTATTCGAGAAGAGGGAGTGGATATGCAAATGGAAAAAGAACTTACTCCCGGCTGACACAATGTGGGGGACAGAGACAGATGTGGGCAAGATAAGTTACGGAGGGAGGTTTCGTAACAATTGCTTTCTATATATGTTTAGATATTGAAATATTCGCAGAATAGAGATGCAATATTAATATGGGGATATTCAAAGCTATGGATCCCTTCCTCGATATCTACACCTGACTTATCACCAGGAGAATTATCCAAGAGCAGCGACTTTTACCCAGAACGGGAAAGACTAGACTTTCCCCCGCACGAACCCCGCATTAACTTATGTCATCACCACTTCCCCTCACCTCACCTCCTCACCTCCTCACCTCCTCATACAAGATCTCAGACAATCAATCAATCAATCCATCCATCCATCCATCCTGGGACGGGGGGATTCCAGCCATCCGCTGCACTGAGTGTTCTCCTCTCCAGCAACGGAGGGGACCGAGGGATGAAAGCGGGGGGGCAAGGGGCCAGCCATACAGCGTAGTATTGCTGATACAGATAGTTTAGTCTATACAAGGGGGTGCACAAAAGGGGCCAAAAGGGGCCAAAAGGGAATGGATATGAATGATATCTCGAACTGATTTGATGCAATGTACTGCACGGGATCGGCATATATTTCCCAGTCATGGAATGGAATGAACAACCCTTCAGTTCTTCTCCCCCCCCTTAACCTATGTATATAATCAAATCAATCAATCAATCAATCAATCAATCTTCCCTGCGAATCTGTTCTATCCGCAACCAAACCTGGACAAATCACCGCTGGAGACCCTGTTTCGGAGGAATGGATCGAATAATCCAATCCACTCCAGGCCAGCAAATAACTAACGTCTTCGCTTCCCGTCCTGCTGGCGCGGTTTGCCCGGTCCAGAGCCAATCCTTGGAATTCTTGCTCGTTGAGTGAGTGGGGCAGTAGTCGGGGGGTGGGAGAGAGTTCTTTTTCTAGCATGGGATAATGAGTTGGATGCGGCGGATATCATAGGAGTCTGTCTGTGCAATAGTTACGAGAGGTGCTTCATGTGGGGTGGGCACTAGAATATATAGGTGTAACACTCCTCCTCCTACTGTTCTTCTTCTTCTTCTTCTTCTTCTTCTTCTTCTTCTTGCCTAGATGCTTGTCTAATATATAAACTGGGCAAACCTCCCAGTTTTCTTTGCTTTTTCGTCTCTCATTGCTTGCCCAGGTATCTCTACCGTGATCAAGTTGTTTTACCCCGCCTGCAACTATCAAGGTTCCATCTGCTATACTACGCTATACACCCGCGACTCTCATACTCGAATCAGTCAAATACATCATATTCAAAGGTCCGTCCTGTCGCATCCGTGGCTAGCCTGACTAAGCACAACACTCCCCCCTCTCCCCCCTCCCCTCCCCTCCCCTCCCCTCCCCGCCCCGCTGCTTATTCAAAATCTTACTCAACACAACATCTATCTACGCAGCAACGCGGCTCATTCCTCCTCCCATCTCAGCTCGTTGACAAGAAGTAAAAGATCGCCTATCTCTTCTTTCAAATCTGCCCTGAAGCAGCCACAATGGTATTTCTCCGCTCTTTATCCCGCCATCTCTCCCGCACTGTCCCCGTCCCCGTCCTCGCGGGTCGCGGTGTTGTTCCCCGCACCTCCTCCGCTGCGTTCCCTTGCAGCAATGCTCAGCTATACGGGCTGTCGTCCCCTTTGCCACCATTGACCGGAGTGAGAACACTGACCGCGAGTCCGAAACTGCAGGGTAAAGTACTCTTGGTTTTGTATGATGTAAGTTGATCCCCCCCCCCCGGGGCTTTTTTTTTTTTTTTATGTCCTTTTCTCAGTTATGTTTGCGGGCGCTTGGACATCTTGTTCACACTCCTGAGAGTCTCAGCCATTGTATCTGGAACTTGTGGAATTTCATTTCTAATATGAGTTACAGGGAGGACAACATGCGAAGGACCAGCCTGGTTTGCTCGGAACGACTGAGAACGAGCTGGGCCTGAGGAAGTGGTTGGAAGAGAAGGGCCATACCCTTGTAACCACCTCTGACAAAGAAGGTGCCAACTCTAAATTCGACCAGGAGCTTGTCGATGCTGAGGTTATCATCACTACCCCGTACGTTATAAAATGCAAAATGCAAACACCACCCAGCATCAAGCTCCAATCCCCTAGAGAAGATGGCAGTCTGGCCTTACCTCCCTTTTTTTTTTGTCCATATCCATATCCATATTCATCTAATTCGTGACTCTATCCCAGATTCCACCCAGGATATCTGACCGCAGAACGCCTGGCTAAAGCCAAGAACCTGAAACTGGCCGTCACGGCCGGTGTGGGATCCGACCACGTCGACCTGAACGCCGCCAACAAGACGAATGGCGGCATCACCGTTGCCGAAGTGACGGGCTGCAATGTCGTCTCCGTCGCCGAGCACGTCGTCATGACCATTCTCGTCCTGGTCCGCAACTTTGTCCCTTCACACGAGCAGGTTGCCAGCGGCGATTGGAACGTTGCCGCCGTGGCGAAGAACGAGTATGACCTCGAGGGAAAAGTCGTCGGCACCGTTGCCGTGGGCCGTATTGGCGAGCGTGTCCTGCGACGACTGAAGCCGTTTGACTGCAAGGAGCTGCTGTACTATGATTACCAGCCGCTGACGCCAGAGGTCGAGAAGGAGATCGGATGCCGCCGCGTGGAGAATCTGGAGGAAATGCTCGCGCAGTGTGATGTTGTCACCATCAACTGCCCCCTGCACGAGAAGACTCGCGGCTTGTTTAACAAAGACCTCATCTCGAAGATGAAGAAGAGGTATGTCTTTATCCCCCACCCCCCAAACCAAAAACAAGACGAATTAATGAACCCCCCCCCACCCCCACCCCCCAGGCTCCTGGCTCATCAACACCGCCCGCGGCGCCATCGTCGTCAAAGAAGACGTCGCCGACGCCATCAAATCCGGCCATCTGCGCGGCTACGGCGGCGACGTGTGGTTCCCGCAGCCCGCGCCCAAGGACCATCCGCTGCGCTACGTCCAGGGGCCCTGGGGCGGCGGAAACGCGATGGTGCCGCACATGTCCGGCAGCTCCATCGATGCGCAGGTGCGCTACGCGGAGGGCACGAAGGCGATTCTCGAGTCGTATTTCTCCGGCAGGCATGATTATCGGCCGGAGGATTTGATTGTGCATGCGGGGGATTATGCGACGAAGTCGTATGGGCAGAGGAAGTAAGGGGGGGTTGTGTGAGGCTGTATTTTTGAACATAACTGATATAGGGAGTGAGAAGTGAAATTTTTCTATTTTTTTTTTTTTTTTTTTTTTTTTTTTTTTTTTTTTTTTTTTTTTTTTAATGACATGATATGATATTTAAAGAAGTAGCAGAATTTCTCTCTTTCTTTTTTTTTTTTTTCTTTCTTTTTTCTTTTTCTTCTTTTTTTTTTTTTTTTTTTGCTATTCTCCTATTCTCCTCCCTTTATTTTTATTTAACAAAAGAGAGAGATCAAACTACGGACAGAGTTACTGTGTCAAACAATTTCACCGAGAGGAAGCTTATGAAGCTATAACTAGTTATAAAAAATTCACAGAGCTCAATCACCATCAGCCTTTTACTAGTAGTTAAGAAAATCATTTCATGCATATATATCAGCAGATAAAATGATTGAATTATCTCTGATGAATAAACATAAATATTGATACTTAAGTACTTACAGCTCTGTATCTAGCTAGAATCTAGATTTGACAAGAATAGAATCACTCTTGCTAACCGTTTATATGATAATTCATCAGATAAACAAGTTATGCAATCTGCAGTCCACAGTATGGAGAATATAGAGTTGAATTAGTGAAACAGCTCTCAGTATAATCTTTTCAGCAGCTCCATACCATACCACATATCATACATAAGTTACCCATACCTGCTACTCTCTCACAGTTTATCTCGGCCAAAATCTCCTCATGCTATGCTCGCAGACTTCATACCCAGTCAGCCAAGCACACTCTAAAACACCCAAGACCAAGCAAGGGCAAGACAAACTCGTATTCCGCGAAAGGAAGAGTAACTAACCAACCATTGACCTTCGAAACCGCTTACCCGCTAACAACCGTTGTTACAGCCACCCTAACCTCACCCTTCAGTTAACTTGTCACTCAATACTGCCGTCAATTGAGCTGGTCACAGTACTATGTAGTAGTCGATTGAAAAGCAAATACGCTGGCAGTGAGTCGGGTGACATAAATAGTTATTCTCTAGCGCAGAGGATCTGCAGTATCTCGTACTCTGTAGTTACTGTAGTAGCTAGTTACCTATTTTATATACGGATGATAAGGAGCAAGGCGAAGCGCTTGTCGATCACGAGACTTAATTAGTTATCCTCATAGCGTGCGTTTGAATGTCGCAGAGCGCTGGTGATTTTTATAGTTCTTTTTTATATGTTAGAGGGGATACCCCGAATTCTGGGGCTGGCTGTCCCTACTTGATATTTTTGATGACGGCATATTTTTTGGAGAAAAACTCTTACTCTTAACTTAGTTACTCACTCCTTCAATCAGCCAGTCCCAAGCATGTCTAATGATGATTTCGACACCAGATATGGCTTCTCACCAACTCCCACTTCCTTTATATATCCTTCGCCAACCAAAACCACCAGGATGTATGTACTGTACATACATACATATACCTTCCCCCCTGAAATCCCAAAATTCCCTTCCCAGAATCCTTCTAACTAACACGCAATCCACCCAGGTGCAAAGACAAATTCGGAAACCGCCACAGGTGTCCCGACAAAAGCCTCGTCGCGCCCCTCGTCGGCGTGCTCGTCGGCCTCTTAGTGCTGGTGGTGTGCGTGTTGCCCAACAATAATATCTTTACATATTTTTGTTTTTGTCTTTTCTTTTTTTTTCTTTTTCTTCTTTTTCTATGGAATGTGTCGCCTAATTTTATTCCCATTGATCTTTACCCTACAAGCATTGTCATCAGTAGTTACTCTGTAATGCTCTAGCTATTTTGCTCCATGTGGCTCTAATACTTGATGCTGTGGGCACAGTGCAAGGTAGAACCCATATCTAGGTCCCCTGCATTCTGGCGCATGGATTTAAGGAAATATTCCTTCAGGCTTCTTCCATTAAGCTGCTGCAATACAATGCATAGGTCAATATACAATGACTTCTGTAAGAGCTAGTACTATAGGTTAAAGCCCGATATACCCCAGAATTTCATAATCATGGCAATGAGGGAATTGTAGCAAAGAAAATACATGGCGAATGAAATAGTACTACTACTAATGCAATGTTCCAAGTAATGAAAGCTGGAACAAACTTGAATCAAGAAAGAAAGAAAAATTGAACTGAGAATACGTGGGCTAGGCCATCCAGTGCCAATGCTGCAAGTGACAGTTTTTCACCCTTGTTTTCTCTGTATGAGAATTAATGTGGCCTGAGTGACAGTGTTCTTCAACGCCTATGCCAAAAGGTACGTTTGTAGAAATCCGCATCTTCCATTATTTAGAGGTACGCAGCGTAGAAGATAGGCCTCCCAACTTCCCCTGCCGGCTGCGCGCTCTTTGTTGGTGTGGTCGTGGTATCCGCATGCCGCTAGGTTAAGTTACTTTGAAGTGCTCAATTAAATAGTTAGTTACCGAGCAATCCATCCTTGTTGATTTTCCAGCAAGTATCCTCCCAACCAAGATCACATTCACAAAACCAAACAAAATTAACAACATGTCTACTCATCGCCGGCAAATTTATTTCAATCCAACAGTCGAGCAAACCAGTGGAAATACACCTTCCAATAACGCGTTGAAATTCCATCAATCTCTACCCCACTATAGCCGGACCCCGCTTGTCCCTCTTAATGATCTTGCTCGGGAGCTGGGGATTACGGGAATCTATGTCAAAGATGAAAGCGATCGCTTGTGTCTTCCATCTTTCAAAATCCTAGGCGCATCATGGGGAACATTTCGCGCAATTGTGGCAAAGACTAACGTTTCCCCTGAGACTAGCCTGGCGGACCTTTCAGACACAGCTAGAGAACAATCAATTACTTTGTACGCAGCCACTGACGGGAATCATGGAAGAGCTGTTGCATTCATGGCAAAGTTGCTACGGATTCAAGCGAGGATTTACGTCCCTGCATTACTGGACGAAGCTACAAAATCGCTGATATCCAACGAAGGAGCCAAAGTGATCTCAGTTTCCGGTACTTACGACAAGGCGGTTCGACTGGCTTCGGAAGCTGCCAGTTCTGTGTCTGGTGGACTTCTCATTCAAGACACTGCTTTTGACGGTTACGAGGAAATCCCTCCGTGGATCATAGAGGGATACTATACTATGCTCCACGAAATCGATTCCCAGCTCGGGGAAAAAAATGTCAAACCAACAATGGTTGTCACCCCTGTGGGGGTCGGGTCTCTCGCAGAGGCCGTCGTTTCTCATTTCAAGTCACCAGGCCACCAGAGTACTGTAATGGTCGTTGAACCTGACACAGCGGCGTGCCTACACAAAAGCCTGAGGCTAGGGAAATGTGTTCCACTCGATACCTCGCGTACGATCATGAATGGCTTGGATTGTGGCACTGTTTCTTCGACCGCATGGCCAATCCTCCAAGCTGGTGTCGACGTTAGCGTGACCATCTCTGATTTCGAAGCACATCAAGCGGTTCGGTATTTGGAGTCACAGAATATACGAGCTGGACCCTGTGGTGCAGCTGGCATAGCTGCTCTGCGTCGCTTGGGCAGCGTCCGACCACTCGACCCGTCTACAGTTGCCGTTCTCCTATGTACTGAAGGATCACGACCCTATTCAACCCCCTTCGATGTATCCGTCGAAGACCCTATTGCTCTCTCAGAGTTGCTACATGAGATTCAATCACCCAGTCCATCTTCTTCCCAAGCTCCTGAGAGAGAAAAGGCAAAACTTGAGGACTATATTGCAGCGTGGTTGGAACATCGCGATCTAGACATTCGTCAACTCCACAATATTACCAGTTTGGGCCTGGGAAGTGATAAGCTGGCTAGCATTGCAACGTCTATGGTTTCTCTACTTCGTCCAAAAGCGTTAGACACCTTTCCACCCGCCAGTACAGATCGACAATAATCAATTCTTTCTTTTGCTGGTTATTTTTCAGTTTGTAAATAATATTTAGTATTTTTCTTTCTGTTTCAATGAGTGAAAATTGGAATTAATATTAGAGTGATGCATCTAGGCTCTGGCTTCATTGGCCCTATGGAAATATCTGAAACCGTTGAATCCTTCTGAAGGAGATAACAGCAAGGGTGGGTGTTATCGACTCGCAAAGTGTGGTCTTCCAGGCTCGAGAAGAGATACTATCTCCTGCTATTGTCAAACCTGGGTATGAGTGTACAAATGTATTGAAGCGTAGGGTCTCTCTACCTGAAAGGAGGTATTAACTTATGAAGATCAATTAATTCCATATAGAGATAAAAAGCTTTCCTCAGAGATCGTAGAAGCGCTGAGTACAAGTGAGATGCTACTGTTAAACAAAGGAAGACCTTGAACTAAATGAAAGATTGAAGAATCGTCTACCAGAACAGCGACTTTCACGATATTTTTCCACTGTGAGAGCAGAAAGGCTGCAATATTTATTTTTCCGACTAGGGCTTGGTTTGAAGCCTGGATGACTGTTATAACTACGGCATCTGAACCAGCGCTCCTAAGTTACTAAAGGGGTTGATATTGTGAAAATGGTTGGATGGCTCCGCCAGAGCAGGTAGGTAAACGTGAGTTTATGGCTCTAGGTTGCTGTCCCTTCTACAGTCAAAGCGTCAAGAACAGATTATCCGATCTTATTAGGGCTAGCTACAAACTTCCTATTTGGGTTTAGTGTAATCAACCTTAACTTCAAACCTCCAACGTTGCTCCAACAGATGCAGTTTCATCCCGCATGAATAATTGTGACGGCGACAAGCTTGAGGAGCAAGATCTTTCCCTTCTGCCCACATAGGTAATGGAGTATCCTTCCAGACGATCCCAAGGATTTAATTCTTGTTTTCACAATTCCCAATACGCCGAACATGTCTGGTTTAGACACCTCTACTCGGATCTATTTTATATCTTCTTTGGATGCATTTGGAATGATTTCTAACCCAGGATGATATCCCCAGGGGTAGCTGCGCTCTGACCTAGAACTACTCCCATGTTAGCGGGACTATTCCGAATTCTATAGATTGGTATCCAGCAAACTCGTGCTGAAACTGTGTGTGCTTGAGAAATGCCATTAATCAGGGAGCTCAAAGCCTTATGGCCTCCAGACTCACCAAAGTTTGACATGCATGCGTAATAGCGCTGGAGTGCAGGAGAGAACTTGTCATAACCTTCTGGTAGTTCGATGTTTTAACTTCTGTCCCCCATTTCTAGTTTATCCCCCTCTTACCATGATCAGGAGAGGTTGGATTCCTACGGAAGTATGTTCTTTGGCAGGTGACCAGGATCTGAAGCCACTATTGTGAGAAGGCCCTGGTAATCTCAGCCCTCAGAATCACTGAACCTATCTTCAACTAAGTTCACTGTTTTCCCCCCATCTTTTCTTGATTTTCATCCTGTCCTTCTTTATTCTTTCCACTTTGTCGCTCCTACGACTCCATAGCTGGATATCTCTTTATCGTTTATTTGGTTGCCATCTATTCTCTCCAACGGTCCCAAGCTGGCGAATCGGAACATTGGCATGCGACAGCCGGTATATTCTGGTGATCAGCAAGATGACCTTGGGAATGGTCTTAGCGATGGGTTGGGAAATCCGATGAACCAGTTCAGCAATGGAGCCAATTCTGGCGGAGAACCTGGAAGAAGCAATATTTTCGCGAATAATTTGGCTACTTTCATATTTTTGAAATTCAATATTCAGAGCCGCGCTTCTATTATCATTACGGCTTCATTCAGCGTGACAGCCTCGACTTTCGTGATACTGAGCATTATATATGGTAGCTGGCAGTTATCAAAGGGAGCCCATCGACGCCGGATCAGGTTAGGAACTCTGAACTTTGACTCTCCCCCCCCTACAGACTGATTATGCTCATGTAGAATGTTCAGGAGACGCTTCGAATTTTTACGTCACGTCCCTCCCACCAATATTATTCCATTAATGTTTTCGTTTGCGTCGATTTTACAAAGTTCGATATTGATAGGTGTTCAAAGCACGGGTCTCCAAAACGTATTTGCAGACGGATGTTTAGCTTCTTCACAAATTACTTGGACAGGTAGCTATTGTTATTCTGGAAGGTTTTGAGGCACAAAACTAATTCTTGCTTGGCAGCTGCGTGGATTATCGGCTACGTTGTATTGACATTTACTGCGAACGCAGTCTATCAAAGTTTTCGGTCCTTTCAATCTGCTGTTACTGGGCGAAGGAGTTCGTTGATTTGCTGGGTGGTCGTAACTATTATGCTTCTGTTGACATGGATACCTTCCAAAATTAGGCAGAGGGGAAATGACAGGTGCTTGGCAACTCTATTACAATGGACCACGCGCTGGTCTGATATCGGTCTAGCCTTGACAATAGGTCTGATTGTCTTGTTTATCGTGAACGGAGCCATTTTATCAGTGAAACTATGGAGGACGGCAAAGCTTGACACTCAGGATAGAATTGCCAAAAGCAGTATTGTCTATTACCTGGCTGGCACGACTATCATCTTTGTAAGTGCATCAATACACTTCCTCTCTTATAATGTGCATCTATTTGTCTAACAACAAAAAGACTTTGGTTCTTCCTTTCTGGATACAGGCTACTTTTTTGCGAGGCGTGAGCAACTTTTCGCTGTTGATGGGCTCTATAGCTTTGAATTTATTTGGCATTGTCTATGCCTTTATTTACCTCCTCTTTTGTGCAAATGGAAGGAACATAATGATCGGCCCAGTGGCCTCGACTTGGTTGAAGAAGCGTTCAAAACGCCATGATTCCACAGAACGTGCTCTAATACCAGAAATCAACCAACCTATTATTTGTGAGAACCGACGCGAATCATACCTCGAGAAAAAAGACTTTCTCGCTGGCGACGAAGATGACCTCGAAGAGCCAAGGTTTCTAAAAACGAAGAACCCTAAGCCAGCTCCATTCAACCCAATCTCGACGCCACATCCACTGGTCTTACATTCCGGAAAACCGTCGGGCTATTCTTTTTTCCCCACCAAAGCCTCCTCCCGCAACACAAGACGATTTGTTCTGAACTCTGACGATAGCCACGAAGATATTCTAGCTCCACCTCGACCATCATACGCCCGCCATCGACGCTTCTCCTCTGATGTGAGTGCAGCCACAGTGCAGATTGGCCTTCGACTAAGCAACATTGCACTACCCGCCCATATTCAAAACCACAACTCATCAACGACGAGCTTGGGTAATGTTCCCATTCAGACTGGAACACCCATTCGTTCGTCGCCCATCGAAAACCGCAGTCCTGGAGTCGCAAGATCTAAAGGCTCGCAGAAAGAGCTAGGGCCTTTAACCGGGTCTCTGACCGCACCCTCTGTAAACCAGAATAGCGGTTACCTTGCCCGAGTATCCCCGTTGAGGCAAAACCCACCTGGACTTGGAATTAGCCCTTCATTGTATTCCAGGCAGACACTTGTAACGAGAATACAGGAAGCCTCAACCAGCAAAAAAGATGTCCTTCCACCCGCACCGCTCCTGATTTTTAAGGGAGACAGCTATGCTCAGAACGAACGGCCCCCTTTAGCCCAATCCCCGTCTACATTTCCTACTCCGTCGCAGTCCACATGGCCGCGTCCTGGCCGACTATCCCTCCTACCAGACCAAACCTTCAAACAGCCTGCTCATTGGATTTAGTATGCGTTGAATGAAGCCACAATTCCACAATTGCCATTCATATATTGGCCGAATCCCAAATCTCGAACCCAAAATGAACTCTCTACCTAGAGACCCCACGGTTGAATCATTGACCCCTCAGCCGTACCCCATCAGGCACATCTAAAATAAACCTACATTACTTCACGACAATACCGCGTATCTTATTGCGGTTATCAACTCTTGCATCTACCATTTATTACTAGGCCTGCTGAGCCAGGTTCACTCTTCCTGGAGAATTCTGCCTGCTTTACTATTCCCCCTGTTGACTTTCCTTTATTAAGATGTTGTGTTTGGTTGCTCAATTCAAAAATTTTCAAGAAATGCCGGCAACAATGGCATAAGGCTATCCCACATCACCGTCATATTTTTATCATTTGTCTCTCTCTCCTTTTTTTTCTTAAGCATGCCCGCACGATTTCTTTATAACGCAGCACCCTCCGCCACCCTCCGCCACCCATTTCATAACCAACACACTTGACGAAATATACCCCCTTCCCTTACGTACAGTACCAACCTAGTCGCTTCTATTTTCATGTATTATGTATCACAGAATATATCCACTATGCGCCTCTTCATTCATGGCCCTCCCCGTCTCCAGCTAATCCCCCCCCCCAACTGTGCTCTTTTATTCCCTTTATTTATATTATTATGTACACTTCGACCCGTGAGCTCCGTTTTCTTCACCATGCTACATATCCCAACAAACATGGGAGGAAACATGAAATTGAGAAATGCAGAGAGTTGTAAGAAATTATTGTTTTTTTTCAACAATATTGCTAAAATCCATTTGTGAACTGTCCCGAAACAAAATGGAAGTGATGTACATGTACATTCACTTTCTATAATCTTTAGGACTTATTCCACACCTAGCTGTTAGAACTTGCGCCTTACACAGCTCAGCGGACAGGAGGCAACATAAAGAAACCCGGTGCAGTTCATTGTTGTACTCTAAACTCAATTCATTTTCCTGGTTACATATAGGTAACTGTAGGCTGAATACAAGTACCGTCCTATCAGGCGTCTGAACACGGACACTACACAGCGGGTGGGAAAGTGGGGAACAATAAAAACTCGAGCTATTGATACGTAGAACGAAACCATACACATCGAGGCTTTTGAAATCGCCTTATTGATATGAAACCATGCGCGCTGGTAAGCTCTCCGCGTCCGGACAGATATATTCGTTCGAACAGTATTCGTATAAAATAAAATGAACGAGAGAGAAAAGTTCACATGGAATAAATGATTCTATATCTATATACGTAGTTATACATGAGATGGGAGAGAAAAAAAAAAGCCGAGGGGACTAGGGAATGATGGGTTGGTTTCCACCCCCAACAAGTCATAATATATTATACACGAATACTCCTTACACAACAATATAGTCATGGGGCATTATCCAAACCTGCCGCTCTGTGGTCTCCAAGAAAATATTGAAAAAAAAAATAAAAAATAAAAAATAAAAAAATAAAAATAAAAAATAAAAAGGCAGACCCTCCTCGGGGTGGAGCCAGTTAGTTTCCTCTGTCCACAGTGAAGAGATAGCAAAGCCATCGTAAAGGCAAAATCAGCTCAAACAGCCCGATCAGAACACCACGTTGATAACTCTCCCACCACCAACGACAATAACTCGTTTCCTCTTATCCCAATCATTCCTCTCCTTCAGCCACAATTTTCCTTCGTCTGTTTCCAGAAGATGTGACAGAATCCAGGCCTTTTCTTCATCCGAAGAAACCTTTTTCGACGCAGAGTCACTGCCAGGTGGAGCAGGTATAGTTGTGCTGAAGCGAAGTTTTCCATTTACTTGCACTGCGACGGTTTTGCCGCCGCGAGCGCGGAGTGCTTGAACCTCGGGTGGCGAGAGGAGTGGAGCAGGCCAAGGTGAAGAAAAAATCGACGGGACTGTTTTGGCGGATGAAGGCGTAGTGGAGGTGTTTGGGTTTGAGCTATGGAGGTGTTCCCAGCATTCAGAGGCGAGTGCTGGGGTTATAGGGGCTAGAAGTCGGAGGAGAGAAGATAGCGCTGTGTAGAGGATAGTTTGTGAGGTTGGCGATGATGCCGTGGTTGGTAGTGGCGATGACGCCAGGGAATTTGTAAATTTGGTCAGGTTCGATATCACCGTGTTTAGACCGTAGGGCATCCCATCGAGACACTGGGAAACTGATGTAATCGCATCGTGCGCTACAAGTAGGATCGCGGATTCATCGTCGGATATCTTACTTAAGTCCGGTAGTCTGATGTCATTCAGGGACTTGAAAGATTCAGCGCTCAGAAACGAATGGCCTTCCAATGAAATGCGGGAATCTAATACAACGCGCCACAGGCGGTTGAACCACCGTTCCATGCCAACGATTTTAGATTCGTCCCACTCAAGAACTTCGCTGACAGGGGCAGAAAATAGAATATGTGCGCGGACTGCGTCAGAACCATAGGTATCGATGCAAGTGGTCGGGTCCACCCCATTATATTTGCTTTTCGACATCTTTTCAAAAGATACATTTGGGGTGGTCTGAGTGCTCTTGATCAGCGGAGCGTCGGGATTGGATATGTCAACCTCCGATGGCCGGAGGAAGCGGCCTGTAGAGGGGTCAGAGTATGTCTTGCCATGAACCATTCCCTGTGATAGCAACTTCAGGAAAGGTTCTGTAACCCCCGCGGGGCCTGGCAACTCCTTGGGAAACAATTCGGAAGTAGCTAGAAATTTATATATAAACCGCGCGTATAGTAGGTGCAAGATTGCGTGCTCAATGCCTCCGATATAAATATCGACGGGATGGGCATGGGATGGGGAAAATGGTTCTGTTGGGTTCGCCGGGTCAAGGAATCGCAGGAAGTACCATGAAGAGTCGACAAACGTGTCCATTGTGTCAGTATCCCTTTTAGCAGCCTTACCGCAGCTAGGGCAATAAGTGTGAAGCCATTCTTCAGCTGACTCAAGTGGATTTCCGTGACTACCTCTCAAGCCTGCACCTTCAATGACTGGTAGTTCAACAGGGAGTTGATCTTTCGGAACGGGAACTGGGCCACATGAATGGCAATGGATAATAGGGATAGGGGCTCCCCAGTACCGCTGCCGACTGACTAACCAGTCCCTAAGCCGCCAACTTTCTGCGACGTCTGCAAAATTGCCTTGACTTTTCAAGTCTTCGACTATTTTTCTACCACCCTCTTCAGATGACATGCCACTGTAAGACCCGCAGGTATCAGCTAAAATACCATGGCCGGTAAATGGCTTCAGTTGCGCCTCTGGTAATTCTGCTGGTTCACTTGGTTGTGATGGCTTTTGCTTAACAACAAAAGACACCGGCTGGGATTCTGAGTTTTCGTTCCAAAATGCAAAATCTCGAGAATCATGGCCGGGTACACCCATGACCGCGCCGTCGCCGTACTCCCCTAAAACATACGGAGCAACGTAAACCGGAATTGAAGCCTGTAGCGAAGGATTTGCCTCAACCGAGCTAAGGGGGTTGACAGCCAAGACGCCCGGCAAGCGATAACCCGCTTTTGTATCTGGTGGGAGAGATACTGCGGAATCGAGAAAGGATTTCAGCTCAGGGTCGGAGCTTGCGATTTTCACCACCAAAGGATGAGTCATTGACAACGCAAGATACTGAACCCCATGAAGGGTGTCTGGTCGAGTTGTGAATACCTGAATATCGTAATTATCATCGGGGGCAGAAACGAGAAATTTTATTTGTGCTCCAAAAGACTTTCCCAGCCAGTGCCTTTGCATCGACAATACCCGCTCAGGCCAACCAGCCGCCAGTGAATCAAGGTCCTTCAGTAATGCTTCCTTGAAAGCTGTAATGCGGAAAAACCATTGCTTGAGCTCGACCTTTTCCACTTTCGCTCCAGATCTCCATGAGCATCCATTCGCGTCAACCTGTTGGTCCTACCGTGTCAGAAGATGGCATACTGTTGGATATTCAAGATGGTCGTACCTGCTCATTTGCTAAAACTGTTTTGTCAACTGGATCGTAATTGACTAACGCCTTTGCTTGATACGCCAGCCCTTTTTCATATAACATAAGGAATATGCGCTGCGTATGTTTATAGAATTCAGGCGAACATGTCATCAACTCCTACAGCTCTCGCAAACAATTTGAAAACGTCAGTGAACCAGATACTTACAAGAATATCCTATATCATCAGGAGCTGACGAAACACAGTATATATTTATCATACCCTATCCCAGTCAAATCGTGCCCCAATCGCCCTCAGCTGTTCCTTCATATTGGCGATATTCTGCATGGTCCACCGCGCCGGATCAATTCCCCGCTCGATCGCGGCATTTTCCGCTGGAAGCCCAAACGCATCCCACCCCATAGGATGTAGCACATCATATCCTTTCATATGCTTGAACCGAGCCAATACGTCGGATATGGTGTAAACCCGCACATGGCCCATATGCAATGCGCCCGATGGATACGGGAACATTGAGAGGACATATGCCTTTTCCTTGCCATGGTTATTCACCAATTCAGATGTAGGATCACTCCGCCATTTGTCTTTCCATTTTCTGTCCACTGCCAACAGATCTAGTCTCCGCGAGGCGGTCGATGAAGCGCGAATCGCGGGACGGGCACGGAGCCCGGAGAAGAGGTATCGACCCCATTGCTGGGCGAGGGTTGCATGCCGGAAATTCATTTGGATCGACGTCGCATCCCCATATCACCCTCTTCCTAGAAAATCACCGTCAGGCCATTTAAAACGAGTGTGATTTGGCGATGTGGCCCGCAATTCCGTTGACTTGGACTGTTTATCCGTAAGTAACAGAATCTCCGAGCTCTGGTAAGGGTGAAATTCGGAGATACGCTAGGCTGCTTTGGGATTAGGGTATTCCCCTTGCTATCTGAGGTTTTACTGACGAAACCCTAACTGAACATCGAGAGTTATACAACGATGGCGCTGAGCTATTCATGGATGCCCCGTCGGTTTGACCTTTCGCTTCTGGTAGGTCTCACAGGTTTGGTGCTCGACATCATTTAAGCGAAGCTTGACTCAACATGTTCCATATACCCTCGTCCCCTCTTCTCCACCACCTACAACTACTCCGAGCTAGCAGCTACTCTACTGATAGATACAGGAGGGAAGGGATTCAGTTTGATAGGATGAGTTGATACAAAGGCTGGTCATTGGATTTTCTAGAAAATGATATTGACTCAGTGTATGATCATTGTCATAATCTTGAAGACATGCATCAACGAAAGCCTTGATTTTGAAATTTTCAAGCATGATCAGGTCTAAAATACAGGGAACATGGACCTAAAAACATTTGTAGCTTCCGGGACCTGTGCGCTAACATATGAGAAGCATAGAAAGTCTCAGCTGTCTATTTACCAGGGAGGAAGAGGTGGTATGGCATTCCGGATCCAAAATCTAGTTTTGGTCAGTAATAGGATTTCGTTACTCTTTCACGACAGTGTAAAGAGGGGAGTTAAAGGCAGCAGTGACGAAAAAGCATGCGAGATAATCATTCATAGCCATAACGGGCTGTTTGAGCAAATTGTCAAGGTGTGTTGATTTTCTCATGTCCCACTCACGGGTAACTTACTAACTTGGAGTACACTATATTCCGACTTGCGCTCACGGATCTCCACACACACATATCCAATTTTCACATGGAAACAATCCGCAACTTAATCGGCGCGAACCGCCATCCGAGAGCTTATGCAATGCGATTACAAGGATGCTTCGAATTTTGTGTCACTGACCAGACAGCACGCACAGGTTTCCAGGTTGCTGTCAGGCTGAGTTTGAAGCAAAGCGTTTGTTTAGAGCCGCAAGTGGAACTCGGCAACCATGATCGTCGTGCTAGCCGGCCAGGAATGGCGCTGATCAACAACCTCGCCGACCGCCACGAGGTTGGACCCGCTGGCTGCGGAGTGGCTCCCTATGCCACTTCGGCCCACCAACTTCCCTCACGGTCTCCTGAGCCGGTTAGCATCGTGTGGCCTGAGTTGTTATTTGTTCATGTACTCTGTGCGGTACATATACATGTGCATTAGTGTACTTCATTTCTTCGTCAACGTGTTGAGGTGTGGTTGATTCAAATAACTACTTAGAGTTGTCTTCCCCACGATATCCTGGCGCACTGCCCTTTCCCAAGCTATGACACTACCACGGGAAACGTTCCGACAATTTTAGAACTCAGTCATCTTGAAGTTTTACTATGCACTAATCTCCAAATCATTAGAAATTTCTGCCCACTCTTGGGAAGCAACCCCCTGACACGATTGGCCCCAGAGTCCAGTGACCATAAAATACATGTCCAATTCCTCAGACTTTAATAATGACTACCATATCTGAATCTAAATCTAAATCATATCTATTAGTCTTAATCTACAGTACCTACCCTTCCACCCCTCTCACAGCCTCATAATCTCCCCATCCGCGCCAATCCCACCGCGAAAATGCTCAGAAATAACCCGACCCCCCAACACCGTCTCCTCAACAATCCCTTCTACATGTCTCGGCTCAACTCTTCCATACCAAATCCCTTTCCCAGCCAATGACATCGCCCCGCCCTGTCCATTACCCGGCGACGACAATGACGGCGGTAGGTAAATAATAACATTCCCCGCATACTTATGCCCTCCAATATGACTTATTAGCCCCACATTCGCCTGCCCAACATCATCTGCAAACCCACCATCGCCAGCTTCCTCGCCGCCACTGACACGGAACCCTCTCCCCTGCAAGACGCGCCGGAACTCAGCCTGCAAAAGCGGGCCCAGGATCCCACACCGCTGGTCGCGATGGCCGTGTCCGCATATCAGGATGGTGGGGGAGTGTTGGATCCGCACCATATCTGGGAAGAGGGAGGGTTGGAGGGTGGGGACACGGCGCATGTGCTCCCTCTGGGCGGCAGGGAGCGCGTCGTGGGCTGGGTGGAGGGTTGTGGGGAGGAGAAAGACGCGGACGAAGGCATCTAGGCTGGGTTCGTCGAGGGGGATTGTTGGTATGTAGCGGAATGAGGGGAATAGGAGGGCGGAAGCGGTTGTAGGGGTGGTGGTGGTGGTGGAAGCGGTTGTGTTGTATGGTCGGAATGAGGTATTTGTAATCATGATATTGTTGTATGGCTATTATTTACTTCCGCAAATTCGAATTAGCGAAGCCTCGTAGAGAAATCCTTTTTGCAACATCTCGGTTCCATCATTCCTGGCATGGGAATCCAGCAATCAAGACCGGGGAGTGGGTGACGCGGTGTTCCCGGACCACCCGTAACAGACAATAGGGCCCTATATCAAACCGGTATACTCCGTACTCACATCAGCATACCTTCCTCCTCTCCCAATGAGCCCCTTTAAGCCCCTCCCTAACATTCCCCAGCCCTCATCCACCCCGTCTTCCTCAATCCTACTCCTCCAGTCACGCTGCCCGGTCAAGATAAGCACCTGCTGCGAATACGGCGCCATGGTGCCATTGAGGTCGCGCTCGTGGTCAATCTCCAGGCCCTGGGGCATTTTTGGAGTTGGCGCACAGGGACATGTTGGTTCCGGGCACGAGGGCGTTATGGGAAATGGTGGGGGGATGGTTATACGACGTGAGGAAGTTGAGGAGTTTCTGGAGGTGAGGTGCGGACGAAGTCGGTTGGAGTGGAGGTGGGGTCTAGCGCGACATAGTGTCGAGAAACGAGTCACTGGCATGAATGCGCATCCACGTACCATGTTGAAGAGGGCACTGGGAAGGGTAGAAGTCCTGCAAAGCGGCATTGTGAGGCCGCATTCGCCGGTCTGAGATGGTAAGTTATGTTTTAAGTGGGGAGAGCTAATATTTCAGCCAAAAATAAAAAAAAAGAAGAGAAATAAAAAAAACCCATGACACTTTAAATAGCATACCGTATGCGAGAGGTATGATGGCATGTATAATAGTTTATTCTATGAGAGGGGTTAAGAGAAGAAGTTGTTTCTAAAAATCTCAAGCTTGTTTTCTGTATGCAGCTTGATGCTTGGAGATAAAGGCAGATATTTTAAAGATAGTAACTTTGTATGAAATAACTTAACTAAATAAAAACTAAAAACTAGAACTGAAAAATATTAAAAATACATCACCTAAAATTGCTAGCGTCAGAACCTATCTATCTAGGCATTTGGCTTAAGGGGATACTCTGTAGATCCGCCCGCAAGAGAGACTGAATAACGCATAGAAAATCCCTTGCAAGTAATATACAACTAATTTGAGCACATGTTCATATATTCACACTCCCTATGACTATGTAAAACAGAGCAATAATAAAGTCTACTAAAAATACTCCTCTCGCAATGAAGTGCCACACCAAGCTTGTAAACGAGAAGTTCGGATCTCATCACAGGGTTCCCTGCTTGCAGTAAATATCTTGCATATATATCCCCGTAAACGAGCTTCAACTAGCCTAACTAAGCACTAGGTGTGAAAGATGCCAACTCATGCGACGACTCTGTCAGTCTCCAGAGCTGAGAATAGAAGGCGAAAGCCCCAGCAACCAAGATGACGTAGTAGGCAACAGTCCATCCGATATTCAACGATTTGTGCGTCATGAAATCGGGTCCGCCGTCCACATCCTCCTTGCCCCTGGTGACAGTTGGAATAGCAGACTCCCGCGCTTCCACGCGACCCCAAAGGCGGGGCAGTCCACAGTAGTTGCAAAATGCATGGACAAGGATCACTGCTGGCAAAGAGCCGGTCCGGAGGTAGAGGAAGGTGGCATACCAGCCAAATATAGTGGTGTATCCAAACTGGAAAAGAGTCCTGGCGATGGAAGGCATGAAGCTGGTGTGAGGGTGGGTAAGTCTGAACTCATAGAAGTGGTGCACGTGCGCGATTCCAAAATAGAGCGGGGTGATGAACACAATTCGAGCAGGGGATAGATCGGTTAGCAGGTGGAGGGGAGTTAGTATTGAGCGAAATATGACTTCCTCCGTGATCGGCCCCTACGCGATGTTAGAATAAAGCCTGGAAAATGTAGACAGCTGACAGTTAGGTGGGCTATGGATGGATGACTTACCGCAACAAAGTTCCTCCAGCCTATCCATCCCCCAAGTGTTTCTGCTACACGGCTGCCACGAATCCAATCCTTCCACTCTCCCTCAACAATACCAACCTCGAATAAAGGACCCATGAAAAGGAGCGCCGTCAACAGGAAACATTTTACAATCTCCAAGGCCCCGATAGGCCACCATCCCAATAACCGCAGCGCTTCTGTGGGGGGATAATTGGCTTTATAGATAAAAAAGCAGAATACTCCCAGGCTTGAGAGAAAACATGACGTCGTTACAGCTCGTACGCGAGCTTTAATCACCGATGGTGCATCCCTGCTCAAAGTAGGCGACGGTCTAGTTGCGGGAGACACATAGAAAGGGACAACGTATAGCAGAGTAAATATAACCTGAAATCACGTGGGTCAGTCAGTTGTCCAGGAGATGTAGTTGATAGAACCATGGTGGACACGAGATATCGCATGGCCAACGCCGTGGATGAGAGCTACAGAGATCTTGGAGTGCATACCGAAAGGAGAACAGCCGCAAAAATTGAAAGCACTGGCTCCGGTTTTTCTAGAGTCCAGCACGTTGTGTTAGAATGAGTGCATGGATGTTTTAATCAGGAACTGAAAAATTGTTAAAAGCAAAGCACACCATTTTTGCTATATAGGTCTTTCAGCCTATCCATCAGCCCCGTGGGTGCCATTACCTCTTTCTCGACGTTTTCGATCAAGGCAGGCCACTAACTAATGAAATGTCTTTGATGGTGCTTGAAAACACCGAAGTGGATCTCAGGGCAAAGGGTTGCGGGTATATCTCCACAAGCTATAAGATTGGCTCGCGGGCGGGGGGTTTAGATGACAGTCTCTAGCGGGCAAACCAGCATGCTGCTTATCGAGAGACGGTCTGTCAAGCTTCTGGTGGCTGCAAGAACCCGCTCTCTCTGTGCAATGCCAGGTGGTTGAAGGTATGAAAGGACGCTCTGGCTTTGAGCTGGAGCTAGTTACGCAGTAGTTTTGCCAGGCTTGGCGCACCACCGTCCTGACCATTTAATATCGAACCATTTACCTTTGAACCTTTGAAGCATGTGAACTCAGAACTCGAACAACATAACCCAACAAACAACGATCAAACTACTTGAGCTTATTCCTCTTAGGTATCGGATTATTGATTCAGGGTTGATATTTCTGTTTACAAGGAAATACAGAGTATGTTTCACCAGGCCAAGGCTCGGTGTTTCGTTGGACAGCCCGCCATTCTTTTGGCAGCCAGCTCATCTGTATGGTTTCCTGTTGGGCACAATCAAGATCTCCTCATTGAAAGTTGTTTGAAATAGTGACCCACATCAAGGGAGGACTCTATACCCGGGGCAGTCTCTATCCAGGCCAGTCTCTATACCCAGGGGTCTCTATACCCAGGGACCTCTATACCCGGGGGGGCTCTATACCCAGGGGGCTCTATACCCAGGGTTCTCTATACCCGGAGTGCTCTATACCTGGAGGGTAAAACCATATATAATAATATACTAACTACATTAATACTAGTGTAACTATTGGTGTGTGTCTATAATGAGTATTATGTGGAATTAGGCTTTACACTGAACAACATCTAAAAAAGCCATTATTATTGTTTGACCCATTCATCTGTCACTACGGAGTATAGGCTGTCCATGCAAAGACCAGCTGGGTGGCGCAGAAGCCAGCGCCCTGGCTTGACTTGCACCAACAGCTGCAACCAGCTCTGTGAGTGGATGGGACCGAGCGGGATTCCTGCTACTGAATTCTCGTCGAGAGGCCAGGCATCTTTAACATACTCTTTTTCTGCGATCAATTTGGTATTATCGCCGATTCATCCCAATTATTGTCCTAACAAGAGTCGTCGAAAGAACGACGCTAAAGTTGCCTGGCCTCCTCACGAGGAGACGTTTTTTGTATAATAAGAGAAAATCCCGCTGTTGCAGCTTCGAAGCCTCCTCTCTCCGGAATTCAAAGCTATTTTCTATCGCTACAATGATCTACGGTATGTCTACCCCCGCCAGGGGCCCCGTTAACAGGTACAATATCCATCTTCGCGTGGGCCTGCCTGTGTCCCTTGTTAACGAGCGCTTGATGTCAAATCCCCACCCCCGTGACTACTCTATTACTCCGTATCGGCACCCGACTCCTCCCACGCCTAAAACCGCATGTTATCCGCATCCCATGTATCCATTGGAATACTGGTATTCATGGGCAAAAACAAAACGCGAGGTATATGTACGGATGATGAGGTCCGAATCAGGAAAGACGGATGTTGATGATCGTCGGTCTTCCATTGACGATGCACATTATTGGAGATGTGAGGCCATGTTCTGGATGTCAAAGTCATGATTTAAGGAGGGAAGGCGCCTTAAAATTTCGAATGTGAATTACTGGAGATGCGAGGCGGATTTTTGGAGAACCACTTGTGCTGCAAAGGAGGACCAGGCTAGCCGCACGAGCATACAAGACACCGAATATTGGAAATGTGAGAGCAGATTTTGGAAATCTACTTGCCCAAGAGTCCACGAGGATGCCCGTTACGACGGCATCAACGACCCGAAATATTGGGAGTGCGAGAACATGTTGTACGAATGTCTTTTGCAACCCCTTGTATACGCTGAGCATCAAGGACCCACTTTTCACCAAACCATGTTGCGAGATCAGGGCTACGCATATGACTCTGACAGCTCTAGTGGATCGCCGAAGACTCTTCGCCGAAGCGCTCGACTTGCAAATTTGAAGCAGAAAGCCTCAGTGAACTCTTCTGCATCACAATCTGAACTACCTGCAGCAACCAGCGCGAGTGGTACAAAGAAAAGAAAAAGCGAAGACCAGGCGATCAACAACCATCACAGAAAAAGAAAACTTGCTTGCTGATTGGCAGACTACCACAACAAGGAGGGTAGTGCTAATGCAAGGCTTGTTGGCTTTTAATGCCATTTACCAAAGATTGCAACCTCCCACTTCGGAAACAATGGAACTGTACTCGATCGGCCTTACCCCTCTTCACGGCCCACCTTACATCCTTCAGATGTTCATCTTCTTTCAACTCCATAGTTTCTTATCCAGCTCACATTTCTCACACCTCTTAACAATGGCAATTGATGCTGAATTGGTGATAGGCATTCTCAAGCCTGTGACATGAGAAGCCTTTGAAGCTCTAGAACTTCCACACAACAAGAAATATACCACAGAATTCAGTCCTTCATCAGGACCCCAGGGCGGACGGAAGAGGCAATGAAGAGCTATTCACTCAGAAACTACTCAAACACAGCTCATTCTATCTCTCTTGAATGACTGTAAACTCATTAATTCACATCAGAGATATGTTTTTGAAAGTAACAAGAATAAGTGTGATGTTCTGCTTATCAATAAGTCTACTGACAGAGTCAGTGGCATTTACTTTGATTTAAGTCTTAACTGTGACTCGGGAGCACTGCTCATCTGGGATGACTCCAGACTTGACACTCATTTGAGATCAAAAAATGCTGATTTCACCATCATCTTGAACAAACACTCACATTCTATTATTTCCAGTGATACAATTTTAGCAGGTTTAATCATACTCACCATAATTATTCCAGACTGAGAAAGGAATGAGGAAATTTTCTATCAGAATATGTGAAAATATTACAACAAGTGAATAAAGAGGCCTTCACTGACCAGTACTCTGATGATCCCGCAGTGCACTAGCAAGCCAACTTATTTAGATCTGGGCAAGATTTCGACATTTGAGGTTCTCAGTAGTGGGACAAGTGGGACTGTCTTCAACGCAGTGGATTGTTATGGAAAATTCTACACGGTGAAGATGCTGAAGTCATTCAAAGACCCAGTTGATAATGAAACAGCCAAGGTGAGATTTGACAAGGAGTCTAAGGCACTTCAAAATTTAGATCATGTACGCTCATCCCTTGTCATCCCTTGGCAATGTATATCTCAGACCACTCTAATATATGTCTAGGACAACATCATATCTGTCATGGAGGGTATGGAGATACCTGGGCACAAAGGCAATTTTCTAGTGATGGAATATATGCGCATGGAAACCCTTGAATAACTTGAAGATCTGAATCCTCAAGGTGTCATCTTGCTGGCACATCAGATTCTTGATGCTGTATTATATATTCACTCTAGAGGGTATGCTCATTGTGATATCAAACCTGCAAACATTCTCATCAAGTTCATGGAGCCTTTTACTTTTGTTCTCTCTGATTTCGGGCTCGCGACGTGGGATTGTTTGCGGACCTTTTGCGGTTCTGATTTGTATGCTGCCTCTGAAATTTATCATCATCGATCATATACAGCTAAAGTGGACATCTGAGCAATTGGTTTAGTCATTCTCAAGTACACCGCCGGGTTTCCAACCCGTTCAATCCTGTGGGATCACAAGCTGTGGTTTAAGTCTCTCGCTACATTCGCCCCAAATCTTGACCCAATTCAGAAAACCCTGCGAGACTTTGCAGGTACAATGCTGGAGCCTGTGCTAGACAACTGTTCAGTTGCTCAAGTCTGCTTCACAAGGATTGATAGCATCATGAAAGGCGAGGTGGCAAACACTTCCTTTGACTTTAGAGAGCATAATTGTCATTCCACTCCAGCACTGCAACTGTTCAATAACATTACTGCAGACGACCTATGGGCCTGGATTCATTACAATGAAACCAAAGTATCATCTAGATCAATAAATTTGATCAAAATATGCCAGGGCCTTGGCCTATCAAGAGCCTCCATGAGGTTCTACTTGAACAGCAAAAAGTATCCATCATACGTCCTTCCTAACACTCTGAGGCTGAAAATTGTTATTGGCATATATGTTAGCATACCATGTGCTATAGAGTTTGTGAGAACCTGATGTCCGGACATGAAGCAGCTTCTGCACGATCTTGAGCAACTGGACACTTCAAATACAACGTCGGGAATACCAGACCCACCGAGTCCAGTTGCCCCAACTACAAACTCAGATTCTAATTCTCGGCCACAACCACGACCACGTGGCAAGTCGGTCCGCGGAAGCTTGGGTCGCTCGACCCCGCGAGCACTGGGCAGCTCGGTCCCTGCAGACTTAGATAGCCCAAGCCCACGAGCACCGGGCGGCTCGGTCCCTGCAGACTTAGATAGCTCGAGCCCGCGAGCACTGGGCAGCTCGGTCCCTGCAGACTTAGATAGCCCAAGCCCACGAGCACCGGGCGGCTCGGTCCCTGCAGACTTATATAGCTCAAGCCCGCGAGCACTGGGCGAGTTGGTCCATGGAGGCTTGGATCACTCGAGCCCGCGAGCACCAGGTGACTCGACCCAACAAGGTTTTGGCTACGGCCATTCTCCCCTTGGTGGCATGGATATGACACTCACCAATCAGGGGGACATTCCAACTGTCCTGGAAGAAGATATTTTCAGCAACTTTATTTGAAATGAATATTTTAGCAAAAATCCATTGTGAACTGCTGTGAATTCAGTGTATTCTTTTACTCCTCTGTGTTTGTTGAATTTTGAGTTTGTTATTCATTTTGTTTAGTGGCATATCACATATCAGTACCATGCTTCATCACTGATGATGGTAACTCTAGAAACTCTCAAACTTGGTTCTAAGGAGAGCAGAGCCAGCACTGAGAGTTGCTGGAGCAGCAACAGCAACACACTATTCTCAGTATTAAAGTCAGGGCAGGATCTGAATACTTCTTATGTCCCTTTTTTTTTTTTCAGCCAGCAACAAGGACAATTGATAGGGATCATGGGGTCCAAGCATATTCAGTCTATTTTGATTGAGCGAGCTTAGCTAGTTTAATATTCAAATTTTCTCCTGATATCAGAAATACCGCGCCAGGCATCAGTCCCAACATCTGTCATCACTTGTTCAGGTAGCATGGGTCTCACCTCTCTTAAAATATCATGTGTGAATGAGGAAAGGCCAGCTCCGCCCTCCTGGATGCATAAGCAAGAGATATTGCTCTTTTGCCCTGTGCTGTGCAGTCGTACAAAGGCTTACCAGTCACATCCACTTGAAGCGTGGCTGCTGTGGTTAGGGAAATTAACGGGAATCCGGATGTTGCTGTAAATCCGCTTCCGATAGATAGGGTTCGGGCCGGGTGGGGGAGGATCTACTTTTCAGTTTAGCGCTGCGGGTTCCACAACCTTATTCCCACCACAACCGGGCCCAACTCGAGCATGCGCACTTGAAAACGAGCTGCGGTTTATATCGCCATGATGGGGTTGATAAAACATGCTGCCTTGTATATATGGGATAAGTCGACAATCTACCTTATGAATTCATCCTTTTAGTACAGCAGTCTGCCCATGATTCGGTTGAAAATGAAAATGATGCATTCCAAGAAGCCACAACAACCATCGCGTTTTGAGCACTGTAACTTGATTAGATTTACCTACTTTTTAATGGATGTGGCTGTGTCTTACATTTACTAGCCAAGAAATCTTTCTCTCCCGACACTCTCCTATGCTTCCTCTATGAATCTTGTGGAAATCTTGGACTGTACGGAGCGATTCTGGTTCACTAATCGAAGGTCGATAGCGAGTACATTTTCTTAGGGCCAAGGCGAGGTTTCGTGTGGCACTCATATTTTCTAGCCCCCCGCTCCGCCATTTTGGCGGATTTAATGCCAATCTCAAATTGAAGATGCGTGTGTGGGTTCGCTAACAGGTGATGAAGTGGGAACAAATTTCTGCCAATTGAATTGATGAGAAAAGGACTGGAAAAAACGAAAGCTGACCTGAACGCAAAATTACGGATGGCTTAACCCATTTAACGTCAGCCCCGCGGAGAGCAAGAGCGAACGAGGCTGGCAGAAGAAGGGAGGAAAAGAAGGTACACACGCCATTTCTACAAAGCCATTCGGTTATTTTCCTACCGCGCGGGGAGAATCCTCCAAATTCTCAAGCCATGTGCTGTACATGTGTGTACATGTACATTGTACGCAGCGTACATATCTGGTCAGAAACCGGCAAGCCCAATGAAATACGTATTACCGGCGTTCTAGACTTCTGATGTCGGTTTTACTTCGTACTTTTGGTAGGGCCATTCTCTGCCTTGTTTTAGTTCTGTTTTCATTGAGGGAGGAGATCAGCCAGCCAATTTGAATCCTCCTTTGCTTTCGTCAGCCTGTGTGCGGTACCCCCGCTGGAATTTTTCATTCGCTCGAACAACTGCACCATGGGGATTGCATCGTAGCTCCCAATGAAGGTATCGGCAGGCCATCCCAAACCAGACAGGTTTATAAAGGAAGCGACAAAGCGGATACCTCGCAGTTGCTCTCTTTGTCGTGTGGGAAAGCCGGTCGCCTAATCGTATAACCCACCGAGTATATGTCGGACGCAAAAACAGACAGCGGTTTTTACCGACTAGATATGTTATCTTGACAAAATTATCTCACTATCTGTGTAAGGCATAAATAATTATTGTGTTGTTCTTCTAGGTTCCATTCGCCATGAACTCTGTTCCCTTCGTATTATCGGTCTTAGGGATAGGAAGCCTTGTCATAGGTGCTCATGTTGAAGCTTCGAACGCGTTATATCCGTTGGACGGAACTATTGAACAGTTGGGCCTACAACGGTTTTTCACAGATATATCAGAGCTGGAATTAGCGAGGACTTCGCTAAACACACGTTGTGAGAAAGCCGTATGCACGACCCATTTCTAGGAGATCATTATATACCATGTTCAAGGCTTGTGGATTGTTGCACGATTGATGTTAATACAGTGGTAACATGCGAGTAGTGCGACATCCTCTCTACCGTGCTCCCGTCAGAAGTGCAGTTCCCTGGCACTGATGATTACGTTTCCAATAAGAGAAGCTATTGGGCAGAGCAACAGGCTGCCTTATCACCAAACTGCTTTGTTGCAGTAACGGAATCCCTTTCCGTGTCAATATCTGTCGCTATCTCTCGGAAGACGCAGTGTCCATTTAGTGTTCGAAGTGGTGGCCACTCGGATGTTCCCGGTGCATCCAATATTGAAAATGGCATAACTATTGATCTCCGACCTCTTCGTGAGATAGTCGTGTCTAATGATAAACGAACAACATCCGTCGGTGCTGGTGCGAGCTGGGGGGAGGTCTACACCAAGCTAGATCAATTGGATCTTATTGTTGTGGGTGGACGGGTATCTCCCATCGGAGTTGGAGGGCTATCTCTTGGAGGTATGCTTATCACAACCCTCCAAAGCTATCCCTCAATTTCTGACGTGTTAGTAGGCGGTATATCCTTTTTCTCTGGGCGGGAGGGGCTCGCTTGCGATAATGTTGTCAACTATCATGTTAGTTTCCCCTCCCACTACTTTGGCGATCGCATGGGAATGTTAATATTTCTTCTACCCATAGGTCGTCATGGCAGACGCGCGATTGCAAAATGTCAACCAGACGTCTCATCCAGATCTCTATCTCGCTTTGAGAGGCGGCGGCAACAACTTTGGCATCGTCGTCCGCTTCGACCTTGACACCTACCCCCAGGGAGAAATGTGGAGCACTATACGATCGTACGGGCTTGATGCCAAAGAATTCATTACTGAAGGCTTAGCCGTGTTTAACGAGCATGCCAGTAATGACCCAAGTTTGTCGATAATAACAAGCTTCTCAAACGTCCAAGGCCAATGGATAAGCGGCCTCATTGCTCATTATGCGAACGCAGTACCCGATCCAGATATCTTTACATCCAGCTTCGAAAATCTCACAAACGTTAACCCTATTCATCAAACTACCCAAATTTCACGCCTCGCCAATCTCACCAAAGATTTCTCTTCCTATAATCCGCCACTAGTGTACCGCAACCAGTTTACAACCGCAACGTACAGGAACAGTGTCGAGCTGCAGAACAGAATTGTTGAAGTAGTTATATCAGAGACGGATAAGATCAGGGACAAAATCAGCAACCTTGATGGGTTCGTCTCAGCCGTTAACTTTCAAGCTATAACTTTGCCAATGATATCCAAATTCTCAAAAAGGGGTGGGAATATTCTTGGCGTCAATCCACACCGCGGACCGCTTCTGCGTAAGTTTCTACCACTATACTCTCCATTCCTTCCATGGTTTCGAAATTCTGTATTCAGATAGCTGTCAGATGCATACACGCTCTTACTAATACCTTGTTACCGTCATCTGAATATAGTTGTTCTGTTTAACTTTTCCTGGGCCAGCCGTGCCGATGACTACCTCGTTATCCCAACTAGCGAATCGATTTTATCTCGATCCAACGCCCTCGCGACAGAGCTTGACCTTCAAGATGGTTTCATCTATATGAACTACGCAGGGCCTACCCAGTCGCCACTTGCAAGTTATGGCGAGGAGAGTTTGCGGCAGCTGAGGAGCGTACAGGCGAAGTATGATCCTGATCTAGTGTTTGAAAAGTTGCAGCCTGGTGGTTTTAAGTTAAGCGCCGAGGCATAGTTAGGTTGTTAGTTTTATTCATTGCAAAAACACAGCCGGTGACACAGTGATATTACTCTTTATACGGAGGAATGGATGGGGATTTGATTAAGTCTGCGATGAGTGATATATTTAAATAGGGGATTGAGTATTGCTTAGATGTACTGCGCAAGGTGTTGCTAAGTGTTAAATAGGATGAGGAGATCATGGTCAAAGAATGACTCCCAGAAGGACCCACTTCCAACGCCCAAAGATAGCGTCAAAAAAATTAAAATAAAAAAAAAAAAAAAAAAAAATCTCCAAAGGAATAACTCCAAAATCACTACGGACTGTAAAGACGAATAGACCCCTCATCATCCCTCCATAACATCCACGCCGCAGCGATGGCAATCTTAATCGACGGGGCGATCCAGATCGCAATACTCTGTACTCCCAGCGCGCGTCAAGTACCCGCCCAACACCGCGCCCGGCAGGAGGAGTGTAACCACAGAAACAAAGCGCCGATCACGCCTCGGATTCTCCAGTAACCGCGCAGTAAATAGCGCAGAATCAACCATCAACCATACGCTGTAAGATCACAGTAATGTGCTACGTACTCGTGAGTTGGACCGTTGGGTAGGTAGTCCGGCGAAGTCGAGCATGTTGGCTGGCGATGATCTGGCCCGCGGACTGGAAGGACAGCAGTTTCACGGTGGCACGATTCCTGCCTTCCACTAGCGCGCCGCTGGTGAGAGCTGAGGAGGGGCCTGGACGACGGGGAATGTCGAATCAAAATGCACCGCAGGCGAAACTTACGCTGTAGGATGGATGTCGGTGTGTGCCTCTGGCTCGGTTGTTGAGCGGGAGCGCAAGAGGTTCTGCAATTGGGAGCTTGCATATCCGTGACAACGGCCGGGGTTCTTGGTCCCTTCGACTGATGGAATATTTGGGAATATTGAGAACTGTTCTTTCTATACGGAGTACGGAGTACAGTAGTTACATATACCAAGTCTGCATGCTAACGGCCGGAGATAAAGCAGGTCCCGATAAGGATCAAATCAGCATGGGCTTTGGTGGTTTTCAGTCGCGACGGTAGAGTCCGACTCGGGGTTATCCTTGGTTGGTTGAACCGTTCATAGGTGATCACGATGAGTCCCCTGTGCTTATGATACGGCAAATATTTAACAAGACATTTATCGTATCGTGAAATCAAAGTCGTGTGGAACGAGCCTTTCAATCGATCCCCCCCCCCAAAATAGGGGCATGCAGGTTTGGTTCTTCAGAAATCCCCGCCGTTGCGCAGTTTAGGGCAATTCAACTTAAAAAACCCTTACTGACATATCTTCAAACACAGGCTGCTGGCATGCAAAGAAGCATTTTCAGTGATTGGAGTCAAGCATGGCATGGTTTGGAAAGGGGACCTTTTGGCCGTTGCCCGTCAGCGCCTAGCCTCCTCGCGCGAACATCAAGGAAGCATAGGAATCGTGTCAATCAGTAGTTAAGAATTTTTGACAGGCCGTTCGTTACAAAGAGGAGAAGTTGCTTTTTGCAGAAGAGTAAGGCGAACTATCTCATCTCTCCCCTCAAGAGCGAGGAGCAAAAGCCGCGCCCCCAGCAAACAGAGCGAGCGATAGTATGAAAGTTCTCCAAAGATACATTGGATAGTTATACATGTATTTTCGTAGTTGCGATAAGTGAGTTGGTTGAGTTCTACGATGCCAGTCCGCCTGAAACCGAACCTCCCGCTCCAGTTCTATTATGCAGCATACAGGAAACAATTGATTCCTACCCAATTATATTATTATTATGTATGACTTGACTGCCCAAAAAACTCCTCTAACTCCCTTATCAGTCGATCGAACCCAGTGGCCCCATAGAAGCATAGGATAGGAGTGAGTAGTGGGGACTCTGCAACACTCGGCTTTCCCAATGTTGCTTGCTCTGCTTACCCTCGTGCAACGTATGGGAATTACGATTTGGCAGCGTGTCTCCCGAGCGAAAAGGACAGCAGCTAGGTTTGATTGACATTGGGCTGTGCAATGTGTTTGTTGAGTGAGCGAGATGATCACAAGAGGGAAATAGATGTGCGGGAATGGTATTTGCAAAAGCTGCAGTTGAGATATATTTGTATTAATAATTATTTACTACTGCGTAAGTTACGGAGTAACTAACTATTAGTTATCTGATTGGTTAACAATGTATATAGAATTAATCTATTCGTGAAATATATTCCACTTACTCCGTACTGAACATTATTGAAAGGCATTGTGGCTATTCATTTCTTTTTGCGCTTGGGAAACGTAATGTGTAACTCCACCTCTCTCACAGTCATTGTCACATATAACTACAGACTCTGCAGCACAGATGATATGGCATGTTCCATACGCATGAGCGCCGAGTTCATGTGCAGTACATGTACGCCGGCATATGCATGCTTCGAACTCGAATAATAATAATAATAATAATAATAATAATAATGGAAGAGAGGGGCCATTTGGGGTCATTTGCGAATTTGCCCTCCTGTGATTCGTGAATGAGAGGCCAGAAAACTTCGCTTCTGTCGCATCCATCGTGGGATTTTCAGTTGCATAAATTAAAACAGCGTTAACTACTGCAGGTACCGTGCATATTGACCAATTAAAAAACTCGCGGACCTGGATTTAGCCGTGGGATGTATGTTGCAGTGAGACTCAAGCGTGATTTTTGATTCGCTGGTGGACGGTTTCTTTTTTAGGTTGGGGTTTTATGAGCAGGAGTTAATTTGCGGGATTGTGTCCTTCGCTTTCGGCTGTTTTTGTTATGTATGTACTGTACAGTACATTAGTCCGAGAAATATTCGATAATAAAATCAATAAAAAGGGTAGAAATCAATAATAATTTTTGTCAACAACAACTATGAAAAAAAAAAAAAAAAAAAAAGAGACACTCTGAGATAAACAACAAGGAAAGTCATTGCGTCATGAAGTTGCTTACAACAACACCAACAACACCAGGTTGAGTTAACTTAGTAGCAGTAGTAGTGATCACCGACTTGCAAGGAACAAAAGACAGAAGGATAGGCGAAAGCACTAAAATTCTCAGATTCCTCTGGAGAAAAGAAATCATCGCGAGGCGTGCGTGCCTAGTTTATGCTGTTATGCAGGTCTGCGTTGGCAAGTGGATTTTTTTTAAGAAACTCATTTGGCGGTTAACTATTTCTCTGACGTTGATGCGAGGAGAGAAAATGTTTCTAATGTTTCGTCCCCCCTGCGGCCCTGCAGGCGTATCCACAATAGGGATTATATGATTATTCTTCTTATCAGCAGCGGGAAGAAGAAAATGAGTACAGGCTGCATTTAATTTGTAATGCAGGGGGCTCGCTGGTTGATGATGAATTTGACCCACGGGTAAACTCGAGCCGCGGGCGGATTAACTATGCTTGCGGGTTCCTGGCAAGCCTAACTATCAGCGTAAAGATTCCCCGGATGTCAACCAAGAAATCCGGTGTATTTCAACATGATATCCAAGTATCCAGGAACTGGAGTATGTGTGACGGGGAGTGTGAGAAGAGAGTCGCAAAGGGAAATAGTTGTTGAATAATGGTGATGGATCAATCAATAGCCTCGATGGCGCCACCCTTGCTGTTGTTTTTTTGATGAAACAGGGGACGCGATGTGCAATAATAATAATACATACATCCGGGCGCCACAAGAAACAGCCAGCAGCCCAAGCCCAAGACGTAACGCAGCGAGATATATCAAGATGTATCGATCAATTATCTCGGATGAATGAATCATGATTTCCCGATCCAGACAAAGCACGCTGCGGCCCACGTGATCTCCACACCGCCCCCCCGGCCCCCCGAACCCCCGCTAGTCCTCTTTCGGCGCCGTCTTGACGCCCATCGCCAAACGTCAACGTCAACTTCATCTTTTCATCTTTTCATCTTTCAACTTCTTCTCTTCGTCTCTTCGTCTCTCTATCTCTCTCTGTCTCTCTCTGTCTGTTCCTTGATTTCCTTCTTTAACCTCCGAAAACGCTGATTGCGTCTACATTCTTTTTATCTGCTTTTTGTCTGGTTTCAATTAGATCAATTCCACCCCCCCTCCCCTCCCTCCAAGTCGCTCTTTACCTTCGTTTCAGCCGCCCTGTTGTTCCATCGTTCGCCATCCATACATAGTTAATTACTTGTACCTTGCTTCTTCTCTACACGCCCATTGAAAAATAAATATAAATAAATATAAATAAATAAAAAACCAACTTTCGCCCGTTTCGTCTACCCGCCCGAGTCCAACATTGAAAAGCCATACACAAACCGAGAGTAATTAACAAACCGCTCCCAACTCACTCGCTCACTCACTCCCAACTCATCTCAACGATCCGCTCTCTCTCTCTCTCTCTCCAACGGCTCATCTAGCACCCTTCGGTGTCTTGGGAGCTAAGCTATTCATGATCGAGTAGTCCTTTTCGGTGGTCTTCTGCTTTCTTTCTTTTTGACGATTCAATTTCGGATTATATGCCTTAACGGTTTCTTTTGATCTTCAACCTTCATGAACTAATTATTCCTTTCAAATGCTTCTCACACTCTTTTATATATATACACAACCATAGACAGCAGCTTTCGGATCGATCTAGACTCTATTTTTATGATATTTAATCCCATTAATCTAATTGTTTCTCGCGAGCCCGTTTCAATTGAAACACCCTACCGTCGACCAGCAAACGGGAGACGGAGAAAATGCCCTCTCACCCGTCGAATGTTCCACCCTTGTCTCCAACAAAGCCGAAGCGCAGGACCCCCCTCCATGAGCGATCGAGTTCTCAAACGAACGAACAAAGCTTCCCTCCGACAGTGCGACTGATACAGGATCAGGACTTGCAAGATGAAACCGAAATATACTCCACTACACCCTATCCAACAAAGCCCGAACATGTCTTGTTGCCGCCAGCGAGTTGGAAGCAGGGGTCGACTTCTAATGCAGAGTATAGCGTTTCACATTCAACCCCGGAGTCAATCCCACGTTCCAGTTCAGGTGTCAACCTCGACCACAGCCTTCCAATTCATGGTGAAAGGGACATCTCGGGTGCGACCTCCTCCATCCACGGGACACACTCATCCAGTCAAGCATGGGATGATTCCTTAAACTCAAGCAGGACATCCATCCCCCAGTCAGTGCCAGGGATTCCCCGGCCTTTGCGCGGTGGAAGGCGGGAAGAAGATGACAATTCATCTAACAGCGATGGCATTGCACTTCCCCCCACAATCAAACGTGTCCCGCGGGACGACTCCCCATCGCCTCCCGCCCAGTCTCCCGTCGAATCCATATTTTCGGAATATGTTCATGGCAATGAGGAGTCAAGTCCCAACGTTGCCCTCATCGGTCTGCCCTCCAGCCCAAACATTATACCTATCAATACTTCGTCACCGAATCTAGTCCCTCTTGGACGGTCATCTCCAACTTTGGCGTCGGAACCTCTAACTGATTCATCGCTCTACGAAGCCAACTCGGTTGGAACTGCGAGAAGGTACATCCGCGCCGGTCAGCGGAATAACAGTCAGTGGAACAGCAGTCAGCGGAACAGCACCTTGACAACCGACGGTTCGCTCTCCGAGCCGCAAAGCTCCACCCCGTCTCATTCCATCCCGTCGAGCCCTCCGAATGTGCCATTAAGATCCTACCAATCAACCTCATCGTTCGGCGCCCTTCCCGCCATCACGCCATATCGAGCTCAACCGTCAACTTCATCTGCATCCTCAAAAAGTAGTCGATCTGGTCCAGATGGTCACTCGCCCACGGGTACTAGTACTCCTATCCAATATCCCACCAATCGCTACCCATCAGCTAGCTCGAGGGCCGAATCGACGATATCCCGATCTTACGTGCAGTCCATGACGGAGCGTTTTTCTGGCCGATGGAACCCGCATTTGTCGACTGTTCCCTCGGAATGGTCTACCGAGAGATCACAGAGCCTTGCCTTTCCCGATCAGCCCGATGAGAGTTGGCCGAAGCGTCCGGAGGAAGCTAAACTTCGGGATACTTCACGACCGTCAATATGCCCGGTGGATGAATCTGAAATGGAGGAGCATGGCGATAACCTGACACATTTGCGATCCCCACCACTCCGAAATAAGGCTTCTGGTACTTTGAGCCACAAGTCATCTCTCTCCGCTCTGAGCAATTCAAGAAATCTCCTCCGCTCGTCAAGCGGCAGTTCATTCCTCCATGTGATCCCCGCTTGGGCCCGAGTGTACTATAGCACTGGAGCGCAGTTCGCTTCGCTATTCTCTCCAGATAGCCGTCCCTCAACACCCGCATCACCGCCCATAACCGCCGTCTCCGTGTTCTCCGCAGCATACAACAGTGACCCGCGCATGGTAAGCCGGACGCCTCTAGGGATAACCAACCCCAGACTACGTCCGCGCGAGATCGAATATTCGACCGAACTTGATGAATTCCATGAACCCGATGAGCCCGATGAGCCCGATGAGCCCGATGAGCCCGATGAGCCCGATGAGCCCGATGAGCCCGATGAGCCCGATGAGCCCGATGAGCCCGATGAGCCCGATGAGCCCGATGAGCCCGATGAGCCCGATGAGCCCGATGAGTCCGATGAACCCGATGAACCCGATGAACCTCCAGCGGCCGCTATTGCTCGTCCACCCAATCCCGATCCCATTGATCCCAGGAACCATTGGGTTCATGACCCTGAACTGGACCGTGTTAGAACCCAAGTTACAATGGAAGACTTGCCCGGTGCATGGTCTCCACATTTGCATACGGACAAGCGAGTGGACCCCACACGAAGGAGCAGATGGAAGCCGCCATCTCTGGATGAGAGGGCCGAGGGACTTTTCGGCCGACGAAACGCCCAGGTGTATGCCTTCGCGTTAGGTTTTGTGTTTCCGCTCGGTATGTAATTCCCCCGCCCCACGTCTACCTAAAAACACTCGGCGCATGGCATGATAACTAACGAATTCTGAGCTACATACAGCCTGGATAATCGCCGCGTTCCTCCCCCTCCCTCCTCAAGTTAGCCATATAAACGAGGAGGCAACGACGAGTCGTCCGGATCTGGCACATGCGTTCAATAATCGTGTGGTGCTGGTTGATGAAGTGCGTCATGCAAATGCCCGGTGGTGGCGGAACGTCAATCGCTTCATGTCCCCGGCTGGATTGGTTATTATTGTCGTTGTGGTGGGTGCTAAAACTATTTTCTGTTTGAAGGCTCGAAGGAAAGAAAACTTACAATATTTTTGGATGACAGATAACCATGGCAGTTCTCTTTGCCTAAAAAACAACTCCCCGTCTGCCTCTACCTACCCGCCCGCCGGCCCGCTCAACTACGAACCTTTTTAATGACCCGATAACGAAACTATTTCTAGAAAAGTTATAAAAATAGAGTCGATACGATACCCCTTTTCCCCCAATCTCTCGGAACCTCATGCTTTCTGTCTGGCTCTGATCTCAAAGGGACAACAAAACACCCAAAAAAAAAAAAAAAAAAAAAAAAAAAAATATCATTCTCGTCTTTTTCTCTTTCCTCAAACGCCCTGGTGCGAACCGATCCCATTCATAACATCCCACAGCGTGGCGAAAGTCGCAGTCCAGCATTGCCCTATCTATATACAAACCAGGAACAAAAAGAAATTCGATTTTTTCTTTTTTGTCTCCTCGTTTGTCCTTTTTACATTATTCTTTTTTGCTTCTGCTTCTGATCTATTAGCGCTGGTGTCTACTCTACTGGGGCCTAATCCTTGTTTTATTTTTAACAATACTTTTGTTACATATTCATTCTTGAACTTACATTTGTCCCTGCTTTTTTTTTTTTGTTTTAGCATCTTTTCGGTTTGTGGTTTTCTGCTTTTTAGTTAGTCCCTGCCCCCTATTTGCCCCTCATCATTCCCTTCTCTATCCGTCTGCACCTGGATATATTTCTCACCCAGCCGAGTTGGTTGGCGCGACTTGTAGCTATATTTTCCCCTAAACCCCCTCATATATTTTATGTCTTGACTACTTAATGTCTTTTTTATCTTATCTTTTTGGATATTGTATTGCACCTTCCCCCCCACCAATCCCATCCATCCAATTAATCTGATTCATCCGTCCAGGCGACCACTTCTTCTTCCGCAGCCCGGGGCTATCTTTCACTTGTACATCCGATCAGCATTCTGCTCATCGTACTGACTTCACCATCCCCCGGTTTTGCTTTTCTCCCTTAGTCTCTGTGCGGATTTGGATCTTGATGTGTGTTGCTTCGGCTGGCTTTTTGTGCGATAGACCGGTTTGTTCATGTACATAACCCAATGTACAGCGCATACATAGCGTATATATTTATATAATATATGATCGTGTTTTCACACATTCTTTCTCAAAGGGGGTGATTTCTTTTTTTTTTTTCCCTTCTCTTTTGTGACTATTCAATAGCCCGAATAACAATTTTTTAACGCTCGTAGAGACATTCTTTTAATTGAACCCCGGGGAGTAACGATTGTGAGTCCTGTGAAGGCGGTTAAAGGTAAGTAAGTGAGTTACGTGGCGTGATATGCTCGCCTGCAAACTCTCTCTCTCTCCCCCCTTCTTTTGCTCTTTTCCGTCGTGTGATCCTAGCTGCCGTGGAAAACCCATTTCGACTTCTCCCAAGCTAAATAAATCCTGCCTTAAAAAGAGTTTTGTTTTTTAGCAATGGAAACGCTCCACTCGGCCAGGAAAATATAACACCAGATCCCGCTGTTGAAGCTTAACGATTGCTGTTTGTTCCTCTTTTGTATACATATCCGTTGGTCATAGTCATAGTCAATCCGCTTGGTTTTTGAAGATCAGATTAACGATTTGCTGCTGAAGCCTATATATTATTTTGTATGGTACATGTGAGAAATGAGGGGGGGGTTTATTTTTGGGGCAACAAAAGGGGGGAGCGGGGGGGTAGGTTAGGTAAAAGAAATTAGAAGACAAAATGTGCGCGGGGGGGAATTAGGATTGAAGATTTATAAGACAAAAATGTAGAGAATATATATAGCCCAATTTATTAAGCACAAAACAATCAGAATGGTCGTGGCCGTATATGTGCGTAGCGTGGCGAGACATGGTCTATATGGTGGGTTAAATGAACAACGAAAAAAAAACATCGTGAAAGCTCCAGAGATTTAGACGTATTCACCAGGCCCGGGCGATAAAGGTATAAAGAAAATTAGGCGGATGAAAATAGGCAGCTACCAAAAATCGTTTGTAAATAACACCCCTCAAAGCTTCCTCCCAAGCTTCTCTTCCACCGCCGCTTTCAGCTCCTGCCCAGACGGCATTGTGACAACACTCCCCCTCCTCTTCCGCAATTCGATCTCCCGCTTAACTTCATTGACGGCGTCCTCTATATCTTGTCCAGGGTTCGGTGGTAGACCTAGCACAGGTTGCTCGCGGGGTTCTCGAACACCAGCAGGTGGTCTCGAGACGGGGCCACCCCGGGCCTTTAGTCGCTTAACCAAATAGCCCTTCGCGGGACTGGAGAAGAAAGCCTGCGAAGCTGCTATCCCGACGATACCATAGTAGTAGACGCTTGACCAGACGTGGATGCTCTGCTTAAAGTGGAGGATTACAAAGGGTGCCACGATGAACGATAGGGCCAGTTGGGTTGTCAACCAGCTTAGGATGTCATAAAAGCGTTTGTATGGGGTTGGAGAGGAGCCATCTGGGGTGAGGAAAAAGGGGCGAACGTTGCGGCGGAAGTCTGGAAAATTTCGTTAACTATTAGTTGCAGGGAATAAATACAAATAGGTTTCAGGCAAAGGGGAGATGGAGTACTTTTTGCAGTTGTTTGAATGAAAGCACCTAGGATGAAGGTAAAGTAATATCCTGGGTGGAAACCATGCCAAAATGCGCTCGTTACGAAAGTCGCAAGACTAGCTCTGAATCCTGGCTTTTTGGCCTTTGGCGTTACTCTCAAATACATGTAGTTTTTCAGCCAGTGGTTGGTATTTTTATTCCAGTTACTGAGATAAGCGTGCGGACTTTGCGCCGTTTCCAGCCCCTTCGGGTTCACGTTTTCCAATCGATTCCACGACACTTTGCCAGTATTTGGATCAAAGCCATTGTAGCCCATCCCGGATAGGATGCAAGCGCCCTCTGTCAAGGACCATACACCGTAGTATTTGAGCCTGGAAGTAAATCCAAGCATATGAAGTATCCATACTCGTCTCAGCAGGGTGTATTTCAAATAATTATCGCTGAGGATAAATTCGACGTTATATAATCGCCCAAATTGGAGGAAGCCAAATATCCAGAACAGACCAAATGCTGCCCTCAGCAAAGCAGGTCTGCCGCTTCTCGGAATCTTTCGTTTTTTACGAGTCGGCGGCCTCTTTGCTGGATCTACTCCTGGTGGTGCGTCGAACATTGTAGTTTCGATCCATTTTCGATACTCTATATAGTCGAAAGCCGGTCCGGCGAACAGAGATGGGAAAAAGAAAGTATAGCCAGCGAAATCAAGCAGGCTAGGGAGTTTGGTAATAGCTGCGTATTTTTGTGATTCTGACAGCTGCTCCTGTGGTAATCGACCGTCATGTACGTTCCAGCAAAAGGCCGTCAGTTTCATTACCAGCACCATCTGAGCTCCCGTGATATCAATTGTCGATGGGCTGTCAGCAAGTTGTCTGCTTATGTGATTAATCGACATATGACCCATGAGAAATACAAATGCGATCCATGGCATCAAGGGACCGTCAACATAGAAAGCTATGGCATATGCCCCAGCGGAGCTGTAGAGAAATGTCCGCAAGCCGTCCCATAGGTCGAACATTCCAACCAGGTAAAATATTGAAACGCCAACAATAAACACATTCTTGAGCCATGGCTTCGAGTCTGGCAGCCTTTTTAAGACTCCCGCAAGAGGGTATGAGAGGAGTAATGAGGTGATCAACTTTACTGTTGGAAGGTGATAATTAGTGGCTCTTGGAAGGGAAAATGTGGAACTGGGTCTTATTGGTGGTGGACATACGCTCGTCAATGGAAGCCCCCGTTGCATCAGAAACGGGTGAGAAAGCTGCGCGGTCATAATTGTTAGCATCAAATAGTATGACAGAGTCCGGGGGAAACTTACGGGTGTTGATATATGGCAGCATGTTGAACAGTACCCAAGTGAAGTGGGGAGGGAGTCCAAACCTCGATATTTCAGCTATTTTAGCACGAGGATTGCAGTAGAAAATCAATCAGCATGGCACGCAAGAGAAATAGAGGCGTGTGAAGACGTAGTGCTCATATTAAATGAGCTCACTATGTCTCCTCCTCCGTATCAGGCGAATGTTGCTCGTTGGTTGAGATGAAAATGAAACGGTTGATGTGCGTGGTGACGAATGAAGCTTTGGTTGGAGCTCAACGAGATTAAGTTAGCGGTGGAAAAATGTGGAGCTAGTTAGTTACTTGCTCGCCAAGTATTTCCACGTGTAAAACCGCGGAGAGTCTACCCGTCGGGCAAGTACCCACCAAACAAACCGTCGTCATTTGCGCGCTGAACTCATCATCAACCTTGGAATACATCAAACCAACCTGTCGTCCTCGATTGAATCTTCCCTTAGATGCGTACAACACATCCAAACGCCCACTCGATAACCTGATCTACTATATACCATGAAACAAAAAATATATTCCCAAGTAACTCCAATACCGCTACCAAATTCCAACCGCTTTCCACCCCCCCCCCCCACAGCACCATCTCACAACAACTGTGGAAGGCTGTACAATTATGCCTTATGCCTCCTCTACTGCCGTGTAGTGACTGTGCAACAGGAACCAATGGCGATGCGAAACCAATCCATGGCCAAGCGCAGATTGCTATGCATCTTGGGCTAAAATAAGTAACACACCCGCCACCAAGCGGGGAGGGGTGCTTTGCACACGAGCCGCATGTTGACAAGGCTCGGGAGAAATCTGATAGGTCATTCTATCCCTAGACTGTTTTCAATGCACTTGTGCTGCAGGACACCAACATCTTTGTTGAGACAGAGCCTGGGAATTGGTCAAATGGTGGTGTACCTGTCCGACTAGGTGCACTTCGGCGGGGCTCAAATATCGCCTTTATAAAGCCACGCTGTCCCCCCGACAAACCTGTGTGGAAAATGAAAGATATCAAATTACAAGAGCACGCGATGCTTGTCGCATTCGACGAAGTCAGGTCTGTTGATGAACTTCTGCCGTGAAGGTTGGAGATAGCAGGATTCCAATCTGGCTTCCCCCGTAGTTTCTCAAACATTTTTGCTTGTGGTTGCGATTGCTTAGAATTATCCGCTGTGCGTGTACCACATCATGGAAGATGGACGCGACAGTTTGGATGAAGAATGTCCCAATCTGGGGGACGATGAGTAAGTACTTGCTACGGCTTTTATTTCAATTCCGGGGCACTGAATGAAAGGGACAGGCTCAATCTCAAGTTTATATCAACCACAACCGTGTCTTCGCATCACCTGAGGAAATCATCAGCACCGTCTTTCAAGCTGCTTCTTGGCTCCCCTTCCACGGATGATTTACCATTTGGCTACAAGCTTCGGCGTTTCTGGCCTCGTGCGGTTATTGGCGTCGTGGTTCCTCCTGTGGTTACGGCGTATTATACATTTTTGGTCTTATATTACCTAAAGCCTCAAGATGAAGACACGAATCCTTTGAGGGTGGGTCCGGGAGGTGCGAATTTTGCGTTTTGGAGTTGGTTCCTTATCGGTATGTAGCTTGGTGATTGATCTCCAACGGCTGTGGAAGCCCTGGGAGCTATGTGTCTAATTCAGAGTCTTCAGGTGTTTTTGGGTTGAACCTGTCAAAATATGGCCTGATTGGTACCGAAGCGGGAATGCTGATGTATAATCGATCTCTGGGGCCTAGGAATGCTCTTCAACTCATGATGCATGCAGATCGAACATGGAGTGGCCCAAGCGGCTGGCTAAAGATCCTTCGAAAGTCTCTGTTCCTTTGGAAGGCAGATGGGCGGTCTAGCCAAAATACTCGAGGCCATGCTCCATCTCGCCTCTGGTTTGTGCTTTTGTTTTTGAGTGCTCTACCACTTGTGGCGCTTCCAATTTCCGGCCTGTGTATGGAGTCAGGAGATGGCTATATTTTTCGAAAGTCGGGTCCGTCAAATCAGGTTGTTCTGGGTCGAAATCAAGCCAATTTTGACCTCCGGGAGCTCTTTTCCATTTACGGGAAGGCCACGAACGATTGGAAAACAGGAGCGCCCGTACGTTTACCTGGAATCGGCGTGATGTATACGAGACCAGGCCTGAAACGCTCGGAATATGACTTTCTTCAAAGATTTCCCAACACATTCCCTCCTGATTCAGGGGTTCCTGAAATTTTCCTTGCTCCACAAGCACCTACTCCAGTCTTGGGGACAACGAGTGGTCTCCTAATTCGATACAATTGCTCGTCCGCCTCTAAAATTTCAGATTTTACGATTCTAAATCGTTTTCACGAGCGTGGGAACTATTCAATGCCAAAGTACGATTCCGAGACAAATATCGTTACTCCGAATTTTCATTACCGAAAAATAGGCCAAGACCAGGTTACCCTTGCGAATTATCGAACGCCCAATATTGAAAACTATGAAGCTGTTATGGAATTCGGTTTTCCTAGTTATCCAGCTATACGATATCAATCTACAAATACATCCGAACGCCGCTGGGGAATCGAAAAGGATTTTCTCTCAGAATATATTCTCTATCAATATCTAGACCTTCCAGGCCCCAAGTCAGCCAATAAAAGTTCTGTCAATAAGTTTGATGAAAGTCTCCATGGTCAAGTGAGCATGGAGGTCGACGAACCTATTCCTGATGTTGCAGAGAAGTACCATCTTGAACACCACTCGACCGGTGGGAGTAATTCCACCAACACTATGAAAGTTGCCATTGGCATACGGTGTACTTCCGCGTCTGATTTCGGGATCGCTGATGTTGACGGCATGTCCAACACGTTCACCAACTTCAAACCTCATGATGTTATACCCGCTGTGGGTACAATACTTGGGGCTCCACCCTTTGGCCCTGGCGCAGTCAGAGCTCTGATATTTAAATTGGCCGAATATGACCGAGCTCTTGGTTCTATAGGGCCACAAAATGTACTTTCATCCGTGGAGGGTCCAGGGTACATTGATCCTGGCAACAGACGTAAAGTGATAGCTCCCAGCTACATCCAGTCCACGCAACTCAGGAACTCTGTTCTCCAAGCCCATGCTGCTTTCGCCTTGGAATTGGCGTACGATGGAGTTGCCAAGTACGACAACCTGTCACAGTATCTCCGTTATTCCAATGGCTCTTCTGAGGCTCCAAGTTCCGAATATCATTCTCGCAGTTTTTTCACGCACGAAAACTTCACCACCACAACGCCGGGAAAAGTCCTTACCCGTGGCCCGTTGAAAAATATATGGATTCCTTTGTATCTACTGGTTCCCTGGACAATAGGGTCTGTGTTTCTTGCTCTCATCTACTCTCACAAACCGAGATGGTCCGAAACGTTTGATGGGTACAGTCTCTTCCGTTTTGGGGCTGATTTTGCGGACCAGGTGAAGGGGCGGCGCGAGTTTGTAAGCACAGAGGACTACGAAATGTGTGGTGCTTTACGAGATCTACCAGGATTTATTGGTGACTCAAGGCCATTGTTCACACCTGGTCATATATCGCTGGTCAAGAATAGTATGGCAGCGCCAGACAAATTATACATGTGAATGATGGTTCAGCGACCATTATGACTACTGTCGGGACGAAAGGTATTTCATGGATTGGGAAAGCTCCAAAACTCCAATATTTCTGAACTTGAGGGTTTATCCAACATTTCACTCCTCATATTCTGGCGCATCCGATGCACGACAGTGGAATGATATTCTAACATAATCATTTGGTGTAGTTTGTTTTAGACTTGCCCTCTCGTGTTCAGTCAGCAGGGTACTCTTCAATTGAAGAGCTGCATGACTTCATCAAATTTTTATTTCTATCAGCACAGCACTGTCAAGGATGTGTCCCTTTTTCTTGGAGTCTTTCTATTGATGATGGCTATCTGGTGAATGAACCTTTGTACGAGGTTTCCACTTGTTTTTCTGTTCCACCGATATCAGAATATTAATTTGAAATTTCCCAAACTCATCACCGTTCTTCACTCAAGCCTTCCCTCCATCTATCTGGTCATGGAAAGTGGAATATGCCAATATTTTTCGGAATTCTAGCTCAACCACCTTGCCAAAAATTTGGTGCTGCTAGGCAAACTGAATAAGTTGACACAACCACTTCGATAAGCCAATAGCAAGGGATGCAACTATTTTACATAAACGAGGCTTGTACAACATATATCCTCTTATCCTCAGACATTGGCATCATTCATATGTCAACAACCAATAATGTATGCCCACTACTCTCACAGATCTGAGACTGCGGTCACGAGATACTCCCTGGGCACCAATGCATCCATGAACAGCAACGAAGATAAACGACGTATCAACACGAGGCAGAGAGGATTCTCACCGCTCCATTGCATATTTTCGAAATTGCACCCGCAACTCCATGATTCATACTAAAACAACCACCCTGGGTACTCACCCACACCGCAGTATGTAAAGGAGAAAACAGCAACATGCCAGCCCTCTTTTCTTGGCCGCGCAATGGCACCAAGAACATCGTCATCAGGCAAATGCCTCAGCAAGGCCATTATTATCCTAAAGATAGAAATCAATGGGGGAGAAAATACTGAGTTTCCACGCCTTATGTCAAAGAAATGACTGCATGCGGAGAGATCCCGAAGCCACCACCTCAAGTTCCCTGCCCATAGAAAATCTTTACATCCATTCCCGCCGCCCACTTTCCCTTGCACACAACCTTGGCAAACTTTACTCGTGTGACGCGCATAAAGAGAGAGGACAGCTTCAAACACTAAAAGAGAACAAACGCCAGGGGGTGTCTTTTCTGTCGCCACATACGGGAGCGGTGAATTTATGATTTATGCTGCGATTCCAAAGTGGGAAATTGAGACACTATGTACATGTACATTTCTAAGGTTGGCTTGATGTGAATCTTCACATGACATGAGCATGAGCCGAGCGAATTGAAAAAAAAAAAAAAAAAAATTCCCCAGAGACGGATACATTTTATTGTATCTCGGATATATATTATATTAATTTTTGTATCTCCTTTTTATTCTATATTTCACGAGATTTTCCCCGCAGATATTCCTAATCCGACTCCTTCCAAAGCTAACAATTTACATAAACTCCGCCTTTGGCGGTACTGATAATCGGAGACATGAATTTGCCTTGGGGGAAAGTTTGGATACAGTGGAGGATGGAGTTGGGGAACGATGGGCAAAATGTCTAGGGCGGAAGGCTGAATTGGACTCCACGGGCTGTATGAAATCATGCGCCTGTAATAATATATTAGGGACACCCTCCATCATGTCATACCAGACAGGAGGATGTTTCCGCATGTCAGAGAAGGGATGAGGGGGAAGTTGGAATATTCTGATGAATAGATGCGCTTTTTGCCCTCTACGCCTGGATTCTTTATCCCTGGGGATCCGCCAGGGAAAGATACAGTGTTTCTTCCCGTTCCCAGCAATAGAGTCTCTGGTCAGTTCACATTCGGTATATGGAGCGTAGCAAGGGCTTCTGCTTGATTGACAGATACCGGGGGACCGACCCATTATTATTTCCTTCACGAGCGCATCCGCGTCTCAAGGATGGTATCATTATTCAAAATGTGCCATTCAAACTGGGCTGATGCAGTGGGAAAGGCTTTAGTCTCTAGCATACCAATCTTCATGACCCCTTTGTTGAATGGAGAACGAAAGAAATCCGAGTATTTGGGCGTGTGATCCAGTTTCCACCTGTATGGAGGGTTTCCGGAGAGTTTCTCGGGACTGAAGCGGACCCTATAGCCATATCATGCAGGGGTCGTTCTTGAGGATGATAGAAGGAAGGAAATTAAACGGGGTGGAAATAGTGACATGACAGCTGGATGAAGGAGGAGATGAACGAAATTGCAAGCAGCAGGCCGGAATTAGAGACAAAATCCAATATCAAAAAATTCAAGCAGCAATATCCCAACCATACTAAAACACACAAAGAGATAGGTGAATTATGGTGCTTCTTTGGGTTGACCATACACTCAAGACAACGAGGCGGCACTAATCCATCAGGTCTGATACACTTAATACCTCCCCCTGCCCTGCTCATCCTTGTATTGAAACCCTGGAGAGGAGCCTATTCCTCTGGCAGCGCAAAAAGGAAGAAATTGCGTACAGCGTAGAGGGTCATCTTCATCCACATCCTGCTAACCTAGCGAGCACGTCTCCAGCGGGTTAGTTACCCTCTACTAGGCTTCCGAAAGACTGCGACTTGTGGGAGGTTGGAAGCGGTTTAAAAACAAAAAAAAAAATTGGTCGTAGGGAACTTCTAGCTTCAAGTATCCTTTTGAGTTGAAACCAGGCAGGCTGCTTGAAGAAAAAAAGGCTGAAAACGGAGTTTCGAGCCAACTCGTTCTTCGTTGACAAGAATTTATGGCTTGTGGCGTTTCCTGTCAACCAACGCTTTTTCCCAATTACATACAGACCTTCAATGGTTCATCGAATGATGTACGTACGGGTTGTGTTGACCTGACTATCTGCGACATGATAAAAAAGAGCTCCTCAAAAACTGTTTTCGATCTCGGCACAGCCAAGTTCTATGAATAGTACATACCATGCCATTGCCATTAATTCATTATTGCCTGCCTCATGATTGACCTCCAATACCAAAAATAAGAACACTAGTTTGACAAACCCCGCCCTATATTGACACCTGTCCAGCCAGAGCCGAAGTTGCGAAGTCTTTAGTCCAACGCAAGTTCTGTGACAGAATTCCTGTTAAATGTCGTCTTTGAAACCCGACAAGCGAGAATATCTTTCAAACGCCGCAATGATTGGCTGCATCGCCACGGCCAGCACATACTGTGGCGAGGCCCCAACCCGGCTACATCGAGATTCCTGACTGTCCCAGACAAAGGGCAGCTGATTCTGGGCTGGTGGAGATGGTCTAGATTCTTCAGTCGCCAGAGTGAGTCAAGTGAGGTCATCGAATTGCCTGAATGCTTGTTCCACTGATTGACTGGGCTGAGTTGTAGGGGTCATTGACGAGGATGAGGAGAAGAGGAGGAAGAGGAGAAAGGGAGGAAGAGGAGGAAGAGGAAGAGGAGGAGGAAAAAGAAGAAGGGTGTGTGGGATGAAGATGTGGAATTAAAGTCCTCTAGGCTCGATGCAGGGAGGTTGCTAGCTAAATACGAGTCACTGACTCTTCGGCCTGAAATCTGCTAAACAACTTTCTTTACCTTCCATTTTTACGGAGGTTATGAGGAATTGAAACCGAATAATGGTGGTCCCTTATAATTGTATAGTTTTGCAAGCGACCTCCGTCAGGCTCCCCCCGCCTGCATTCTGAATGGATAACTAGTGCCACCAAAACACAGAGAAACACAGACGCCCAAGAACAGTCCGGTTAAAAGGTTGATGATAATGGAGCAGCGTGTTAATCTAATTCCCATGACAAAGCTAACCTCACTCGCTGCCTTGTTGCGGAGAACTATATATACCTATTTAAGTAATTTCGAATATTGCGAGGAAGCAGACGGAGTAGGGTAAGGTAAGAGCAAGAAAAGAAAAGAAAAGAAAAAAGAAAAGAAAAAAAAAACATGAGCCGGGGCTCCATTCCACGGCCTTCTTTAGAAAAAAATATAAAAAAAATATGACGGCTACTTGGTACTTGAGCTGGGCTATTATTATCCAAAGACGGAAGTTCGTTCAACACTGGTTTTACATTGCTATTCTGTACCACTGCACGGCGGGCATGGCACAACCGAGAATGGTGCCTGTTTGGTTTGCTTGCCTTGCCGTCAATGGCATTGTTATAACCATGAAAGGTCAAAAGCCATGAATACCCTTCGTAGGCACCAGCAGGTTCCATGTATGTATGTATGTACATGTACATACATACATTGTCTTCTCTGCGGGGCGGAATAGATCTTTTCAACGGTAGACTTATGAGGAACGAGTATCATCATACCGACGGCAGATGTATAGACAGAACAAGTCATGCATGTGCGAATAAGTATGCATAAATCCAGAGAGAGAGAGAGAGTCGGGCGGGCTGATCAAGCTGTAGAATAAACCGGCCGGCTTCGAAAAATGAGAACATGGGGCTTGCGTTATTAACTACATTTGCAAACCACCCCGCCCCCCCGGGTTTTCTTTGTCTTTTTTTTTTTTTTTTTGCGCTCTTTCTGCCTGGCCAATATCCTGGTGGTGCAGTGCTCCATATGAACTTCACTACTCTGTAAGCACTAGGGAGAGAGCATAGCAAGGATTTCGGTTACCGGTCGGAGATCGGCAGGGAAACTCAATTGAGATCAGGCGCGGCTAATGGCACACATCAGTTGGTGCGAGCGATATTGAAGCAGTCCGCTTCTTCCTTTGATAAGAAGACTCTTTGGCATTTTCAAAAAATTACACGCAGATGTCACAAACTCTTGCCACGTATGTAATTGATCCGATCCTATCTTCCCTGCCGCTCAATGTGGTAATCACGGGCATCCCATAGGACACCAGTAGATAACGTGAGCAGTATATAGCTCCAGATAAACTTCCGCGCCCACAGGTGGCCCTTGGAAATGTCATGGTAGTGGTATCTTTTTCGGGATTTGCGTGCGAGATTATGACAGGGGAAAGATACCGCGAGCAGTCCGTCAACCAAAAACATCTTTACTCCCCAACATGAGTTTCGCGAGTTCTTTCTCTTCCAGAAAGGAAGAACCCCGGTACCAGTGAACAAATGAAACGAGAGACCCTGGAGATAATGCAGCCTGGTGACAAAACCACAGGCGCGACATTCCCTTTTCGGAGCATGCGAGCGTAAGAGTTTGATACGCCTACTTACGTAAAACCCTCCCCCTACCTACCCTACCCCCAGCACTAGGTATTTTTAGAACCGGGGCCACCCAAGGCGATTGTCATCCTGGAGTTTCCCTGCAGGCTGCAGCCCTGTCTCAAGGTAGCCTGGCCCCCCCCGTTCAACCGGCGCTGGGCCTTTATGATTTATGGCCGTTTTCAACCCTTCTGTCCCTAGGTGATGATGGAAAGAATGCTACTCTAAACAATGACATTGTCACGCCTATGCATTAGCAATGGAACGTTTATACATAGGGGGTGTGTGAGTGATACCCTACATGTTTCAGTAGTGAGCTCCCTTGAGACACCGAGCTGAAGAGGCAACAAGAATGAAACGGACGTTGGTACCTAATTTTAAAGTTCAGATAAGGACGAAACGGCTGCAGCATTGGGAATTTTGCAAATATTGGGCAACCTAATCTTCCATTCGCTCGTGGATGATGAATAGTAAGTTTTGAACCACTGAGGCCTTCATTTTCAGAAGTTTCAGTATGAACCATTCATAGAATATATATATTTCGGCCATTGGTTAACTCAAAGGCCCTCTGCAGAGAAGCTCCAGAAGCCGTTGGTGTGAGTTTTTACCTCGCTTTGGATGGTTGAAGAGCCTTTCTATCAACTGGGTGGGTGCATCTAGATGCCTACCGAATACCCCCGCCATATCGCCGGTTCGGACTGAGAAGTGTTTTATTATTTCCGCATGGTGCGCCCGCTCATCTCCGGGATCTCCAACCTAGGAGCTTTCCCACCTCAGGCATTGGTTGTAAAGCCGTTAAGAGTCGAAAGCCTTATTCTTGAACCCGGTATAATTCGGCAGCTTGAATTAAATAGAAAGAAGAAAGAAGAACAAAAAGAATAAAAAAGAAGAAAGGGACCCCGGGTGGGTGGCTGTAGCCCTTGACGCATTCACTCTCCGAAACTATAAAAATAAAACTTGGCCAAAGAATTCGGAGAGTAGTTATCTCAGGGCTGGAGCGTTGTTGAGGAATCTGGATAGGATTCGATCGGTTCTCGAGGCAAGGGAGGCCCTTTGCACTCTTCTTGCGAGTAAGCTGATAACAATAATGGAGCGCGCTTGGTTTGTGACTTCTCAAGGGTTAAGCTGCCCAAGGCGAAATGGGAATGAATGAATCCTGGCCAAAGCTAGCCGCTTATCTTATTCGTGGCTTAGGGTGGGTTGGGTGTGAAGCTTAGGAGGTTTGAGGGTAACTAGAGGAACTAGTGAAGCCTCAGCTTGCTTAAGTCAAGGGCTGGCAATCCCAGACGGATTCGAACTACGGAGTACTCCGTACTCCGTAAGGGGGGGAGAGACTTCCCACCCATCATCATCATCATCAAGAACAGAGCGGAGATGTGCAGTCTCGGCATGCTCCAGCGAGCCCGCGCTAGTGAGTATTATTTTAACTTGCCGAGTTCAGAAAGTCAAGACTCCACTACCGTGCAGGTGTGATGTTCATGCAAAATACGCGATCTGGATAGATCGACCGAGATATCGGGTTGAAGAGGGGAAACAAGCAAAGAAGCAAAACAAATGCCATTGGCGGCGTTCAGCTTGGCTAACTCATGTTTGGCCAGTGGTTGTCCGTGCAGCAATTTGCCAGCTAAAACGAGAGTTGTCCGTAGCAGCTTGATGGGCAAGCTTCAACTAGCCAGCCCGCATCTCAGCCATGCATGCATGCCCGCCCCGTCAGGGCGCCGTCATTTGGTGGTTTCTGCGGAAGCCCCGTTCATACATGTAGATTATTAATTATTATTATTGTACTCCGTAGATATCTTGTGTCTCCAGAGCTCATTTTGTTCTTCCAGAGTCGAGTGAGCCGTCGGCCCTCGTGCCCAGCAAAGCCAGAACGGAAGTTCGTTTGCTGCCTAAATTCTTAGCGGTAACTTACGCATGCAGCGCGCGCCCTCTTTAGCTGCATACCCTACATACATACCGTCGTCCGTTGGGGAGAAGCGCAAACCGCCAGCATGGGGTACGGTACTAGGCGTGGTGCATTTAGGGCCCCCAACCTCGTGAGTGGCATTTAGCTCAACCCACATCAACATCATATCATGCTGTGTGCTGTGTGCTGTGCTGTCAGGATTCTTCTTCAGCGCTAATAATAATGCCATAGTATAGTTGCATTGCCAGCAATTTGGGTAATGTCCTGCCAAAAAGTCAACGTAGGACTCAAGTTCGTCATCAGCCGCGCCTTGATGCTCAGGGTTTTCTTGGAACTCTCTCTCTTAGGTTTCCAAGCTTTGGTCCCTGCGTCCGCACCAATTGAATTGGCATCAAAGTGCCTTTGTTTTAATCGCAGGTGAGTTGGCGGGATCGCGAGGGCGATGATGCCTCACCGCGGGCTCATCCACATGATTCTTCTTCTTCTTCTTCTTCTTCTTCTTCTTCTTCTTCTTCTTCTTCTTCTTCTTCTTCTTCTTATTATATTTACTCGTATGCAGTCAGAGACTTATTTAATAATGACGAGTCCTTTGAGTGATGTTGAATGCATGTGATTATGTAATGGAGGAATCACAAGACAAGACAACAAGAAACATGGGGAATACATAGAGAGAACAAATTAAACACTTGCAAATACAGGCTTCCAACCCAGAAGAAATGAGCGATTCAAAGTAGCGATTCAGTACATCTTCAATTTTTGTGGTACCCAAGATGTTAGGTTCCTTGTTTTGAGTCACCCTGCGGGAATCACACACACCCAACCCGCACGCATTGGGTTTCCCCATGTCAAGGCATTGGTTAGAGCGAACTTGATGCTTTGTTAACTATCTGCTGACACAGCGGTCCTTGGGAACAGCAGCTAAACGTACCAATTCCCACAAGCTTTTGCCCGTACCGTGGAACAAGGCATATAATATAATAAGTAAAAGGGAAATCAACAATCTGCAAATTGCGCCAGTTAAAGCAGCACTAGTTAGTTAACCATTAAACCCAAGCAACCATAAAACCCCCCCATTATATACCACCAGCTCAACCCCGCCCCCCCATATAAGATATATATTCTTTTCCCCGGATGTAAAGGGTAGAGTCGATGTGTTATCTTTTGCCTAGGCGTCATTCTGACAACCAGGCTGATAACCATAAATCATAGTATATTTCCTATGTACAGAAGAACGTTTATGCCTCGGTACTTCAAGATAATAATAGACCAAATTTCTACTGAACCCCACACAGGTGGCGAACAGCAGAGAAGGGGCTTCTCTCTTTTGTCAGCCCTTGGTTATCTCTTGAGAAGAAACATGGTAACAGTGCCATGCAATAAGTTTGGAACTTTTGTTTTTTTTTTTGTGACTTTCCAGAAAGCAAGAGAAGAATATATAGAGATTGTATTATTTTGAGAAAAGGAAAATAGGGGTCGACGGGTGTACTGAAGTGTCATATGGGCTCTATAACTTCTACTAATTACTATGCACCAAACTACTTCGGGACTAGTGGAACTTGACTTGGAAGGTAAGAAAAGTTCCAGACGTATTTTATTGCATGGCACTGGCAGTGGTTAGCTGTGCACAGGAAATGGTTCATATTAATATTGGTTCATCTTTGCTTTCGCCCGTTCCTCCGTGCTGCGCATGGTGTTGCTGTTGCATCCCACCTACTAACTACTGCGTTGTTAGTTGTTCTCAAGTTTGCTCGTATTTTTTTTTTTTTTTCTTTCTTTTTTTAGGTAGTTAACTAGTCTGATACCTACAATAATAGTTACCCATGTAACTAGCCATGCGATTTCAATACCTATGTGCCTCGTTACCAAATCCAGCGCAAGCCCGGCACTGTGGCGCGGGTTTGAAGGACTTAAAAAAAAAGGAATATGAAATTCCCATAAATATGTGACGGCTGGTTTTCTGAAGTGAAGCGCTATCCGCACCACGCGCACCAATATGTAAATATGATTGATGTAGGACAAGGATTTGGCCGTTAGAAACTCAATTGAGCGTGGTTTGTGGCAGAGACGAGGGCCAATCAAACAGACTCCCGCTACCTTGAGTATATTAGTTGTATGGTGCAATATGTATGTTCAAACCAGGCTGGAGTTTAGTTAGATATTTCCTCTGTGCTGAATTAAGTTTAAATTTTTGGTGGACCCCTTGATATTTTATTTTCCATTTAGGCTCTGACGCTGAGCGGGAAGTGGAAGTTGTAGTTTAGTTAAGCGTAATAAGAATAAGGTGGAGGGATTGCCGCAGAGGGAGGGGCAAGGAAATCATAAAAAGAGGGTCATGAAGGTTGTTTCTATTAGGTTTCCGTTGAGACTTTGGGCTTAAAGAGATCATGTTGAAGTTAAGAAAACGGGGCCATATCTGCTCCCGCAGAGTTACCCTTAAACACCAAATGTGGGATATGGATGAAAGTTGGAGGTCGAAGCTAACTCCAAACTCACCGCTTTATTTACATTATTATTTACCGATTGGATTGCACGGCTTGTCTCCAGTGAGCCCACAAAATAAATAAAAACTCTTCATCTTTCTCTCTCTTTACAGCCTGAGTGCACAGATTTTTGTTCATTTAGAGGCGTGTCCCAACTCGAGCCAGCATTTAATATGTCCAGTATTTTCTTTTCCAACCGTGACAAGTACGAGGCGTCTTCAACTTGCAATTTCTGGACAATGGCTGATATAGGCTGAACTGCCACATAACTTACCCGAACATAGGCGGTCTTGATATCTACGAAGATCATTAGGGAAATCTCTATCTGATGAATCAAACATTCTTGACGAGATTGCCCTCGATATTACCACTAGGTGGCGAAAAACCAAAAAAATAAAAAAATAAAATAAAAGAAATACAATAGTGATGATAATAAAGACATGCAGTATACCCCCAAAACCAACGTGGCTTGGAAACTGAATAAAACAATAGAAAACACCGAGAGCATAGTTATCCATCAGTGATTCCTGTGATGACCCGTTCGATGAATTGCCTGAGCGTTCTGTTGCTTCCTTGAATTCTTTTTTTTTTTTTTTTCGAACGCGCGTATCACGTATTTTTAACTTTGGGTCTCTTGGAAAGGCATCTCTATCGAATGGGTGAGTGGATGAGTTCCCGGATTGCTGCCTCTTCATCGTCGTTCTGGCCAGAGCCCTGAGTCCTACGCATCGTAGAGGTGAGGCCCGGTTGAGAGAGGGAGAGGGCAAAAGCCACTTAACGGCAAGGTGCACATAGATATCCAGCGTACATTCATCAAAGTGTTTCCTGGATGGGCTTTATGCGCGCTCTTATTTGTAAAATGTGACGACCTCTCTCCACTCTGTGGCTGTCTCGGAAACTTACCTACAGGAGGCATTTAAAGTGAAGAGGAGCCAGCATCCACCCAAGCGGTGTCTTTGAGGGGATTTCAAGGGAAAAATAGAAAAAAAAAAAAAAAAAAAAAAAAAAAAAAAAAAACTAAAAAAAAATAGCCAGTTATATCGACCGCATATTGACCAGCAAGTATCAGTGCTGCCTTCAAGTAATTCTTCAGCCCCGCCTCGTCTGCTGTATCCATCGCCATGCATAATGCATCTAGATGTCATTAGCATCAACACTTTTCAACCCATATTAGCAGAGTATGAGGGGGCTGGAGCCCTTATTTGGCGCAAGCACAGGCCTTTTTGTTTCCATGCCTAGCTGGCTGCTGCTCTGGTAATCTCTGTGCGTCCTTGCTGCAATCATCATGCAAGACAAAGCCACATATGTTTCTTGGTTTGGTGCCGTTGATAATTTGGCAGAATGAATCAACAGCCAGTCCAGTCCAGTCCAGCAAGATTTTCTTTCCCCTCACCTCGTTTCATCAGGCTTTAAGTTTTCTTGTCATCCGTTTCCTTTTGTCCGCCTCTTCCCCTTCTTCTCTTTCCTTCTTCTTTCTATTTTTCAAAAGGCCATTTCATTGTTGGAATCTGCATAGTGGATGGATGAGCTTGTAGCTGGAATTTGGTCCTGTCAAAATGATAAGAGGCCCAGCGGTGGGAGATGGTTTCTCCTCTGGAAATGTATTGTTTGATTCCAGGACAGTCCAAGTGAAAAATGCCTCGTTTTCTTCGTCACTAGTTTCACAATGTTTAGTCGAGCGCTCTCGGATCCGTACTTTTCCTGTCCTCGTTTTCCGTGGCTCTCAACGCCCACATGTCCAAAATGGCTCAAGACTGATCAGTGGCTGATAAGCTACCAAGCTTCGGGTTCCACAGCTTGGGCAGGCCAGATGGGTCTCTGCTTTGGATACGTCGCGTTTTCTTTTTCCTTCTCGCATTGCCTTTCTCCTCCCCCGGTGGTTAGCGCGCCAGGTAATTCAGCTCGCTCCACCCGGCTGAGTTTATTCAGGCGTAGGGGGTCGTAGTCGTCTCTATGTTAAGACCGACCCTGGTCCCTTATCGATTGGGAGATCAACCCCAAAAATCGTTCCAACCCTTCTGTTTCTAAGCTGGATTGGCATGACGAATCAGCATTATTCGCCTCGCTTTGGAATAAAAATATGTACATGTACATGTACATGTACCTGAGTGTTCTATCTATCTCGGTGTTCGATAACAATCATCGTGCTATTTTGGATGTTTCTTGGGGTTGACATCCTTCTTCATCCGTACATAGGCCGTGGTTGATGTAGTTATGTAGTAGTAACTAGCTAGTTAGTTGGTAGCTAACTAGTCAAACAAAGGAACACAATATGATACAACCCAGACAACACCTCATCCGTCTTTCCATGGCCCGTCATCATCGTACATTACAACGCACACAGGACGAACATGGTAGGCGACATCACTTTTCACAGGAAACCGAGAAATGAAAATAATAAAAAGAAAAAGAAAGAAAAAGAAAAAGAAAACAACAAGTGATAAACGGAGGGAGACCTGGGCATCCATCCCCACACGGATATACACGTCTGTCTGTCTGTCCATGAGGGCCATTCTATTACAGATATGCAGAGCTGCCGCAGAGAAAAAGGTCTGCTGCCCAGGGAGTCTACTCTCCTCGTCTTCCTTCTCCTCTCCTCCCCAAGGGGTTGTGGTATGGTATTCTGGTAGTTGTCTGCCATCCCTGACGGGGCGCCGTTTTTGTCCAAGTTTCCACCAGCCCAATACCACTGTTCCCTATTTCTCTCGTCCACGGGTAGCTCCTGTTTACTGACATATGAGTCATTGAATAGTGATTGAACTTGGTTCTGATGTACCCGAGGAGTAGGCCTCCAGCAAGCAAAACACGCTTTTCAAAACAACGGGTTGTTTGCTTCAGTGCTCAGGCGCCCTCCTCGATGTATGTACGTACATACAGACATACAGACATACTTCAGCTTAAGCTTCGGAGCCTCTTATGGCTTTCGTGATCTGCGGTCTCCCTTTGAAGGACCCAGGGGTATGTCCCGGCCCTCTCTTGGGCGTGAATCGTAAAGCTACACTTGTGGAGTTTCGCGCCAGATATTGTCCCGCTGGTTTCTGGACTCCTGGGCGCGAAAAAAAAAAGAAAGAAAGAAAGAAAGAAACCCCGCACAAAAACAAAGCGGAACAGGCCAAACGAACCCCTACTAAATCCCCTAGGACGTTCTTATTCTTTCCCCAGTTTATTTAGTTTCGATATTTTTGGTGCTTACGACTGGAGTAGTTTCTGCTACAGGCTTAACAGCCCTGCAATTATTATTGGTGATATAGTTAAACTTTCTGATTTGCGTGCTTGTTTTCGTTAACTTTCTTTTTCTGTCTTTTTTTATTCTTCCCCTTGTTTGAACGGGCTGACGCGATTGTGCTTGGCTTTTCCCTTTTACTGGGACCTTGCTTCATCGTTCGCAGCAAATCAGAGACGGCGCTGGCAACTTCATCTCGCAAAATAATAATTTACGGAGCTCTCCCTTATTTCGTGATGGGTGAGCTGGTACGATGGTGGCGGCGGGAAGATGCTATCTGAAGATACTATTAATTATTCCATTATTCACCTGCAACAGATAAGGTAACTACTTTAGCCTCCAGGACGAAACCCCCTACCCTTTTTTTTTTTCTTTTCTTTTCCTTGCTCAGTGATTATCGCTTTTGTTTTTACTCTGTTTCTTTCCGTGCACTCTCTGGCCCCCAATGAAGGAACGCCTTTATTTAATTTGATATTGCAGGATCGTTAACTGCCAAGGAGTTTTAAAGGAGAAAAGAAACGCCCAAGCGGAAAAAAGAGATTCTATTCTAAGCCCGACAATAACGAGAGAGGGAAGAGGAGCGAAAAAGGCTCATTCCCATCAGCAGAGCTCCGCTAAATCGAGAGCTGCAGGAGGAGGCTGCCGCTGGCTTATATAGATTACCACTACGCCAATATATTTGCATAGTTTTCTGGCTCTGATCCATCAAACTCACTACCCCCCCCCCCCAACCTTACCTCGCCCAAAACCTTTTATTTTTAAGGAAAATACGCTATTTATTCTCCTTGATTTTAACTTGCTGGCCCCCGCATGAGCCTGCGAAAAGTGTCACCACGACAGTCTAAATTGAACCTAACCGTCCATACAACAAGTAGGACGGGCGAAATCTGGTGCTTGAACGCTGCCTCCATCGCCACCTTTTCAATCTATCGTCCCATTTATACTCCTCAGTTCTTCCTTCGCCCAGTGGAAATATTTATTCGTTCCTGAGGTTCCCTCCTTAAGCAGTACGACAGGATTTGAAGCTCACTTTATTCCTCACTGTCCGACCGTCTGAATTTTCGGCATCGTTATTCACGGTGTTGGCAGGTCGAAATATCCAACTTGATCGGCCTTGCCCCCACGTGGAATTCGTGTTTTCCTTGCTTGCTTGATAATAGAAGAAGAGGCCCAATCTCAAGCAAAAGCGTCGGCCCATCCCAGATCTTCGGAGCTAACCTTGTTTTTTGCCAGTCTCCAACGGGCATTGTTGATTGTTGACAACGAGGGTTAACTTTTTTTTTTTGACGCTGCAATCTCAAAAAAGTTTTTCCCCCCGCCAGGCCCTTTCCACCTACATAACATAACAAGCGTGAACCGACTCGAACTATCACGTCTTCGAAAACTTTCATATTTGCCGATCGACCCTGCGCTATTAAAGTGCAACGCTTTATGATTTGAGAGTTTCTTGAAGATATTATTCTATTTCATCCCCGACGCCCTACTACTATCATCTTGCTAAGGAGGATCCACCGGTGATTTTTATCTTTTTAGCTTGTTGTCTAAGGAAGTAGTACGCCGCGTAAGTTGTGTCCCCACTTCTCCGTTTCTTGAAGAGTTTCGTGCCCTTGCATCGCTTTTGATACTTGTTACCATGATGTCGGATCCGAGTGTCAATTTATTTATTTTCTTTTTTTGTTTTTACCCCTTCATGGTTTTACTTTTCGAGCCCTGTCATTCTGTTACACGAACCCCGTTCCTGCGTTACATACTTTCTTGACCCTGCCCAAGAAAAAGCCAAAAAAAAAAAAAAATTTAAAAAAAATAAAAGGACGGTTCCAGAGAGAATAAGAAAAAGAAAGGAAAAAAAAGGGAAAAAAAAGCCCTCAGCCCAACCACGCTTATATTCTTACTGCCTTTTTGACACATGGGATTTTCCCTGCTGGAAGGAAATGTCTCTCCAACATGTGTCAACCGGGGGGGTGCGTGGAAGAAGGGAGTAGAGTAGGGTAGAGGGGGGCCGCGAATTTGAATGTTTTACGCACGGACAACATGCCATACAGCCTATGATTCGCGTGTTTCACCTGCACAGCCCTTTCCCAGAACCGACGCTCTTTTTATCTCCCTGACGCACCCGAAATCCGACCATGATGAACATCTGGATTGATCTGATGGGATTGGGTGGGGTACGACTTCTGGGGTGGGTCGCTGAGGCGTCTTTTTGGCCTCTTCTTTAGGCTTTATTTACTCTTCTGCAGCCAACGACCACCCATGCGCCTATCAGGCCATCACTTGCCCCCGCCCGGGAAGACATATTGCATGCCCCATACATAGGGAATAACAACAAACTGTGATTTTTATTTTCCACCGCCCGGAATTCCGGCCTGGAATTCCTTCCTCTTTCCGCCATCCTCCGGGTTCCTGTTCATCAGGCAAGCTGCGCTGTGGCTATCTCTTGTTTGTCGTCGTTCTCTGTCTCTCTGGCTGGATTCTCTTTTGGTCGAATCCCCCGGTCGGAATTGCCAAGCCCTAACCCTAAGCCTGGAGCCCTCTATTTCCCGATTGGGCAAAGCGTGCTCCCTGCTCCTCCCGAAAAGCGTATCCCCACTTCTTCCGATACTGGGTTTGCGCCTGCCCGGACTTGCCCCTCCTGCTGGCGGCATGTGCACACGCACTACCTCCTTTACGACCACGTCCCGCCGAAACCCCACTATTTCCCCAGTGTGTGTTTTTCCACCGGGGGTTAGTTAGCCTCCAGATAGATAGATACCCACTGCACCGCACCGACGATTCTGCAAGCAAGAAGCAGAAGCTCTAAAACACACGCACGGTATGCCCGCAATATCCACGCACCAGCCTCTGTTCTCGCTGCTGCGAGCTGCGGCCGGGTTTTCTAGAGAATCAAAGCGCCAAAAATAAGCAAAATCCTCTTGCTTTTTCCCGCCATCCAGTAATCAATGTCGTCAGCCCAATGTTAGTCCTCCCAGCTGCATCATATCACTGCATCAGACTTGGGACTGCTGCGACTCGACTGCTTCTACGACTGCTTAGCTCCAGCGCTGATGGTCTGAAATCTCAACTTGCAATTGCTTGGTGAAATGTTGAGCTTGCAGCTAGCTAGCAGCTTGGCCCTTGTATTATTTTCGACTAGTGCTGGTCGTTCGTCCTCGCCCCTACTACTACTAGTAGACTGATCCTTACCTGGCTTCCTTGTCTCTTCCGTCTCCACACAGCGTGCCGTGCTTTCCCGCCACTGCACTGGGTCCAGGAAGTCCGAGGTCAAAACAAAAGAACAAAAATAAGAAATAAAAATATCGAGAACGAAGACAAAAAGCAACAAATAACAAACCAAAGGAAAGAAGGAAAGCAAAGGACTCCTTGCACCACCGTCATTACCATGCAGCAGGAGGTACTGTGGGAGGAGGAAGACAACAATCATAGCAAAAGAAAAAGAAAAAAATAACCCCACAGGAGCCAGTATAACGGACGGTGTCTGCCAATTATTATTGGGATGAGAAGCAGGAAAAAGCAAAGATCAATATTTTGTTCCTTTTTGATATTTTTATTATTATTTCCCTTGGGGAGTCTGGGACGAGGTTTTTGTCCTTGAACCCTGTTCGTTTTTTTTTTTTTTTTTTTCCCTTGATTTCGCTGCCACCCTTGTTTCTTCTTCTTGTACTTTTTTTTTTTTTTTTTTAACCCTTCCTTTTTTGATCCCCCTAAAACCTTGGAGCACGATTATTCATTACGTTTTTGTTTGACAGACATCCCGTAGTTTCCTGCTTTCTCTAACAAACCTCTGGTGCTGTTTAGTTACAGTTCCCGCCTTTGCTTTGACATTTCTGTGGAGGGAAACGGAAGAAGAAGCCATAGTTTTTTTACCTTCCTGCCATTAACCAGACTTCAACACACCCACCACCACCACAAGCTTCCCTTCCCTTCCAAGCAATTAGAGGGGGCGCGCGTGGCGTGGCGAGAAACCAAAATCAAGCTTGGGCATTGGGCTAGACCCAAACCCTTCCGAGCCATTCCCATCCTCGCTCCAATTCCCACCATTCCGTCACTTGCGTCTGCGTTCTTGGGTCCGTCCCAACTACATAGAGTTTCGCCCGCCGAATTGGCCCGCCCTTGACTGACGACGTTCCTGATCGCGCGCTATCTGCTGCTTTAAGCCCTGGCAACTTACTATCTATCCTCACAACTCCTCCCCTGCACTTGGGGTTGTGGAAGTAAACTCTGTTACTCACGATCGAGCCCCTCCATTCCGAAAAGTGAAAAAGGTCAAAAAAAAGTTTTGGACCCGCGTTGTGTCTGTCGATCCATAGAACCTTCAAAACTCTCTTTGCAAGCTCCTTTGCGCGGGGAGGGGGGTTCTCTTGCTGCTCTTCAAAGAAGCCATCATCATCACTTCTTTTCCATTCGAAACCGGGAGAGCTCACAAACAACCACGTTGCTAATCTTGTTCTACATAAGCCTTTTTGACCCGTCTGACAGGTTGTCCGCACATACCCCCGATTTTCTTTTCTTTTTCTCCCTCATATCTTTCTTTCTTTTTCTTTTTTTTCTTTTTTTTTTCTTTTTTTTTCTTTTTTCTTTTTTTTTACTCCCCTCAAATTATCATTCCTATTATTTCATATTCCCTCTCTCCTTCGATTTGCGTTTCGATAACACCAACTCTGTCGCATTTTCGCGCAAATCAGACGAAGGTTACTACCGAAAGTCACTTCGACAGCCCTCAAGCTTTGTTTCTTAGTTTTCCCGCAGTTGATAGTTTTCTGTCGACGCGCAAAACTTTACTCTTGCAGCGCTTACAACCCTACCGCGTCTCTCCACGAGAAGAAGCCTCCGGGCGTTAGCTTTTAGCCCTTACCTGTGAAAAACTAACACTCCCCTGCAGCTTGTCACACAACATGGGCAACGGCACAGCTGCAGTACTAGAGCCGACATTCACCGGCTATGTCGCCACCACGCAAGATGCGCTGATCCTCTTCGAAGCATGTCTGACCGGCCTCCTCCACCACGTTCCACGACGTCCCCACGATCGAGAAAGAAGCCAACTGGTGAAAAGCGGGAGTGTTTTTATCTACGAAGAAAATGCGTCCGGTATCAAGCGATGGACAGACGGTGTTACATGGAGCCCCAGTCGCATCCTGGGTAATTTCCTCGTCTACCGCGAACTTGATAAGCCTTTTCCTCCAGGTGAGAAGAAGCGCGCCATGAAAAAGGGCAATAGGCGGCCACCACAAACTGGAAGACCAGGGGAACCATACCCAAGACCTCAAGAGAGCAACGGAACTTCATACTCGCCCGCAACATCGCCCGGCGCAGCTCCATATGGAGAGAGAAACCAACACACAGATATGGAGCGGCAACTCGTGGGCTCCCTTGTGGACTCGTATGGGTTCAAGGATTCGGGATTAGTAAAGAAAACCATGAGCGTGACAGTATCGGGGGTGACCCATCATTTGGTGTCATACTACAGTGTTGAAGATGTCATGTCAAACCGCCTCCATACACCCATGCAACACGAGAATTTGAGGGGCATACGTCCACGCGCAGAACTCACAACGAAGCAAAGCTTCCGCGCGCCAATTGATGACTTCGAGCACGGTGCAATGGAAGATGGAGACCCTTCTTCCGCCCTATATGCTTATCGTTCCACGTTAGGTGGCGCGCAGGCATATGCGGTGCCAAGCTCCGGTGCGCCGTACTACCAGCTTCCCGCTTACGGCGCACACCCTGGTTATGCAGTTGGCGCGCCAGGTATTCCAGGCCACCCCACATCCAATCCATATCTCACAAATGCTCCCGGTTCAGCCGACATGCCGCCAAAGCTAGAAGGCTACTCTTTCCGGAGCTCAGCATCGTACCCGCCTAGCTATCACCCCATGAATCCCAGTATACCGCAACCCATGTCGGCTTCCACGATACCCTCTGCCCTCAACCCTACCATGGGCGATAGAAGTCAACAGCAACAACCCAGCAGCGCTTCCCTCTACCGAAACCCGGGATTACAACCGCGGGATGTACCTACAGGTTCACTTTCCGGACCGGTCGACCCCGGTTCAGCAGGTGCCCCAGCGTATTCAAGAGGAAGTTTTGGCGGCATTGACTCCTCAGACCAACAGAGCGTCGGACAGCAGCAGCATTACAACCCTTCAACGAGGCGGGAATCGAGTGCCATGGCGCCTAGCGTTTCATACTATAATGGAGACCGTCAGTCTCAACAGCCACAGCCGCCATCACAACCGCAGTCACAACCTCATCAATCTCAACAACAGCCGCCGCAGCCACAACACCCACAACAATATTTCTCCAGTAGTGGTCAGCCGGGACAGCCTTCAAGTTACCAACCCGGCCAACAGGCGTCGATGTCCTGGAATACGGCTACAACGGGTTGAAAACACTGATATTTTTCTTTTCTTTTCGTTTTTCAACTTTCATACTTCCATGTTTGTTCTGATTCGATTTTTCTTTCATCCAGGTTAGCTGCTTTTCAGTTTCCTGAGGTTTTCTTTCTGGGATGGGTGGAGAGGATGATAAATGGGATTATGAAAAAGACAGTCGTTTTATTTTTATTTTTATATTTATTTATTGCGAGTTGAAAATTTGGACATCGCTTTTGAGACTTTTTCTCCGTTTTGCGTCTCAACTTGCGGTTTTATGATAGGAGGGACGCTTGTGCTCTGTTCTAATTTTCCTACTTTTCTTCCTTTTTTCCCCCGTCTTCCGCCTGAACCACCTCTCCCGCTCAGTCTTTGTTTTGCTTTACTCCTCAAATTGATTCCTTGCTTTTTTGGATTTGCTCATGTTTCCCTCGCCCACCCACTATTGTACCGGCGAATTCGAATTTTATCTACCCTGTTCCGGCCCCTTGTTTGTCCCCCTTTTTTCTTAATTTGATAAATACGTAAAGGGGGAGGGGCAAGGGTTTTTTGTGTGGGATTCTTTTTAATCCCCTTTTCTTCTTTTCCTTTCTTCTTCTTCTTCTTCCTTTGCTTTTAGCTCCCTCGTGCGCGCGCACATAGCCGCTCGTTTCTATCAAACACATAGTATTACTCATAGGCCCCAGGGCGTTTTGCATTTTTTTAATAAAGAACTGAAAAATTGAGATATGGGTAGTTGGTCGGCTGCTGCTAGCTTTTCTTTTTCTTTTCTTTTCTTTTTCTTTTCTTTTCTTTTCTTTTCTTCTCTTTTCTTTTCTTTTCTTTCTGCGAAAAATGGCTGGTCGGTTTTTGTTCTTCCATTTCCATCTCATCATCATTTATTTTATTTATCACTTGTTTGACCTTTCTGTCTTTTATTTCTATCGCTGCTTCTGATGAAGTTGACATTTGCCCTATCTTTCTTTCCTTCTCTTTTTTTCCCCCCCTGTTATCTAAACTGTGGAGTGGGCTTTTTGTAGGTGCAGGGGCAGTGGGAGGGTCAGTCAATTTCAAAGTTGAACATGAGCTTTTTGACAAAAAATCAAGAGAAAAAAGGATGAAGAGTAATAATGAAGAAAAATAAAAATAAAAACTATTTTTTTTTTCGACTGTTCTTATCTGTAACTAATAATATCAATCACTGCTTGATCTGTTGATCATCCATTTCCAGCTCCATTTCCTCCAACTGCTTACACACTCTCCTGTCCCTGCTTCCTCCTCTCCGCGTGTGATGATTAGCATTTCTCCATCAAACGCGCGCACGCACCACTTCTTATAATAAACTTTTTGCAAACTAGGCTTTTCTTTTACTGTAAACTTATTAATAAAAGTTTCATGTTTTATCTTCGTGATCCGAGATGGAACTGGAAGGCTAATCTAATCTATCTTATCTTAGGGGGGGAGGAGCGGTGGAGCGGCTGGATCAGGCACAATCATCAGGCATTTAATTTAAGGTTATGGGTATCTAAAGTTCCCAGAGATATAAAAAAATAAAAAAATAAAAATAAAAAAAAGTTTGGCGCTTTCGCTATTTTCCTTCTTGCGCTACCGTAACGCTGTTTTCTTAAGTAATATATATATATATATATATATACAAGGCAAAAAAAGGGGTAAATAATGGGGGGTTCTAGATTAGTTTGAAAGGGTTTACCCCGAGGTTAATTTTCTTCAGGTACGCTATTCTAACCTGAACCTGCTGTTACATCTGCGCTCCTGTTGTACCAGGGGGGGGGATGGTTCCTGCTCTACCCTTGTCTTGTCTCTAGACCCTGAAATTGTATTTTTCTTTTTCACATTTGTGGTGTGTCCGCATGTCCCACGTATAATTCGCCATGTAACAGTGGTGGGGTCTATGAGCCTTTACCATACACCCACCCCCTTCCTCGAGTCGTCATATTTAGCGAGGGATCCGGCAATTGGGACATGTAGACCTGGATGGACATTGGCAATGGGGATGGAGTGTGGATATAGAATTGAGAAAGATGATTTATGCCATAGAGCAATTACGTAGACCTGTATATGTTGGAGGGGAGGCTTGTGGCGATGTTGTGAAATCATTCATTTTTGTCGATGTCGGAGTTGGTGTTTTGTTCGTTGCGCGAGGATTTGCTGGGCTTGGTCAGGGGTAAAGGCGACCAGGGCAAGGTACCAGTGGGTGAAGGGGTGCAGGCGGATGGATGGTGGGGGATATAGTTTAACTGTAGTATTATATGACGGGTTGTAGAGGTAGGACTGCGGCCGTTTCTTTTGTGCTCTCAGTTATTTCAACTGTTTAATCTATTTCTGAGTATGCGGTGGGACATGCGAGAAACAGGGAGCTAAAGGACGAAACAAAGAGCTCTCCGGTTGTGTTAATACACTTGGGTTATGGAGTTGACAGGGTCCTCGTACGCTAGATGGTGAGGTTTATGGAATATTGAAGAAGTCATGGAACGGGAGATCGTTAGTACGGATTGAACCTTCAGGCATTATCGTACACCCTTATATTCAACGCGCAAGGCCGTACTTACCTTTTCCATTCTCATTGCTAGAAATCGGGGAAAAGAGCTCGAGGGTCTAGCTAGAGTATTTGCAAATATACTTACAGATAGCCATGCAGATACCTAGGTATATCCTTGCTCTAGATATCCGTCGGAACTCGACTGAATCCAAGGAAACGTGCAAACCGTTTTCACTATCCTGCAGATCCCGACTATCCACGACCAGTATTGAGAATATCAAGTTGCCATGAAATGTGTCGGCAGTCCAACTTTCTTCCATTTCGAGAGACGCCTCGGTTGCGGTACGGCCATTGTCCGGGACGTCCATCTCTCACTCGCACCCCGCTTGCCCCCATAACATAAACGGCAGTGAGGGCGGCAGATATAACTGCTGGTTACTGCGACGGTCTTCCGTTTGTGAGTTGCAAATGCATAGCTTATTGCTTCTTTTGTTCCGCCATTTCTCTCTGAATGTGTAGGTCGATCATATGTAGGTCGATATGGGCATAGACGACCACGACCCTACATATACCAGTCTTCAGCGACCCCTAGCACTCCCATGGCGGAGGTACCCTTCGAGTTCCGCGTTACATCCCTATATGCGAGTAGGGTGACACAGATCGCGGAGGTACATGTACACAGCGTCCGGTCTATACATGAATTGTGCTGTACGTATAGGTGGGCAATCAGGGTCCCTAAGAGGTACAAACCGCACATGTACAGTACACAGCATATGGAGGGACTGATCTGATTTACCCGAGTAACTGTCTCCTCGCATACCAACCCCGCTGTCCAGCACAGAACTGCACTGACAACCTGGATGTATGTATAATGGTTTGTGATATAATGGACTGTAGCACAAAGGGCCAAGAAGGGAACCCACGTAGGTAAGGATTCTCAATTTTGAGTGCCGGCACCGTTTGGCCAAAGAGAAGATATGGTGTGTGCAAAGTCTTTTTGAGGTACTGTGTGATATGAACAGTACTTGACAACGGCAGATGGAGATGGGAATTGTCCAGTATATGGGTATCTCTTGTGGATTGCGGTGTTTGGAGAAGACGCGATGCTTGAGCGGGGGAGTTGGGCCAAGACTTGGACAAAGGAACCCCTCCTAATTGCTCCCTCAGCTTCAAATGGCGGTCCATCCCATCCAATATGCCGGACGTATAATAAATCCTCCGACTATTTGTGGCTATTATTACATTGTCCGATGCAGCATTGAGGTTGCTGGTGGGATGGATATAGAATGTGGGCATGTGACTTGGCAACAGATCCATGGATAAACTACCACTACTGGGTTGAAGGGGAGATTTGTCAGCCAGGCAATAATCTGCCGTGTTTGCAGTGGAAACAAACCAAAGCAAACAAAGTCGCCGCTGAAACCAATTTGCTTGACAATAATTCAATTGCTTGCTAATCAACTCTCTCTTGTCCACATTCAATACCTCATTCAGCAGAAGCTAATCGACTCACAAGGGGCGCTGTTTTCTGGGATTCGGGGTTCGGTGTTACGACTTGGAAATAACGCTAACCGGCTTACAAATGGGATATTGAGGAATGATGTGATCTGCAAAACTTTGGGAGTTGAGCAGTTAGTTAACCAAGGAGTTCAGACAACCAACAGCAGTGGACAGTCCGCGGATGCGCTAATAATTGGCGGCTTTAACGGAGTTTAACCTAACCTTTCGGGGGTGCTGTGCCTACGGAGTAGTGTGCTCGCTGTCTTAGCTATCTAACAGTTACCCAGTCATCCTATCGGGAGCTTTTGTTTCGTGTTGGCGTGCAGGGCCAGCACCCAATTTCCGATGACGACAAATGAGTCAATCGTCCTCATCCCCCCCGCCCAGGGCTCGAGAATCGTCTAACACTGGTGGGCCAGTCGACGGTGATGTGATGCTTCTTCAGATGTCTGCCGGTTTTATGCTGCGACAAGGACAGTAAAGCCGAGAACATGAAGCTAATCGATGTTGGGGCGGTTAACTCGTTCCCTCTCCGGAGGAAGTACTCCGTAACTAGTTGCTTCACAACTGTTATCCCCACCCCAGTCGCGTATCAGCTTAGACGCGAATCGAGGATGATGCAATCGACCCATGATTCAAACCAAATTTATATTAGCAGGGAATCCACAGTAACTTTGCCTGACTCGGAGTAGCTGGTTGGAGATCTAAGTTATCACATATCCACCACGTCTGACAAATGCAATCAAAACGTAAAAAATTCTTCATTCAGCCAGTCGGAGCTCATACAGGATTCTACATATAAGTAAGCTACATTCCAATTGATGATCATGGAATTCAATGAATATCTTTTCTTCTGTTTCTCATTTCTTTTCATTCTACGCTGTCGATTCAAAACGACCTGACAGGTTTCACCAAAAATTCTCCCTTCGCCAGAAAAGAAAGCCAGCTGCGAAGCATACCTGCTGTTTCCTGCATAATCAATTCAGTACTTTGTGCGAGCTGCTGGCGTGACCAAGCTTGCTCGGTACTGGGTGAGTTGAAGCTTCGTTGGAAGCTTGGGCGGTGTGTGTCACATCAGTTGCTCGGACCAGATTGCGATCCCGATAAAACAAATACCATATTTTGTTCGGACTGGGCATCCCAACAAGTGATCAGCGTCCCTTCCTGACAGCAGAGGTGATTCGAACCGGCACGGTAATTTCAATCACACTTCGTCCCTTTTGGCTAGACCGGATTTCCCCAGAATGGCATCCCCGTCCAACACAGGTGCCGACATCGAAGGGGTGGGAAAATCGACTGATTGGACAAGCCCCTCGCAGATATCTGTGGACACAGATCCAGAGATAGCGCTATCCGAATCGAGTCGCGGGGGTAGATGGGGCGAATATGAAGAGGGCGACCCGGTCTCTCGTCGTCGCGCCATGGAGGAATTTGCTGAAATGTCGAGGGAGTTAACGAAACTGAGTCTACAAAAGAGCAAGTCTTCAGCAAAGAGAAGGAAAAGTTTTGTCCGCCAATCTACCGCCCACTCTACAATGAACCAGGAAAAGGATATCGATATTGAACGTGACTCGTTGGATTCAGCGTTATCCGTGAAGGGCGATTTCGAACTGAGCGAATTCTTGAGAGATGGACGTCTAGAACGGAGAACAACGGCAGGAGGCCCTGGGAAAAAGATTGGCGTAGTCTTCAAAAATCTGACCGTCGAGGGGATTGATGCTACCTCATCGTTTGTCAAGACGCTTCCGGATGCTGTGAAGGGAACCTTCGGGCCTGACCTTTACAATCTTATTACTCGCTTCGTTCCGGGACTAAGATTCGGAAAACCACCCCCGACTCGCAGTCTCATTCACGATTTTACGGGAGCTCTCAGAGATGGGGAAATGATGCTGGTCCTCGGAAGACCTGGTGCTGGATGCACCACCTTTCTAAAAGCCATCGCCAACAATCGATCATCTTTCGCGGCTGTCCTGGGAGATGTCAGCTATGGTGGGATCTCGGCGGCAGAGCAAGACAAACATTTTCGAGGGGAGGTCAATTACAATCCCGAAGACGACCAACATTTCCCTGCTTTAACCGTAGAGCAGACCCTCAGGTTCGCTCTGATGAACAAGACAAAGAAGCGAGACCAAGATTCGATCCCAATAGTCATCGACGGGCTGTTGAAAATGTTCGGGATCAGCCACACCAAAAACACCATCGTGGGCAACGAGTTTGTCCGTGGCGTTTCTGGTGGAGAGCGCAAGCGTGTTGGCATCGCAGAGACCCTGACTACCAAATCATCGGTTGTTTGTTGGGATAATTCTACCCGGGGCCTCGATGCCAGCACTGCTTTAGATTATGTCAAGTCTCTCAGGGTCATGACGGATGTCAGCAATCGAACCACATTTGTTACACTTTACCAGGCAGGAGAGGGAATTTACGAGCTGATGGATAAAGTTATGGTTATCGAAGAAGGCCGCATGCTATACCAAGGGCCCGCTAATAAAGCAAAGGCTTATTTCGAAGGTCTAGGATTCTACTGCCCAGAACGATCGTAAGTAATATACCTATCTCTCGCCTGAGGTTTAAATATAGTTTCTTTTTGTCTAACACCACACAAGAACAACGGCGGACTTTCTTACTTCCTTGTGCGACCCCATTGTTCGCCAGTTCCAGCCCGGCCGAGAAGCTTCGACTCCTAAGACCTCCCAAGAACTAGAAGCAGCATTCAGACGCAGTGACATTTACAAAGATATTCTGAAGGAGGTTGATGACTATGAGAACCAGATTCTGGACACTGATTGTTCTGACACTCGTCAATTTCAAAAGCACGTTGGCGAATGTAAGTGAACAAAGCCAAAACCTCACGCCGAAAATCACACCTCCCTGATTACTGGGACTAACATTTTTACCTGCAGCAAAAAGCAAAACCGTCTCCAAGCGGTCAAATTACACGGTCTCATTCGCACGGCAGGTCATGGCTTGCACGAAACGAGAATTTTGGCTCTTTTGGGGCGACAAAGCCTCTCTGTACACCAAGTTCTTCATTGTCTTTGCTGTTTCTCTCATTGTCGGTTCTCTCTTTTACGGCCAGTCTCTTGATACCGGTGGAGCATTCTCTCGTGGCGGATCCTTGTTCTTCTCCATTATTTTCCTTGGGTGGCTTCAGCTCACCGAGTTGATGCCGGCCGTCTCTGGTAGAACAATCATTGCGAGACACAAGGACTATGCCTTTTATCGTCCTTCTGCCGTCGTTATCGCTCGCGTCCTCGTCGACATTCCAGTCATTTTTGCAATGCTCGTGGTGCTCGCCGTAGTGGAATATTTCCTCATGGGATTGGACGTCGACGTTTCCAAGTTCTTCATTTATTGTTTGTTCGTCTATGTTACAACGATATCTATCACAGCTATGTATCGCATGTTTGCCGCGTTCTCAGCCACCATAGACGATGCTGTCCGATTTGGAGGAATAGGTAGGTTTTTAAATTTAGCGTTTCGTTTTACTGTGGATTCTGGTACTGACGATTTAAAAAGCTCTTAACTTACTCGTTTTCTACGTTGGATACGTAAGTCATACAATTCTACTCCTTACGAATTCGGGCGATATACTAATATTAAATTTTGTCTAGGTGATTCCGAAGCAAGCTTTGCTTGATGATTCCCCCTGGTTTGGCTGGCTGCTATACGTCAACCCCCTATCGTACGCATTCGAGGCCGTCCTGGGTAATGAATTTTCGAATCGTGTTATGGAATGTTCGCCTGAACAACTTGTGCCGCTCGGCACGAACGTTGACCCAAAATACCAAGGATGCTCTCTTCCTGGTTCTCAGTTGGGTAGTAATACCGTGTCCGGAGCCCGATACCTAGACTTTTCATTTCAATTGTGAGTATCTTATCTACTCCGAATACAAAAAAAAAAAAAAAAAAGGCGCACAGTTTAATAAATGAAATCTAGTTCCCGGAGCCATTTGTGGCGTAACTTTGGGATCGTAGTCGCCTTCACAATCGCGTACATTGCAATCACGGCAATCGCTGCTGAAGTCTTCCCATTTACAACAGGAGGAGGCGGTGCATTGATATTCAAAAAATCCAAGAGAACAGAAGCATTGTCCAAGCTTCAGCAGAAAAGCGAATCCCAAGATGAAGAGACAGGAAAGATCGAGAGGATTGGAAATGTTGGCGGGGTTGCCACTCGAAGGTCTTCCGCCACTGCCAACAACGAGAATGGTAGTTTTACAAAACTTTCGACCAGTGATAGGGTTTTCACTTGGTCCGACGTTGAATATACGGTACCTTATGGGAATGGTGAGCGGAAACTCCTTAACAAGGTAACTGGTTATGTAAAACCGGGAAGTATGATTGCTTTGATGGGCGCGTCTGGCTCAGGAAAGACAACGCTCCTCAACACTCTAGCGCAGCGACAGAGAATCGGTGTTGTGTCTGGTGAGATGCTTGTTGATGGGCGAGCTCTTCCTCCAGATTTCCAAAGAGGAACCGGTTTCTGTGAACAGATGGATATCCACGACACCACTGCCACCATTAGAGAGGCGTTGGAATTTTCAGCGATCTTGCGACAAGACAGAATCATTCCCCGCGAGGAAAAAATTGCGTATGTTGATCAGGTCATCAGTTTGTTGGAACTTGATGATATCCAGGATGCCATCATCGGTTCACTTGGCGTTGAGCAAAGGAAGCGATTAACAATCGGAGTTGAACTGGCAGCCAAACCGAGCTTACTACTGTTTTTAGACGAACCCACTAGCGGACTGGACAGCCAGGCAGCTTTTTCTATCATCAGATTCCTGAAAAAGCTATCCCAGGCGGGGCAAGCTATTATTTGCACCATTCATCAACCATCTTCACTCCTAATTCAGCAATTTGATACCATCCTTGCCCTAAACCCCGAGGGAAATACCTTTTATTTCGGGCCTGTTGGTGAGAACGGCCGTGCCGTGGTTGATTATTTCGCGGAGAGAGGCGTCGTTTGTCCTGACAATAAGAACGTCGCGGAATTCATCCTGGAGACTGCCGCGAAGGGCCGTAGGAGCAACGGGAAACGAATTGATTGGAATGAGGAGTGGCGAAACTCGAAAGAGCTTGCCCAACTCAAGACGGAGCTGCAGGAAATCAACCTCGAGCGAAGCCAACGCCCGCCCTTGGAGACTTCTGGCTCGCAGTATGAATATGCCGCCCCCGTTGCTCTACAGTGTTGGATGCTCACAAAACGATTATTTGTCAACTACTGGAGAGATTCTTCGTATATTTATGGAAAGCTCTTCATCAGTGTCATCCTTGGTATTTTCAATGGCTTTGTAAGTTACTACTGCATTCGAACTACCCCCACATCTTGGACCTTGAATTAACCATATCATTTACCATACAGACTTACTGGCAATTGGGAAATACCATATCTAGCATGCAAAACCGAATGTTCTCCATTTTCCTGATCATCCTGCTCCCGCCAGTTTTCATGAATGGTGTTGTCCCAAAGTTCTTCATGAACAGAATGCTCTGGGAGGCGCGAGAGCAACCGAGCCGAATCTACGGCTGGGTGGCATTCTGTACAGCGAACGTCGTCTGTGAGATTCCAGCAGCTGTAGTTACCAGTGTTGTCTATTGGGTTCTCTGGTACTTTGCGACTGGTCTGCCCACCGACTCAAGCACGTCCGGCTATGTGTTCTTAATGTCCATGCTTTTCTTCTTCTTCCAAGCCAGCTGGGGACAGTGGATCTGCGCGTTCGCACCCTCGTTCACCGTTATAGGAAATGTAAGTCCTATCAAGCTTTCTACATCTACAGTTTCCACGCGATCCCAAACTAATCGAACCGTTACAAAACCAGGTTCTCCCATTTTTCTTCGTAATGGTGAACCTCTTCAACGGCGTCGTGCGCCCTTATTTCGTCCTTCCAGCTTTCTGGCGCTTCTGGATCTACTATGCAAACCCAACCACATGGTGGCTCCGGGGTGTGCTGTCTGCTACCCTCCCGGACACACAGGTCGTCTGTTCCCCCGCCGAGCTCACCCACTTCAACCCGCCCCCTGGTCAAACCTGCATTGAGTACGCGGGTAACTTCATCTCCTCCATCGCGCGATCAGGCTACCTTACCAACCCCAACGCGATAGCTGACTGCAGCTACTGCGCATACTCAAACGGAGCGGAATATATGCGCACTCTGAACGTGCACGACGGTGATAAATGGAAGGGTTTCGGGATCTTCTTAGCATTTGTGGTGATTAACTGGGCGCTGGTATACTTTATGATATATACAGTGAGGGTTAAGGGGTGGACGTTTGGCTTTGGGACGGCGGTCGGTCTCGTCGAGAAGGGGATCTCCTGGGTGGAAGGGTTGACGAGGTCGGTAAAGGCGAAAGAGGATGGTGTGGGCGAGGGGAAAATCGAGCAAGCGAGCTGAAAGGGGAAAGATGCCATTGGAGAGGGTACGTGAGTATCTTGTGGATGACTTTTAATGATAATTTACTAGGAATTTCTAATTCCTTTTTGTTGTTTTGATTCGGGATGAGAATTGTGGTTTGCATCTTTTTTAGACTGTGCTGGCGTTCTTTTATTGTTTTAACTTTTTTTATTTTTTTATTTTTTTATTTTTATTTTTATTTTTATTTTTATTTCTTAATTACTGCAAATAAAAAATAATATATAGAAACAACAAATAATGAAAACAAGCGAACAAACAAAACTTTCAACTTCGGTTTTCTCGCTGTTGCTGCTGGTCTCTCATTTCGGTCCCCTCAGGATCCGTTGCCCAGGGTGTCTAGGGGTGAACGAACTCATATCAAAGCAGCAGAGACACTTACAACATTCCCAGTTCTCGTAAAGCAGGTTAACACATTTGGTGCCCTGAACGGGTTCGGCCGGGTTCACAATGTTAACGGCCATTTCACAACCCTTTTTCCAGTGGATTGACATGAAGTATGGAACCTCCGTAAAATATGGTATACCGCTCTTTTTTCTGTCGGTGATGCTTTCGCCAGGGCGTATTTCACGGCTCTTGTCGCAGAGACGTACAGCTTGATGTTCTACCCACTTGCCAGTTATATCGCCGCGACCCTGATAGACATCTTTGTCGTGGGATTGCCGCTGGCTGACTTTCAGAGGTACCTTGGGTTTCTCCGTCGCAACTGGTGTGACTTTCTTCGTTGTAGTTACAAGAGTGGTGGGTCCTTTATTTATCGGGTGCGGGGGGCTCGGCGGCGGTGGTGGAGGCAAAATACAAACGCATTTACCGTCTAGGCAACCAGTGCGGCGCGGGAAGCCACATTGGAGGGCCAGCACACATTTGTCAGTAGTCTCTGGAGTGCATCCAATATCCATTGGTTTTGGTGACCCCGTTAAATTGGTGGTGATACTTGGTGTGGTAGTCGTTCCACTAGCTGTTTGGGAGAGGTAGCCGGTAGAAGTCGCAGTAGCGGCAAGCGTGGGAAGCAAGTGAAAGTCCCGGGGCTTTTTGGCCACGGGAGCTTTGTTGGACGTACAATGAGCCTCATCCTCCCCATTACATGTACCCAACGCTCCCACCAGTAGATTTCATGGAGAAGGATGTTGTACCATTCTGAAATTGCGTTGAACCCTCGACAGGAGGTGACATCGTATTTGAAAATCAAGATCTGAGCCTCACGGCATATCTCTGTGGTGCACCACCATTCGTAGCATCCTGGACGTATGGACCATACCTTTGAAGAGCAGTGTTGTCCAGCTACCTCCAAAGACTTATGGATAGGCCTATCCTCACCAGGACGAGCATTGGTAAACTTCCAAGGATCAGCAAACAGTGCTTATATTTATATGAGCCTTGGGGAAAAAAGGATGACTCTGATTCACCTTCTCACAGAGCCTATCGAATCGAGGAGTTCCATGGGCGTTTTCTACCCCAAAAGACACAATAGTAATTTGCGGGAAGGAGGGCAACCCTGTGCCAGGCATGGGATAGAAAATAAGGCTTGGGAGCAAAGTAGCATCGAATTGAAGCATTCCACGGCCTTTACTTGGTTGATACTAGTAATGGGGCTACAGATAAAAAAAAGGAATCCTGTGAGTAGTTAAATGTGGGCTCAAGGGCCTTCATCATCAATGATGTTGAACAGGATGGGCGGCACAGTTTGAAACATCACGCCAACGCCGTCAGCTTTCTCCTGCCCGTCGCCGCATTTGCAGATCTGTGGACGATAGATAATTGCCATTGGTTAGTAGTTAGCCAATTACGTGATACCTCATACCCCGGGGGAGAGGGGAGAGGGGAGAGGGGAGGGGAGGGGGTTTTTGCATTTCCAAGCCTGGTTGTTTTGCATTGGATGTTGTCCGGCTCTGTTCCAACGCCGGTTGCCGAGTGGCGCGCGGCTGATTTTGTGTGCTAAGCGACCACGTGATAAGCTTATCTCGTCGAGGGCATCGCTTGCTCATCCAGAAGTGCAACCTGGCAAGCAACAAGCAATGCGAAAAGTAACAAGAAGACCAGTCTGCTAGCGGCTCCCCAGCCTATTGCCTGCTATGGGCTGCCATCATGCAGGCAAAAGTTTTAGCACCAAATGCCCCAAGAGCTTGAAATTCCGCTACTCTTTCACTTCTCGCCAGTTCCGAGAGGGATGGGTTGCCTCAAACATCATGAGGACATATAAGAGCATACATCTGAACCGGCATCCCGGGATGAAAGCACGCACACCCCGCCTCAAGGTGGCTTCTGCAGCCGGCTTAGCCACGGTAAATTCTATCAAACTGCAGTTTTCCCTCGCTCCATGCCTGCAACATCATGAAGGTGCTACGGCTGATGATATGGGTGGGAGCCTATTACTTTCTTCTATCTTCTCCGGTGAGAGATGGTTTCCGGATGTAGCGGGATGGGATTTCAGCGGAGAAGCATTTTAAAGCGCGTACAATACTACTCCCTCCTCGGTGGACAATCCTCACAAAGTGTTCGCACGCCCCAGTGGGGACAGCGTGATTAGCAATCTCTAAGAATTTTCACGGTCTCAACGTCCATAATAACCTAATCAAGATCGAGCCATAAAGCGGACATTAACATGAAAGGTACAGATCAAAACTCGTCTAACAGAAATTTCATAGCTTGCTTACTTTCCCACCGGTTGGCCTATTTGCCTTCCGGCTGCATGATGTTATGCCGGCTGGAGTTGCCAATCCGGTTTTCTTTCCTGCATTTGCTTTTACTTATGTCAACGGCTTTTCGCAGTTTATATCACCGTATATTCTCCACGCCGACAGCTCCGGGGGGGATCGAGTTCATCATTTTCACGGACTTTGTGTGTGCTACCATCAACCTAGTTCTGCGACATGGACCCGCATAGAATATGGCTCCATGGCATTACCTTTGCTTCAAATATTGGGAGCAAGAGGAACAAGAAGTCCTCTTGAACCCCCGCTAGGGATAGGAATTTAAGCACCCTGGAGAAAGGAAAAGGGTACAAAAGAAGCCTAGATCTTTGATATATGTGCGGTTAGCAATGGTTTCTTTTCTCATCCATGTATTGGTGTCAAGACCGTTGTGGAACAGACGTCGACACATGCTGCCAGACTCCAGATGGGCAGTATAATCTGTGTGGCTTAGGTCAGCCTTCCATTGTCCAAAGCCCCAACCAAGGACCTGGAACTAATGCCCAAGTAGGTACTATCTGCTGCGGGTTTGGGTGTTGCCCCAGCAGGTCCCATACGTGTAATGTCAACTTCAGTTGCACTGTGCCCAACGGAGAGGTCATACCACCGGCAGCTCCAAACTCTACAAGTCAGCTCACACATAAGCCCACCACCCACCATCCCTCGATACCACCTCCAGGAAAAGCCACAACCAAAACCGTGGTGTCATCTGTCAAACAGCCCAGTCGCCGGTCAAGCGATCAACCCCAGCACACCCTAGGTTTATTGACTGAATCATTTGAATCAACTACCGGCACACACTCAAATCAGCCCACCCAGCGCTCGGTAAACCTGAAAAATCTATAGAAGCTCCATTAGATCAGCCCACGATCGCGCCGGTTGACAAAACTGAACAACCCAAAAAGTATACTGAACCGCTAATAGACAATACAGCGGAACAGCCTACAGACCAGTATACGGGCCGCCCAACAGGCCAACCCTCTGGGCAACCTGATCCCACAGATCAACCTGCCTAGATATCTACCTAGCAATCTGCAATCAACCCTACAAGCCCCTACATCTCACAAACTACAGATGAGTCATCTGAGATCCCCACCAGCACAACCACCGAAGATGGCTCTTTTCTGCCCAGTTCCCTTGGCGCTGTTGTTTTAGTTGATACGCGAACTGCAACACTTCCTCTCGTTACATCTACAACTACTTTTATCACTGTAGACCACACGTTCACTCTTACCCCCCCTTCACACACAGGACAAGCCGTTGAAACTTTGGTTATTGATGGTACTTCAACAGCAACTCTTCCTCGCATCTCAAAAACCATGACACTTACCACTCTAGGTTTAACTTTGACGCTTGCACCACCTTCCTTGACAAAAACAGATCTTCCCCTAAGCAGAACAGCTTCCATTACAGGTTCCAGTTCAACTCTGAGCCTCACGTCTTCGCGTGTAACCGAAGGAAGGGCATTGACCACAGAAAGTCAAATCATCACACCTAGGCCAAATATTTCTTCAACTAACACAGTTAGCAATCCACAGTTTCCCACCACGACAGCAAGCCAAACAAGCGACGTTGTGGGCCACCAGCCGCTACCCATATATGATGAATGGCCTTCCGATGCCGTTATTGTTACCGTTGAGAGAAGTTGAAGAACCTGAGCCCTCGGGCAGCGATGATGGCGGCGTTGTTATACCATGCATAGAAGCTGATATATCATTTCGTTTAAGATCTGCATTCGATTCGGCAGTATAAACATTAAGGGATGGAAGTTGAACCTTCCTAGCGGAATCTACCCTCAGTAAGTCTTCCCATTAATCCCGTGTCAATGAACAAAAACCGATATTTGACAATAGCGGGCGACCTCCATCACCGAATATCAAACTTCCACCGGGAATTAACTTCCAAGGCGAGCTTCCGCCATGGCCCAAGTTCACGTAAGTAATTACAGGATATGTCAATATCTTAGACTAATTAACTAACCTTCGTTCCCTTACTGGGCGCCAGCGTCGGGGCTAAGGGATTCCAACTTTCCCTAACCAGCCCGAACCTACTAAATGTGAGACCAGGACAGCCTCACTATGCTCAACCACCACATCGTATGTTGTGTCAGCAATTAAAGGGGCGTTATAGACGGTCTCTTCGCAGGCACTCTCGCCGAAATGCCATGAAGTTCGTGGCTGCTTAGTGACCGACTCAAACCAGAAGACGACTCAAACTAAAGCGGATGACTGTGTGATTTCAACCGTGACTGACGTAGCTGTCATATGCAGCGGGGCAGGAACGACAGATTGTTCTATAGAGACAAAAGTTCCTAAAACAGGATGTTCTATATCTCCGACCACAGCAACATTATCATGCACCCCTACCCCTACTGGGAAAGACCGGCGACAGGTAGGTGACAATTTGTGCGCGCCGGCAAGTGTGTATTATGCCTGGCCTGGTGATGGAAGAAACGTGGACCAAACTACTGCAATCTATACCGAATTGAAAATTTTTCTTCAGGATGAGACAAGGATTAGAACCTTGGATACAATATCTATGGGTATCAACTTCTGGAGAGTATATCTCACTCCTAGTCAGGTCCAGCATGTCAAGGGCATACCGAATGTGAGTAAAAATGGTGCACTATGGCTAGATAACTCTGATTATTACAGGAAAGTGGAAAAGGAGAAGAGTTGAGTTATCGACAATAAAATCGCTAATAGCACTTAGACAGGTTATTGCAGTGTATCGCGAAGTTTTAGATGGCCTCAGAGGCAGGGACACTCTGACTCAAGGCACACTCCGAAAAATAACATATTATCGATAACAAAATAAGTACGTCATTGGAGGATTTGACGTAGGCAGTCAGATGTCTTTTTGCTCTGCCAGATCTCTCCCAAATTGGGACCGTCCGTATATATTTGACAAGAGCGCTAGGAAAGATATTCCTGTCTACATTGTAGATACTGGAGCACAAATTGATCACCCAGTCCGTATGCACACTCGTCGTGGTCTGTATGCCCAAAAATTTAACAATGTTGTGACAGGAATCAATCAAGGTGACAGGGCAGCTACAAGGGCCGAATTTATATACGCTTATGAGGACCATGACCATGCAGAGAACCTCGACCCTCGTGATGACGCGGGAATGCCACGGAATGGCATTTGTCCTCCTGCCAGAACTCGCATCCCGCACGGAACTACAATGTTAGGCGCCGTGATGGGTGCCAAGCTCGGGATCGCCAAGAAGATCAAACCATACATAGTACGCACTCCGCGAAGGGACCCTAGAGGCAGCAATCCCATGGCGGAGGATTATGTGCTAGGTTATCAAAGATCAGTGACCGCTATTCGGACAGTAGTAGGATCACGCGAGCAATCCTCTCGATGCCTTGGATACTCTGGGAAAAGGAGTTTATACAGACCCCGTTCAACGACCGCGTCCCCAATGATTTTGTTGTCTGTCAAAAAAAGGATATATGCCCTGCTTACTGATCTTGTTAGGAGAGGTATATTTCCGTCGCTGGCGCGGGTAATGTCCCTTCATCAATCGTAAGTACACTTTTCGGCTATTCACAAAGCATACTCTAACGCTGATATGTAGATCAAGGGATGGCCTTCCCTGTTTGGCGCTAACGTCTCAACATTGACTGAGGATGAACTACAAGGATGGCTAGATATTCCTCAGATATTAGTTGTCGGAGCCGTGGAAACAGTTGAAGGAAAAATCTCATCGAATTCGGGATGGGATAAGCGGAGACATATTCCTGACGTTCATGCGCCCGGTGTCGATATTATTGTGGCGGACGGGAATAAGGGGGAATGGGCTAGGAATGCGCATTACAAGCAATCAGATGGCACTTCCCTTGGTAAATCACAAATTTAACCTACTCTTTGTTAGCAATTGACTCACGGATGCCCTTTAGCGCAGCTACCGCTTATACAGCCGGCCTCGCTGCACATTTTTTGAAACTTCACGAGGTCGGCCGGCTTAAGCCCATAAGTCCCGGCATACAACTTGACATGAGAAGGGGGCTTAAAGACTATATCTGAACACTGGTGTGGCGAGAAGTTCTCATGGTGCTTTTGGCCCTGTACTGTCAGTGTGGAATGGTGCAGAGTGGAACGGCGTAGGCCACTTCCCTTACGAGTGGTCGATCTTTCAGCTGCGGGCAAATGATAAATTGACGGATCAATGCATGGCGGCAGCTACCTCAACTGGAGATCCTGCCGTACATAGTTCCAAAGCTGTCTAGTATCTCCAAACCCTGTTCTTCTGCCGGATCCAAGCTTCAGCGGCATTAATATAAATGTTCTCCAAACATGCAACTTCTTCTATCAGGAAGGGAGAGAGATGTTTTGGGGGCAAAATACGTTCACCACCTCGCACTCATTCATTATCACGGCTCTGGTAAGCCCCAACCAACCGCGGCAAGTTACTGCTTAAGAAGGCCGTGTCCTTGCAGAAGGTGATGTTCAGAGCCAATTCATCGAATTGTCATCTATCGACGATCATGACATATTCCGCGACCAGGTCATTACGAAAAAACAGGTTCTTCGAACGCTGTTGGAACGTAGTTTGCGGGAAAAAGAGGTAGAACCCAGCGCTTGTGATACCTGACTTGAAGCCTTTCATAATACAATTCAAGCTGATGACTGATTTTTCTTTAAACCATAGGAACTTTTGATTCAAAGATACGGAGACTCAAGGCAAGAATTCGTTTTATCACTTACAAAAATTTGAAGCAGCGCATTAAGCTACAGATACGATCTATTATGCGGAAAGCATGACCGCAAAACAATCGGGATATGCGCTCATGGCATGGTAATACACTTGGAAATGGGAAAGTTAACAACAGCCAGTCACGATTCCAGCCTACTATGACTTGGTGCCCACTGATTTCAAATTGTTCCACTGTTTAATCAACTCTATTTGCGTGTCATGAGATTTTCTTTTGTCCTGTTTCAATTTATTCACTCAATAATGCCACTGCCTGTCTTCTTTTTTTCCTGCTGGGGTAGTCACATGTTCTTCATTTTATCATGATCTGAACTGTCCCAAGATAATAATGAAGTGGAAATTTATTGTCCAAGTTATCAAAGGTATTTCGCTTCGTCGGTTGCCTCAGGCATAGAGAATGTAAACTGCTGGGGAAAGGGGGCGAGGGATAGGCCGAAAGTCACATTAACAGCCACCCGCCATTGACCGTATTGATGAATAAGAAACACAGTGCATGTGTTATGAATTACGTTGCCGCTCCAGTCGCTAAGAGACCGGAAGGAAGAGAAGGAAATAGCACCAAATAACCGACATTGTACAATCAAATTAATCAATCCTCCATATAAAAAAACGGTCTATTACGCCCGTGATATCTCGGTGCAGGAACAATCATCGGAACGGGAATTGTCGGCTCGAACACAGTAGTGACCTCTGACCCGTCGTCTGAGTTGGCGCTGGAGTCCTCCGACTCGGATTTAGCGAGGAGAGTAGCAGTTCTACCAGTCGACGGGATGGATGATAGCTTTCCTGCATCGTTGTGGCGAATGGGGATCACGACACCGCATTCCCAGTTTCGGCAGTTTAATTTTGGTTTGGTGGTTGAGCGGTCGAGGACGAGGCGGCCCCTGGATTACATAGGCGGAAACAGGCATTTTTGTTAGTAAGGTTGTGGAAAGAGGCCCAAATAGGCTTTAGGAAGTCGGAGTTTGAAGTGTTGGCAAGGCGGGGGGATTACAACTAGGGGAAAATGGGATCCTGCTGTGTACGTACCAGGCACTTTCTGATAGATTTGCACTGCCAACGTATGCCCAACCAGCGTAGCGGGTGGAATTGTCCTTTAAGCTGGTGATGGGTTTCTCGGGACGGACGAAAAGTATCTGCAGGAGATCATGAATATTTTGGACAAATGATTTCCCTGTTTGAAAATATATACAAGTTTATCGTGGTAAATTTCCGTGCATACCTTGTTATGCATTAATAATCCCTCTCTTCGACTGATATTATCTCTCATTATGTCTTTCGGGAATGTCGCTGAATTATACCACTTTGATTGAAAGCATATCGTCCCAGCATTCTCCGCGCCGCCTTTGGACTTCCGAACCGTGTCAAGCGATGGAAAAACGACACGGAATTTGTCTTTCCACTTTCCACCGTCCGTTCTTTTGGTTACCACTCCCCAGTTTTCGGACGGGAACCTCTTGGATGTGCGAAGGGTCAACTCTTTTAGCCCGCTATCTCCTATATAGACCATTAGTGGAGGTTAAAATGAGATAATTTACATGTAGTTTAGTACTTGGTTTACCTTGTGCTGCAAGATACATAGATCGCAGAAATTGTTCGTTCAGTGAGCCTACTGAGGAAGTCTGCGCGGCCCGTTAGCCTCGTGCAATAAAAGGTAGAGATCAAGGGAGCATCGATGAGCGTACAACGTAGTCAAGGTTTATATCACGAGTGGTTTGAAGACCCAGTGCGGTTATGGCACTTCCAAGTCCGCACAGTCCCGTCTTTCTCCATTTCGGATCTGTGTGAGATCCGCCACTAAAAAATAGTTAACCTGATAGGAGTGTTTGAAAGGAGACCAGGAGATACATACATTGTGTGCACAAACGCGATATCCTTCGTAGCGCTAAAATCGAATTGAAGCATCTTCTTTATAATTTGGTCGTGTAAATTAGACGCCTGAAGGAAGTAAACTAGATCATCGAGGAATGATGTACCAGGTCCGTTGGCTAAATCCGGTGATTTCAGAGGTAGGTCGATAAGAAACACAATCTGAGAGATTAGAACCACATAAACGTTAGAGAATGAGATTGCAAGTAACTTAGGTCCTTACATTTTCCATGACCCCCCCCTGTTCGCCCCAATCAAATGGGACGAGGTTCGCGCTTGGTACTGCAATTCGAAGGTAACTGGGATGAAAAAGGAGCATGAGCTTGGAATGCATGCAATTCACTTGCGGCTCCATGGGAGGAAAACAAAGTCTGACGGATCCCATTGATTTCGTGTCATTCTCAAGCTCCCGTTTCTATTAATAATGTCAGTGGTGTATAATAATAAACATACTATTGACTTTGGAATAATGCCAGGAGAGAAAGGGTAAACCAGATTAGCACAATGACATGGGTCATACTTTGTCTTCTTCCTTCTCTCCCATGATAAGGAGAAACCTAGTCTGTTTAATATCAAATTTCGAAAACATCCAATCCACATTCCACATGTAAGAACTCAGGACGGCGAGCTCAAGGTCCGATTTCTGTACCACTTCTTCAAACTTGATATCGTCGCCTGTCCTATCATAACCAAAAGCCCAGGTCTTCTTGACTACACCATTCGGGAACTGTAATGAAGTAGACGCCAATGGCAGTGGTTGTGACAGAACTCCAGATTTTGTAGTCTCTTTGTTTCTGCTCCGCTCTGCATTTCCAGGTAGATGATGGCCAGGCATTTCAGCTCCAACAGCGGCATCTTCGTTCTTGCTTCTAGTCGCAGCAAGTTTCGATGCAGGAAGCTCGGATGTACTTGAAGCCTTCCGCTTCTTTCCAAGTCGCGCCAATCTTTCCTCCTCCATCTTCTTGCGATCCATCCCCAAAATACCCACTAGAGAACTTGATTTTGTGGAGCCAGGCGCCGCATCATCTGGAGATGTCTTCTCTCCACCCCTTTCAGCCAGGGCAGACGGTGCCTCCCCCTTTGCACCGGTACTTCCCGAAGAATCGCGCCTTTGTAACGATAACTTAATCGCTTCTTCAAGCTCCATGTCTGAGCCCTCAACCACTTCCTTGAACGACCCAGCAGAAGCTCTTGCTAATCTTTGGGGATCTGACTGCGAAGAGTCGCTTGAGTCAGACTCAACTGTTAGATCAACAAAATTGGACTCGCGAGGTGGCGCTGCGGATGCTGCTACCGCTGGTGACTGTCTTGCTGCGTCCAATAACGATGCGCGGATGGCAGCTCTCATAAGTTCATCCTCATCATGACCGTAAAAGTCATGACTATCCATCGCGTAATGCCGTTAACATATGGTTGCAAAGGGTGTTATTACTGTCACGAGGCTCGTTGTTGTTTTTGTGTTGAGGAAGTGTTTAAACGATAGTGAAGCGAAATGTCTTGAAAGAATCACTCTGTATCTCACAGTCATGAAACCTTGTGTGTCTGTCCAGAGTAGGGGGGTAGAGTGAGTCTAAGGAAGCTTCCCAGATACCACAATCCGCTTAAGGTCCTTTGTTTTAAACCATATCAGTCTGTATCACACCCTAAATTGCTAACCACATCTATCTGTTTCCTTCTCCTCGTGCCCGCTTTTCTCAAGGTGTTAGTTAAATCAACAAAGCGAGACGTAGAAGTTGTTGGACGGTAGGGGCTATAGGTAGTGTGCTTCCACTGTAAGTACCTAGTTACACTCGATATCACGTGGTTTGGAGGCTCCAGCTGAGGTAGCAACCAACGAGCCTATTACTACGTCTTCATGACATCATCGTAGTCGGTCTTACAAAACACGACAAGCAAAATCGAACGAAATAAAATGTTTTCTTTCATATACCCTGATCATATTTCAATTAATCGTGAAAAGCTTACAGATTCCAATCCCAGAATGGGAAAGCACACCGAAAACAAATCGTCACAGAACCTAAGTAGCCGACTGCAAACATAAGGCGCAACATGGCGTTCAAAGCGCAATCCACTACTGACAGGCAAAAGGTGCTTATAATTGGTGCCGGAGCAGCAGGAATGGTACGCTAATATCCCAGAAAGAAAGAAAGAGACGAAGCAAGCAAGCAAGAGAAATCCATTCCCATTCCCACTCAAACTCCCTTGCCCAATCCTCTCCCTTCCCCAACCGCGTTAGTCGGGAATAGTAAAAAGGTAACCAAAACATTCCCAATCACACAAAAATTCATTTAGTCATGCGCAGCAACTCTAGCCGAACATCCCAACAGATTCGATGTCACGATTATAGAGCGCGCCAGTGTCCCTGGGGGTGTTGCGACGTCCTTATCGCTAGATACACGCCTGTACGGAGCAGATTGGATGAACAATGGTGTCCAGGGGGGGCCAAGCCTATTCCGACACACCTTCAAATACCTCCGGGATTATGGCTTTGAGCCAAAAGAGATGAAGTTGCAGTTTTCGTTCGGGAAGGGTAAGGAAGATTTCTGGACGAATGTGTTTCCGACAGCGCTGATTGAGAAACACGCGGACGAGATTAGGAGGTTTGGTACGGCGCTTGAGATCATTAGGAAAGGCGGAGTTGCGCTTTGGGTATTGCCTGTTAAGACATTTCTAAGCCTGTTCCGGTTTAGCAAGGAATTCCGGTACAAGATGGTTATTCCTCTTGCCTCGGTCGTGCTTGGAACGGGGAATCAGACGGAAGATTTCCCATGTGGTCTTCTCCAACAGCTTTTTTATGACCCTGGAATGAAAGTGTGGGATTACGACCCAGTATCATTCGTACCAAATCTTCCAAGCATGTTTACCTTCCCCAACATGCGACTCTTCTACCGCGACTGGGCGATTGGCCTATGCTCCAATGGGGTCAGGATCCGCTTAAATACTGAGGTCACTAAGATCATACGCAGAGATCGTCACGGCGTCGCTGTCGAGACGGCACGGGCTAACAGCGATATATTAAGTGGCAGTTCAGTACGTCGCCACACCAGCATCATTGAGGGTTTCGACAAGTTAGTCCTCTGCATTCCCGGGGACGAGGCGAGTCGTCTGTTGGGCAAAGGGGGAACCTGGAAGGAAAGGCTTATCCTTGGCAGTGTCAAGATGTTCAACCGTCTCACTATCACCCATTCGGACTCTGCGTATATCAGAGAACTCTATGAAACTCGCTTCCGAGAGGAGCTGTGCGCGCCGCCCCGGACGAAAGAGCAGGAAGATCAAATATCCTTTGCAAGAGGTGCAGCAGGCGAGCAGCCTGGGTTCAGGCCAATGTACTATACCCGTGCTTACCCCGAACAGAAAAACAAGATGGAGCCGGGATTTGATTGCTCGAATTTCCAGTATCAGTTCCAGCCAGATATCAGATCGGGGCAACCCGCGCTGCCTTTTGACCGTCACGTTTTCCAAAGCCATTTCTTGGATGGTAAATTGAAGCATCTTTGGACGGCTAATAAGATCGACGAGAGCAGTATCATCGAACGGAGATGGTGGCATCAGCTATCTCCCCGCTGGCAGCACTATGTTAGGGTTGCTCCGGCTATACGGTTCATCAATGGCAAGAAGAATACATATTTCGCAGGATCATGGACACTTGTGGTGAGACCATGTCAAACTCGAAGCATATATATGAACTATAGGCCGTCGTGCGCTGACAGCACTGACACAGGATATTCATGAGGTCGCATGTATATCTGGCATTGCGGCAGCGTATCGCCTTGGTGCGGAGTATGAAAATTTTGACGACCTTGCTGCATCTAATTTTGCAAAGTATTTGAAAAACGCTCATGGGGTTAAATTCGGAAGGTGAATGGGGGAGCAAAACATGTAGTGAATTTTCAAATGTTATCTGGGGCTTCCATCTTGCTCACTTGTGTGACCCACGAAATTCGTCTATCCTGAATCATGATGGTCAACTCGTCATATGTAATATTATTAGGTGCGGACTTCGGTCGAGTTGATTTACTGTAGTCCCGATTGTGAGAGCCGTATCGACAGAAGCTCGAAAATGATAAGCACATTAGCACAAATGTAGCCACGATCGTCAACAATAGATCATTCCATCATTGGCACGTCATGCGACATCAGGTTATCCTCTCCTTCAGTTTTCAGGTTAATATCATTAGTACCCGCAGCTTCCTCCTTCGAATTGGTAGAATGTTGCTGCTGTGCATCACCATCAGGAAGCGGGAAATTCAAATGCTTCCAATCCTCAATCTCCTCAGTGATGCATTTCAGCCTATCCCTAATACTCTCCACAGCGTAGCTGCCAAGAAGGAGACGTAATGGCGGAAATGAGCAATGAGCAAGTTGCCAAACCAGTTCAGCGGCTTTTACCGCGCTTATAGGCTGCTTATCCCCCATCCACTGGATGATCCGTCTAGCATGGGACGCGGGAGCCGTCGCTGAGCTATACGGGTCGCTTGCTGGCTTTATAAGGAAGTGCCCGAACAATGGGAGTGGGGAGGAGTGCGATAAGTCCGGTGCAATGGAGCCCGGGGGAGATTCGGAGGGATCAAAATCGTCTCGACGCATGTGTCCCGGCTCCACCAGCGTGCATTTAATATTAAACGGATCAATCTCATAGAGCATACTCTCAATAAGCCCCTCCACAGCATATTTGGTCGCGCAATACGGTCCCAGCCCCGGTACGCCAAGCGATCCCGACGTGGAGCTGAATATCAAATACCTCCCCGCACGCCGCTGTCGGAAATACGCTAGAGAGAGTTGTATGATATTCAACGTGCCGGTGAAATTGGTCTCGAACTGGTTTCGGATGTCGTATTCATCCTGATCCTCGCAGGCGCCCACGACGCCGTAGCCGGAGCAGTTGACAATGCAGTCGATGCGGCCAAAGTGTTCGATGGTTTTGTCGATCGCGGCGCGGACGGTTTCGCGGGCCCGCACGTCACAGAGGAGGCCGATGCAGTTCCTATTCTCGGAATGGAGGGCTTCCATGCTTGCTGGGGAGCTCTCAAATGTGCGTCCGACGGCGGCAACGAGGTCCCCGTGGGCTAGTGTGCATTTGACTAGCGAGCGGCCCATGTGGCCTGTCGCACCAAATATCTACAGGTGAGGTTTTGTTTAGCAACCACTGTAAAAGAGCAGCGAAACCCAGACATATCGTCAGTAGGGGCAAACGTACCAGCCATACTAGCTGCTTGGGAGGATTTTGAGGTCCTGGCGGGTCTGTTGTTGCGGGTAAATGTAGACGGGCGTCTTGCGCTACGATAGTGGAAGGGGAGCGCGAATTGGCTGCGCGAAACCTTTCGCGGGGTCGCGGATCCATAACGAATCAGATTTGTGGAGGGCGGGGACGAAAAAAGGTATTGTTCGTACAATTAAGGCCAGGTTTCAAACTGCGACATTGTTCACCGACCGCTAAAAAGACTTATCTGGAATATTTAGCAAATATGAGCTCCGTGGGCTGTGTCGATGGTTTGTTCCGACGGCCCAAGAGGCCTACCTACTATGGTATGTATGTTTCTCCCGGCGGTATTTAGCTGGCTGCTACAGTACAAAAACTCCACGTGGTTGGTGGCTCTAGTTAAAATTTAGGAAATAGCCTACGGAGTAATAAAAGTTGATAATGATTTCATGTGGAGACATCGACGGCAGTTTCCGACGAACTAAGCTGCTACTTTAAAGAAAAATACACTGATGATATAAACCACCCTAATTAATTGACGCCATACCGGATGAAAAAACCTCATTTCAAATAACAAAACCATGAGCTTAACATAATCAACGACCAATTTCCCTCCGAAGCCTTCCCTCGACTGTGGTCGGCGGGGCTTCAGGCCAGTTACCAACAGCATCATCAACCTCTTCAAGGAAGCTAGCACTATTATGGATGCAAGTGGCCCCCAGAACAACACGGACGCCAGGGGAACTCGCATTGACCTGCGCCACCATCTTGGCTTCTTCGTACGTTGCTCCTCCAACCATGAATACGATTATATCCTGAGGTTTGTCCCGAGTGTGTCCGCCTCCTTCGAGGAAGGGGTATTGGAGCTCCTTCAGGCGGCCTTTGATGAGATTCTGGAGAGTGGACTCTAATCGCGGAGAGTGCTGGGTGTATACATTCTCGACACCCTTAAGTGGTTTAAACCGGTCGCGAGCGCCAGAGAGAAAAGATGCGGACTCGAATAGATCTGAGAATCCACCAGCAACTGGAGGTGCTTGGAGTGAGTGATGGTACGCTAATAGCTTTGGGATAATATTAATTCTATGCGGCGACACGTCCCCCGCGGCTGTAAGTAGGTCGATCAAAACTGGCAACGCATTCGAAGGCTGTTTTTCATAACGGATCGCATATAATGCGACTAGGCGGATTTTATTATCCGCTGTGACTGATGGAGATTGAATCAACCGTTGTAGTGACTTTGATGGTCAGTATACTATTATCTCATATGCCTGCTAGATCGTTTTGGGTACGGGATAGAGAACCAACCTTAAGATCATTCGCGTGGTTATCGTTACAGGCTAAGCTCTGTTCGAGTTCGCTCACATCCAGCAAGCTATTCTCACCTACTTTTCTGCTCAATTCGCTAACTAGTGTCACATGTTTGCTGACATTGCCCGAGAGCTTTCGGAATTCGGGGTAGTCCTCCACAAATCGCTTCATATCCGCAATAGACTCTATACTCATAGTGCTTTTTGTTCGAGATTGGTATTGTTCGACGTATTCCTTAATATTCCCGCCCAAGTCGCCGAAATTCTGGTACATATTCTTCTTGAAAAAGGGATCCTGATCTTGGGATATCACAATTTCCTTAAGTTCCGGTCTGATGTCTGGAACATTGCTCAAATCAACCCTTCCATTATCAATGCCAAGGAGCTCATGGACCATGGCTTGATAGGTCCACTGGTTTAGTAGTGGTGTGATAGGGTCGTCCCGACGGTCGAGTATCAGCAGGATGGGGGGCGTATCTGTTTTTTGGAAATTGAACAGTTGCTCCTCTTGAGTGAGCTGATATCGGACTTCAGTGGCAAGCTTCTTAGTTATGAGGCTGTTTTTCTCGTACCGAATCAAGGGGTTCTTCTTTAAGGACAATAAAAGTGCGATAACTCCCTCCGTCGCTCGCTGGAGAGCGTCTGAATTCCAGATATCTGGACTCTGGCTCCATATCCTTTGCTTCGGGTACCCCATACCCAAAGAGCAAAGGTCGGGGTTGATCACGGAGAAATCGGCAAAATACTCCTGCACGGCCTTAACAACCTCATGACCATCTGCTTCTGCCAGCCTCTCCAGTGACGATTTGCGGACAACGTTGCTGAAGTAGAGGTAGTACTCGCCATACTTGGGTTCCCGTAATTCATCAATAATAAACTGTATGGAATCAGGAGAGGGGCGAACGAAGCACAGGCATCGCAGGTGTCGCATCTTCTCGCGACTCTGGTTGTCGAGGCGGTCGATCAAGTAGACCTCATGGTTCAGGAGAGCGGACTGGGTCATGGCAGTGGAGACGATGGGTACCTAGGAAGGTTGTTAGCCCTGCCAGTCATTGTAGTTAGAAGGTCGCGTCTCCCACGGTCTCACTATCAAGCAATAATATCTTCATCTTAGCGGTGGAAGATCCGGTCGCAGATGAGTCCCCGACGGAGACCATCTTCGAGATGTAGCCGGACACAGCAGAGACGACATCCATTGCGACAGCGTGATTATCGAACGAACCGACACAGGGAAATCTGCGAAAGGCTTAATAGCGAGGTTTAAGCCCCTCCCGTAGTACGTCGAGCAATTCGTTCTACTGGTCAGGCAAGGTGTTAATGTGCAATGTCAGTCCAAAAGCATGTTGATGCTGTTTGATGCCGCTGTCGTCACTGTCTGGTTTAGCCAAGCATGACTAAGGAATGTATCACGTGAACATATTGCCCGTCAAAAGTTCCAGAAGGGGAAATGGATTCACTCCTGAATTCATCTCCCAAACTTCATTTGTACGGCGTAGCAGATTGGCAAATCATTATGGCGCGACGTTATTCCTTTTTATCACAGGAGCTCTACACTTGCAGCAAGCTAGGGTACAGACCGCGGAGGCCACTTGAACATAGCTCCCCCAATCCTGTCCGCCCAAAAAATATGCGCAGAACCAACGTATTTTGTCACGAATAAGCTGGAGTATACCCAGGTCTCCTTTTACTCGAGATAGTATCTGACTTTCATCGTTGTTGCTTTCGCATTAACGGCCGGCCCATATATATAAGCACCATGAGATAAATAAATTGACGTAGCAGAAGATTTCTAATATCGTCCAAACAAAAGCAGTTCACTCATTCTCTTTTTAGATATCTAACCAATTGGCCAAAATAATTGGATAATATGGATATCGCCCGCTACACGCACTGGCTAACCGCTGGCCTACCACTAGCAGTATCGGCCCTGCAACAAAAAACAAAGGTGAATATAATCTCAGAAACCACATTTGAGGTACTCTCGTCTCTGGAAAAATAATCCTTACTATTTCCCAGCATCATCTTTCAAAGCCACAATCCTGTTCAATATCACCTTATCCTCAGTACTATCACTATCGAGCGCAAAATACGCAACCCGCATCCCCTGGAAGCGGACTGTTTCGGGATGAACAATCGACCCATCTGCACCGACTCCTCCTGCGCCACTGATGTCATACTCTTCCGTCTCATGCTTTTCCGGGTTAGAGAGCTTCTCGCCTTCCTTAGCAGGCCAAGGTGCGCGACTTTTAACTTCAGGGAACCCAATATCGATCATGGCATCGCGGTAGATCTCCATAGAGTTGGAATTGATATCTGCTAGGAAGCCGTCCGGGTGGCTCTTGGGATCTTCGGAGTTGAACAATCGATTGATGACGCGAACCTCAGCTTTTATAGGGCTGGAATGCTCGGGGGAGAGAGCGACCCAGTGTATGAATCTGCAGATATTGTTAGAATTAAATATTGTGGTGCTCTTTTGCGTAAATTTATTTTGGGTTACTAGCCACACAGCAATACACGGCGTTTACTGGAATATCAAAATTTGTGGACGGGGATGGATTACGTTTTGGGTTTCTTAGGAGCGGATCCCTCTTCCGGTTTCTCATATTTCGCGTGAACACAGGTTACTAGCCCAGTTTCTGGATCCTTCTCAAAGGACATTGCCGTAATTGGGTAAGGCACTTTCATAAGACCAACGGTTTTCCCAGGGGCTAGTCGGAAGTAGTCCGCCGAATCAACTTCTCTAAAATCAGTTCTCTCGATATAAACTGTCCGCGTAAACGGGACCTTGTGAACCTAAATAACTGCTGTCAGAATGTGAAACTTGCCATACGCGAACCGTAGTCTTCTTTTTTTCTTTTCTTTTCTTTTCTTTTTTTTTCTTTTTTTTTCTTTTTTTTTCAAAAATTTGCGGAACGGGTTCAACGTACTCCAAACGCGGGATCTTTCGAATAAGGAAGTTCGACCATTTCAAGGTAATCTTCAGGGAGATCATCGATGATAACTTTGAGCGGTTCCATGACGACCATCAATCGTGGAACGGTCGTCTCGAGATACCTTCTCACTGATTGTTCAAAGCGATGTACTTGGATATTTGTCTTGGCTTTGGTCACTCCAAGCTCGTTCACAAACGAGAGAATGGCTCCGGGAGGCACACCCCGACGACGTAGACCAACGAGGGTATACAAGCGAGGATCATCGTATCCTCCAACGTGTCCTCCATCGATAAGCTTCATAATGTCCCGTTTGGAAAGAATCGTTCCCGTAACATTGAGGCGGCCGTATCTGTAAATATTGTTAGAAGAAGTGGTTAATTCCGAAAAGAATATGAGGAGACTAACTCTCTTTGCATTGGTCTGTATACTTCCAACTTGTCGCAAAGCCACTCGTAAGAAACTCGGGACTGCTCGAATTCCGTTGTGCATAAGGAGTGAGTAACGCCCTCAAAGCTATCACAGAGACAGTGAGTAAAATCGTAAGTAGGGTATATTCTCCATTTATCTCCAGTTCGGAAATGATGTCTTTCCTTGTCGTCGATGACACGATATGCAAAGAGATCCCACATTTGGGGGTTGCCATCTTTGAGGTCCTGCTTCATACGCAAAGCAGCTTCTCCAGCCGCGTATTTGCCATCACGCATTGCTCGGAATTCCGTCAGCGATTCCTCAATAGGACGAGTCCGATGCGCACAGGCAAATCGAGGTTTACCTTCCCCCTCTCCTCCGCCTCGCTGTGCTTGGATTTCGGCCTCTTTTTCAATTATTAGAATGCATTACCTATCAAAGGGCAGTTATGTGTAAGAAAAGGACTTACTGTTGCAGTGACAAACATATGCGCCATCCCGTCTGATTAGGTCCTCCGCCAGCTCATAGAGGCGATCAAAATTGTCACTGGAATATGTGACCTTGACTGGTGAGAAACCCAGCCACCGGACAATATCTTCAATCGCAATAAAATATTTTTCCTCTTCGCTCTTAGGGTTCGTATCATCAAATCGAAGATAGCAGTCTCCTCCATAGAATCGCGCGAAACCAAAATTGATCGCAATGGCTTTTGAGTGTCCGATGTGAAGGTAGCCATTTGGCTCGGGTGGGAAACGTGTTACAACTTTCTTAACATACTCAGAACCGATTGGCCTTTCATTATAGACGTCGGCAAGGAATCCAGTCTTAAACATTGAGTCTGGATCTTCATTGAAAGCTATGGCAGCTGGCTTCTTCGCCTTTGGCGGGGTAGGGCCCTTGGGCGGTTTAGGCGCCTTGGGAGCTTTTTCTTTTCGCGGTTTTTGAGCATTTGCCGGTGCCTTAGTGCGATCAGGAAGGTCGACCGGAGTGTCCATGTTTTCTAGCTTTTGTTTGTCGGTCATGATGCTCCGTTTTGGCGACTGTGCAGTAGAACTGGAAGTGTTAGCAATGGGAAGCACTCAACTACTTGGCCGGTTTACCAGGCCTAGCAACACTATTCACATTAATAGAATAAGAAACAGTCATACCCTGTAGTTAATATTAATATATTAGTTACTAATCTGAGTGCGGAGAGTGTAAATGTTGTGAAGGCGGGGGAAGTTCTATTAGGACGTGGATGTTGGAGGGACAAAGCAAGCAAAAATAGTGGGCTAGGGCAATCACTTCCTTATCGATAAGAGATGACTCAGGGGCCGGCTGGCGATAGTCACAAAATTAGTATAAAAAATACGAAATTCTCCGGGAATATCAGCGATAGGATATATATTCTAGATTTTTTTGTAGTTAATAAAAAAGCGCAATATATACTTCACATACAGGAAATGGAGGGAAGTAGTAATAAATATAGGATCTGAGCTTGGGAGAGAAGTATAAATCACGTGATCGCATACCTCTGCTGTCAGGACTCCGGAAAAACTAACATCCGGGCATAAATTCAAGCTCCAAACACCTCTTTTGCAGAGGTTGAGAAAAAAACAAAACATCCTTTTTTGTCTTCCTACCCCCTTAGTATCTGCTTGCTGAGCCTGGAAATTCCTATACCTGTTACCAAATTACCGAATTAGTCCGGCTTCATCGTGCATCGGTCCAGTTCTCAGACTCAGCTCTCCGTTCACCAGCCGGACCTAGTTCCATTCCCAGCCCAACCACTCCCTATACCCTATACCACCTCTTCCTGACCTCCTATTTTCAACTTTACTTATTGCATAGAGTCTTGTCGTTCTTGTTTGTATTGTTACGTCTTTTTGTGCGTCTATACCATTCCAGTCGTGGCGGAGTTGGCTTATCTCGTTTCCTTTTTTTGTTCCATTTCCTCAAACCTGGGGAGGTTCTCTATAAAGAAGCCATTACAATCTGATTACAATCCCACAAGGGCACGGGGTATGTTCCAGTTATAGTATTGCATCTGTTCTGGACTAATATATTCCCCTCCGCCCTTTCAATATACTAGTCGACCTGTGGGTGTCACCGCACAATTCTGTCACCTACCACGGTCAACAGCCAGACGGGCTGGGAAAACAACCAACTCATCCCCAGGGAGATCTTCAAAAGCATCATTTGCATAGAGTGTTCGTCTGTTCAATAATCTACATGATGGCTGGCATGGCATTGTCCCCCCTTTCATGGGCATCTCGAATTAGCTCACGATCACCCTATCATTTTCGGGAGTCGGCATCTACTCTTTGTGGTCTTGCAGGAGCAAAGAGCGTGCATTCACTCTTGATTTGTGCATCAATCCGGAATTATTGTTCATCGCCGCTATCTCCTGGACCCATCTTCTCCAGGGGTTCTAGATATCCCCAAAGGTCAGTTTAAGCTCTTCTGGAGCGTTTCATGGACTATTTCCTTTGTATGCATATGGCGCTTGGTGCTTTTGTTCCATAATTTATCTAATATGAGCGTTGCTAGAAAATGCTCGACCCTTGTTTCAACACCAATGAATCGTAACCAAGTAGTTCCGTTAAGTTGGACATCGTCGGGGCGAAGACTTCTGAGCACAGAGCCGCCGTCAGGTAGAGGGAACGACGACAAAAATCAAGACAACACGTAAGTAACCTTCATGATTTTTCACGAGCTTCCTTTTGAATTACTGTGCATGCCCTTGTGCCTACGTGATTGTTCTGACTACACCACTCGATGTTTTGACAATACGGTTGACCGTAGTTTTTTTTTTTTTTTTTTTTTTTTTTTTAAAAAAAAAAAAAAGCTTCAAATATCATGTCCTATACTGGCGACATCAAATATCGGGGAATTAACTTCAAAAATTGTAGCCCGACATCGAAAACTGCTCGCCTACTCTCCCGGATTCCCCTCCCAGTTCACGAAAACATCTATACGATCCCCAATATTCTGACGTTCTCCCGCCTAGCAGCTGCACCCGTAATTGGGTATTGCATCCTGCATTGGTATGACATAGCGGCGCTTTCACTTTTTGCCTATGCCTCTGTCACGGATCTTGTGGATGGCTACATTGCTAGAAAGTTTAACCAGCAAACTGTGGTTGGGACTGTCATTGATCCGATGGCAGATAAAGCTCTCATGACAATAGGGGTTATCTGCCTTGCCCTCAAATCAGCTATACCCGGTATTCATTCCACAGCTCCCGTCTTTCAAGGGAGTTTCTACGTATCAAGCCAATAGAGAGGAAGGAAACACTAACATGAAAATTGAACAATCACAGTCTGGCTAGCCGGCCTCATTCTCGCACGCGATGTCGGACTAGCTATTTCCGCTATCTACTACAGATGGATCTCGCTTCCACCGCCCAAAACAATGGCGCGATACTGGGATTTCTCCCTGCCGTCGGCCGAGGTGAAGCCGACTGCGGTATCAAAAGCGAACACTGCGCTACAGTTGCTGCTTGTTGGGTCTGCCATGGCAATGCCGGTCGTACCAGAGGCGATCTCATCGGCCTGGAGTTTGCATGAAGGAATGACCGGTTTACAGTTAAGTCGTCCATCTCGTTATTTCCCATATTGTCAATGTTGGAGAATATGACTGCAGATTTTTTTATTTTTATTTTTATTTTTATTTTCCTTTCTGCAATCGTTCCTCCTCCCTTTTTTTCATTTCCTTCCTTTGGTATATTCCCCTTTGTTGTTGCCATTTGGTTTTCTTTTGGTGAGAAACGATTTGGAAAACCCGCTATAAATTGGCTATCCAGAAGGAAACAAGCACATACGACCATAGGGAGTGGAAAGCAGGGCTTCCCGTCCGCTCAGCCGTACTTAAGCCACTCGCCGGCCGGTTAGTAGTTGGGTGGGTGACCACCAGCGAATCCCGGCTGTTGTATGTTTTTTTATATGTCTAGATTTATGTTTTTGAACTTTATTCACTTCCGCCATCTTTTCATTTCCCCCTTATCTATTTCCTTGTCCACATCATTTTGGTTTCGTGGCTTGTTATTCCTCATTATTGCTTCGGTGGTGGGTGAACTCTCGGTCACGTGCCATGGATTTTTGCTCGCCTGCCTGCCACAGCCTTTTTTTCCCTACCAATTCGTCCAACGATTCGAATAACTTCGGTGCTATTTAAAGAATAAAATAATATCCATTTGGAAACTAACGAACTATTTTCTTACAAACAGATACATTGTCGCCGGTACCACCGTCTGGTCAGGGGCCAGCTACATCTACTCTAAAGATGCTGTCAAGATCCTCACCGCGGAGGAGATTGAAAAGAGAGCAGAATTGAAGAGGAATAGTGAGGAGGATACGAGCAACAAGAATGAGAAGGACTAAATGTCAGCCGGAAGGTTGGGCAGACGTGCGGATATGTGTCCCGTCCCATTTACTTCCCTTTTCACTATGCTGGGGCCAAGCGAGGGCAAGGGATAATTTTGGCTAGATACTCATATAAATAAATACGTTGTATGTATAGTTATTTGAATTTCATTATAATACTGTAATATCTACGTGTTTGGTTGTGATGCACTTGTATATCATTGTATACTTGTCCTATGTTTTGCCAGGTGCAGGATAGGTGTGGGCCGCAATATATATATGGAGTTCTCCTCTCCGACAGGAGCAGCCAGCTAACGCCCAAGAAACTGGCAATAATCTCTCACATATTATTTTATATACCAGCCCGAAGTTATAAACGATAGGGATTAAAAGTAATGGTCAAAATAAAATAATAAATATACTTTTCCAACGCCATCCATATCTTCCATCGGGTAAATAGCAGAGAAATAAGCCGCCAGAAAACTACATCACGCCAAATGTATGAAGGGGGAATCCCAGATTTGGCGCCCTCTATGCACCCAAAGACATACATATATGCAAAAGATCTTCAAAAAGAGGTATACCATAATATGCATCCGTCCACATAAGAAGCTAAGTACCAAACGCCCCGAGACAGAGTGGGGAAAACTTCCATAGCTCGGATAGAAGGAAATGACGCAAGGGAAATAGCGTTTTGTACATGTACACGAATAAAATACAGGGATATATATATAGGAAAATCCTCCCGAGACACGATAGACAGGATCATATCGAAGACGCAACCCTAGTTGCTTCATCAGGTACATTCAAATCTTCTCCAGCTTTCAATTGAGGATCTTCCCGAATCTGGCCGGTCGTATTTTTACGAACGTATACCAACAGCTTCAATGCTGCAACAGGTGTCATCCCTTCAATCCTGCGGGCCATACCTATACTCTCCGGCCGGACCCTCTCTAGCGCCGCCCTCTCCTCAGTGCTCAAGCCAGTGATTAGTGAATAGTTCATATCCGGCGGCAGTAAAAGAGCCTCATCCTTTTCGAAGCTGCGCGCCCTAGCTTCGTGCATTGTTACGTACGGTGCATAGCGGCCCTCGATGGAGACGCGGTATTTTATCTCCGGCGGGAATGAAGAGGTTGTATATGCCTTTCCACCCTTTGACGATGGTGGCTCGATGTGAGGGATGATATCGTCGATAGAGACGTCTCGTAGGCGGAGTAGATCAAAGGCTGAGCGGGGGTTGTGGTCGCAGTGAACGGCGAAACCTTTGCGTGCCCATAGGGTCGATGGGAATTTGGTGTTCTCGAGTAGTGTTTGTAATTCTGTGACCTGTTCCTGGACTTGGCTGAAGTGTTCCCAGCGCTTATCACCGACGACTCCAACCTCTCGACCGCGGGCGGTGAGGCGTAGATCTGCATTATCGGAGCGGGTGGAGATGCGATACTCACTCCGCGAGGTGAACATTCGGTAGGGCTCAGAGACGCCCTTTGTGATGAGGTCATCGATCATGATGCCGATGAAGCTATCCGAGCGGGAAAGAGTGAATGGAGGCTTTCCCTTAGACGCTAAGCCGGCGTTGATACCAGCTAAAACACCCTGTCCTGCAGCTTCTTCGTAGCCCGTAGTGCCATTGACCTGGCCCGCGAGATAGAGGCCGCTGATTAGTTTAGTTTCTAGTGTTGGTCGTAGCGAGCGTGGATCGACGTAGTCATATTCTACTCCGTAACCAGCCTGGAGCATATGGACATTTTCTAGCCCGGCAACCGTTCGAAGCATAGCAAGTTGCGCATCGGCGGGGATTGTCATCGAGATGCCATTTGGGTAGATAACTTCATTTGGTTCAAAGCCCTCGGGCTCCAGCCAGATCATATGTCGCTGTTTGTCTTTGAATCGGATGATTTTGGACTCGAGGGATGGACAGTATCGAGGACCTTTCACCGTCTCGCGAATGTGGATGGATTTGTCAAGGTTGTCCCTGACAATCTGATGCGCGGCCTCATTGGTATAGGTAGACCAGCAAGGGAGCTGGTCCTCATCATTGACATCTACTCTCTTGTTTAGATACGAAAATGGAACGGGTGGAGAGTCTCCTGGTTGGACTTGTAAGTTCGAGAAGTCGATCGTCTTCTTGTCAAGTCGGGGAGGTGTTCCTGTCTTTAGTCGACCAAGCTTGAATCCGGCCTCACGCAAGGACTTGCTTAATCCAAATGTGGCTGCTTCCCCCATACGGCCTGAGGGGAAGGATTCAAGCCCAATATGTATCTCTCCGCCGAGGAATGTGCCTGTTGTAATAATCACACGTCCAGTCGGTATCACCTCGCCAGACTCCAGTCGTACACCGACAATTTTCCCTTGAGACCCCTCAGGTGAGTGATCCTTTGAAACAACAATGTCCCCCACTTTGCCCTCAACAATGCTTAACCCGGGCGTATTGCTCAATTCTTCCAACATATTTTTCTGATACAACACACGGTCGATCTGGGCTCTGGGACCCCAGACAGCCTCGCCCTTGGACCTGTTCAATATCCGAAATTGGATCCCAGCCTTATCAGTAACCTTGCCTGCCACTCCATCTAGCGCATCGATCTCCCGTATCATGGTCCCTTTGCCGATTCCGCCGATACTGGGATTGCACGAGCATACGCCGATGTTCGAGCGAGAGGGCGTTACGAGGGCGGTTCGGGCTCCCAAGCGGGCAGCAGCAGCGCATGCTTCTGAACCAGCATGGCCGCCTCCGATGACAACAACATCGTAAGGTCTAGAAGGCAGCTATATTTTAGTATATTTCGCACAATCCACCGCCGGGATATCACTGGGGGAACTGACTGGGCATCTGAGTTCACAGTCGCAAATGTTCTGACACTTCGAGAGGGTCGTGGACGAGAAACACAGGCCCAGCGGAGTGCTGTAAATGGCCGTGTTCTCAAATACATCGTAACAGTCCAGCAGAAATAAATCCAGATACACTGCCAGAAACCTGATCCATCAGCGCAACCTCGGTGTAAATCAAAAAAGTGTAGTAGCACGTGATTTATATTAGTTGATTTCTGTAGCATCCGCCCTAGTGGCGTTGCCGTAGCGACCGCTCCGCCTACACGTGATCTCATATGTAATATATATATAGCTAGCTCTTCCTACACGAATACAATGAATTAACCATCCCACAGGTTATAGCCCGGATAGCACATTTTTACAAAGAATTACATTTTTTTTACTTTTGTTTAAAAACACCTGTGTAAGCATTGAATGTGTTTATCTCAGATAGAAGAATTCTTTTATTACATTTATATTGTATATTTCAAGTGTATCTGCTTAACTGGCAATTGAAATAGCAGAACTCTATAGTATAATATAACATGTTTTTTTTTTTTTCAATTTCTTCATTCAATTCTTCTTTGACTGATGAGTGGTATGTCTACATCACAGAGTGATAAAAGAAGAACTTTATATTTATATTCTCACACTCAGATATCTATTAACAAAGAATCAGAGAAAATAGATACTATACTATATATAGAAGTCACAGAAGAGATTATGAAGTCATCTGTAAACAGTAGAGCAGACTATGAATCAGATAATAATATTTCAAGCTTATAAGCAATGTATACAGAAGTATAACACATAAGTATCATATCTAGAATAAGTTTAAATAATATAATATCAATGATATTTAATAATCTGATAGTATTCTGTATAAGAATAAGTGCTCACAGGTGATTATTCAGGTGTTTACAGCTTGACATAATATGTACTATTAACTACTAGAAGTATTCACAGTAGAAAGATAAAATATAGAGATTAAATGTATAATAGTATTCAAGCTGAGTTATAAATAGTATTTGTAAACTTCAGTCTATATAGTTATATATAGTCAAGAGCTGCTAGCTCTATTAATTATATAAGAAATAGAAATAAAGATAAAGAATCTGTGAGAAGCAGAATTTCTTATATATTTCTCTCTCTCTAAGACTTTGTTTACAAAGTCTTTCACTGAGTGACTTCATAGAATCAGCTCAGTACTGTAGTAATACTTACTAAAAACTTCATATTTATAAAAATCTTAGTGAGGAAAAATCTCTTATTACTGTAAAGAGAAAAGAGTCTATCACTCAGTTTCTTATTCTATAAGATTCTTTATAATCTACAGATTCTTCTCTAACTATCATACAGATCTATCTCATATCTTTTATATAGAAGAGTTTCAGTTAACTCTCAATTATTTTCATAAGATTCTTATATAATTATTACACAGATTTATCTTACAAATAAATTACTCTCTATAAGATTATTCTTATTAAAGAGAAGTATTCACAAGTTAATCTTTTACTTATTCTTATAAATCATTATTCTTTAACACTGTAGAATTGTGAGAAATTTTTCATTCTTTCATTAACTCTGTAAAATTATAGAATTAAGATATTCATAGTCTGTAATCACTCTTTATAATTATATAGAAAGATTCAGATCTGTAATTTATAATCACTCTTATTTACTAAAGTAATCTAACTATTCTATGAAATCACTTACAGTGTAAGTAAATCTCTTTAAAGTAGTAGTAGTGCCCTGGTGGCTGAATGGTTAATGCAGCCACCTGATAGCACCTTGGCGTGGGAAATCAAGGCGCGTGGGTTCGAAACCCGCAGGGGATACATTAAATCCAGAACTCAAGCACCTCAGGTTTCTAATAAATACAGAGGTGTATAAATCACTTCAATGAATCACTCTATATTCCTGGGCTGAGAAGTTATTATTGTATGTATTTAATTGTCACTTCTTTGTATTTTTCTATATTCTTGTTATTTTAGCATGGTCTCAACACCTGTATTTCCTCCTGTATAATCAACACTTAATCTGTATTTAACATCATACAAGGACTCATCATAAGCTCCGCTTGCATATGAGTATAATGAAAGAATAATAATAATAATAATAATAATCTTTAAAGTAGTATAAATATCTCAGATCTGTCTGTAAAATCTTATCTTCTTTTCTCTTTTTCTATAACAGCTCTTATTCTTATAAACTGTGAGTATTTTTATTCATCTGTAAAGTGTTTTTACTCAGATAATAGAGAGAGAGTGTTTCTGATAATATTCATATATTAATTCAAGAACTTCTTAAGAATAAAAATTTTTTCAATTTCAATATCTTTATAAATAATGTCTGACTGCTGTTAAGCTTCTTATAAGCATTCTCACAACTTCTCTGATTACTTTTTACTAACTGATAAAGTAGAGATACTGCTGCTTATAATTATATCTTTACTTCTCTCAGCTCTGTCATCACATCTGATCTTCAGATCAGTGATTAACTTCATATCTCTCTCAGATCAGTCTCTGACTTTAAGTAGTATAGTTCTTCTCTTTGCTATAAGTCTTCTTATAAGTAATTTCTTACAGATTCTAGCTAATAGTTCTTATAAAGCTCTCAGTGTTATCAGTGTCTTCTGTAACTCTATAAGTCTATAATCATCTTCTCTCTGCCTGTATAATCTCTGATCAGATATATATAAATATATCTAGATTTCTCATCAATGATTCTCATACTGCAGCACATTTTCACAATTTTATTATTAATAAGAGATGAGTTCTCAGATACTCATAAAATCTGAATAATTAAGATAATATAAATATTATGAATTTGTAATAAGAGTTAATCTGAGCAGATGAGCTCTCTCTTCATATTTTAATTATTTTCAGACTGAATACTTCAGTATAACTGAGAGAGTAAATACAGCTTTATAAGAAATATCTAATTATATATATAGACAGTCAGTTCTCAAGACTGTGTTATAACTGTATACACTCTGATATTCAGCTTCTCTGAAGTCTGTGCATTTCTGACAGTCTTTATATCAAATATAATAATTATCTGTACTGCAGATATAATACTCTCTGCTTCTTTAAAAAGAGAAATTAATAGTTATGAGAGAATTAAGTGTCATAGATATTAAGAGTATAAGTATAGATTTTCTTTATTTTTTCTTTATTAATCTCTAAATTATGTTCACAGCTCTGTTTGTTTTCTGTTTTTTAACTTTAATAAGAATATGATTTCTTCTTTTCTTATATACACTGCAGACTGTTCATCTCAGTAGAAACTTATTATTTTATAGACTAGAATTTATAAATAACAGTGTTAATATCTTTATTATAATCAGATTCTTAGCAAAGACTGTATTATTCTGACTTATTAGAATTCACAGTATAAAAGTCATGTCTTAGCTTCTACAGATGTTTTATCTGCTTAGATAATTCTTAAGTGAACTCATTTATCTTATCAGAATACTCTTATCACTGAATCTTGAATCAGAGCTTGTAATCTTACTTCTCTAAGTTAATAATTTCTTTGATCTGATATTCTCTTTCACTCTCTAGTACTTTATAAATAGAGTGATGAGTTACAGAGTTCTCTTCTGAGAATTTCTTATATTTATAAAGTAAAGAGATATGAAAAATATTATATATCTATAACTCAGATGACAGTTTCAATCTATAGAACTGTAAACTAACTTTCTTTATAATCTTATAAGACTCTGTCTGTAAGAGATTCAGCTTCTTATTAAATCTCTACATAATAATATTTTCTAGACTCAGTCAGTCTCTATCATCTTTTTTAAAACTCTTTGTAATATGCTTGAAGTTATAGTATCTCTTCTGATACTCTTAAGTCTTTCTCAAGAATTCATGAGCTTTCTTCTGAATCTTCTGAATTCTCTCAGTCTGTTCATAGATATTATCACACTTTATAGTATACTCTTACAGATTCATTAAGATTATCTGCAGATAAGTCTCAGTAAGTATCTCAAAGAGAGTTTTATCTATACTAACATGCTTTGAGTTATTATATATAAATTTTATAAATGATAATCAATGCATTCAGTTATTCTGATTGTAATTGACAAAGTATTACAAATATTATTTTAATATACTTATCAGATATTCTATTTAATTATCTATCTATTAATGAAAAGTTATACTTAAATCTTATGAGATCTTTAATATAATTATTAGATCAGATTAGAACTCTTCTATGAAGATTAATTCTTTATCTGAGACAATGTTTATAGATAATTCATATAACTGAATCATATCACAGATGAAGATATGAGTCAAATTCTTTAACTTCAAGTTCTTACAGATGAGTATAAAGTGTGTTATCTTGATAAAGTAATTCACTATCACTAGCACACTGTCAAAACAGGTATTATATATGTTCTTGCTTTCAGAGAGACTTATAAGAGTATTTATTTCTAGCTGTTCTCAAGGTTTCTGCAGAATAAGTAGAGAAGTAAGTTCTTTATATAGTCTGAATCATACTACTTATAAATTCTGATAAATAGTATAAGAATTCACTATCTTCTTTATAAGTTCTTGCATCTTCAGTCAGAAGTATTTTCTTATAAGTAACTCATGAGTTCTAGTGTCTATAAAATGATCTGTTAGAGAAGAGTCATGATATCTTTTAATAAGTTCTATACATAGAAACTTATTTATAGATATATAAATTCAGCTCTCTCTTTATAAGAGACTATTTAAGTCTCTTTAATTCTTTATTTCTGCAGAGTTAATCTCTATTATAAGCAGTTTCTGAATATACTGAGTATATTCATTCTTCAGTTGCAGTTCAGACAATCTGAATAGAAGATTTTATAAAGACTTATACTCTGTTTCTTCTTATATCAGGTCTTTTACAGTACTTCTCAAAGTCTGCAAACTCTTCAGATTATAGATACTCTCTTTAAGAATTCTTACAGAGATTCTCAGAGTGTTGACTTTCAGTGTTGTAGAGAGTAGTTATACAGACTTCTTTTCTCTCTTCTTCTTCTTCTCTTATAGAGAATTGAGAGACTCTTCAGTTAATCTCTTTATAACACTCAGTCTGAGCATCTTATAAAGCTTTTCTATCTTCTCTAGTCTCTCTATATCTGTTATTCTAGTCTTCTTAACATAGTCTGATCTGTGAGAGAGTCTGTTCACTGAGTTCTTAGTTTTCTTAATATATTCTAT